ATCCATGGATGTTCTTGATATCCAATGTTCTTGATATCTAATGCTCTTGACTGGTCTTGGGTGGTTCTTTGAGGTTTGTTTGTTTGTTTGTTAGATGAAGCATGTATATGAAGCATATATTTTTATCAACTCGCCTCTAAACTTTTGCTTCACCAATTCACTTCTGCAAGCAGTCAAACCTTTTCATTGATCAAGCAGTTGGTATTCATTGGGGGCTCCATACCATTCATAAACCTAACGGTGATATCAAATTTAACTCTTCTATCTCAAGGTGGATGTTGGAGTTCATATTCCTTTTGTATTGAGACAATAATCATGGTCTTGAATTTTCTGGGGAGTCGAGAGTTTCTAGGGGAATTTGCAGTGGCGGAAATCAGAGGACGAAAAATGTTAAGGTTACTTATGGACATGTAGTGAATTTACTTCTTGAGTCTTACCAATGTCTAGGGCTGACGTTAAAATACTTGTTCTCGATCATAGATTCAGGAGAAAACAGAAAGGATAGTAAAGGGTCTTGATGTTGAATGGAATGTTTTGTTCTGGATTGAGGACTCGAATCAAGCTAGCAGTAGTAAATATGTGTTCTCTAAATCTTGAACTGCATGGATTGTATACTGGATTGTGTACTTCAAGTGCCCCCCCTGAGTTCATGTGAGACGCAATGAATTTCTTTGATGGGTATGAACAATTTGACGAGCAGTCATCAAAATCTGCCTGGTTCTCTGTCAGTGAACAAACATGTGATAAACATTTCTGTACCTTATTTACTTTTCTTTCAAATTGCAACGTAGGATGATTAGAATCATCGCTGCCTGATTTAGCATTCACTAAGCCTCCAAATATGATTCACAGTCAACAACATTCACTGCAAATATCCACCTCGTCGTCGCACAGTGGATATCCTGCCTTACAACCCCGCTCTCCCTCGTTCCATAAATAGACAACCCCGGGTTTCATATCCGAATGACCCCGGTGGTTTGAAGCATGGTATTTGACTCTTCTTGACCTGGAACCTTATCTTTTTCTTCTGAGTCTTCTATCCATCCTCTTCTTTCTTCCATCCTTCCATCTCGAACCCAAACCCGAACCTCAAACACTTAACTTTCATCAAGTCTTACTTGATAGCTTCTTGATCTTTACAAGTTTACTTGTGTATTGATTCTTTGCATTCCTGCGTTTACTATCTCCTTTCCTTGATAGCTTCAAGACGCGCACCGTCTTCTACCTCCAATCTTGAGACATCTCTCTTACTTCCCTTGACCTCTTTCCCCTGGCAGAGCTCGGAGAAGGCTTGTCATTTTGATTCATAAAGAACTTAAAGTATCTTCTTCACAAGTGACGCTTTTATTTCTTAAAAGAGGATTTCGAAGTACATAAATATCTGTAAGTGTTCTTTAGATACACCCTCACAAACCCATCTCCAAATATATCCTCTTTCTCTCTCCATCCAGAAAGTCGCACCTTCTTTCAAACCCCCTGATATTATAGCTTGTTGGAGATTCCCATCCTCGAACCATTTCTATCATCATTACCCCGCACTTCACCTTTTAGGAGATTTTCTCCACTGTTTGGATTTGATGCTAATACATTTTTCAGGCTGTGCCAAACAAAGCAGGTACCATTCATGTTCATAACTTCGACTAGTCTTACTACATTTGCTTGATATTTCAAGTATTTCTTGCTGGTCGATTCAAGAATTCTTTGCATTGCATAGGTTGAACAGTTTAATATCTGTAAGTCCTTGATGAAGCTTGTTTGTGCTTCAAAAACACTGCCCCTTATTTTCTTTCCGTCGCATTGGCCATTTCCCGAGATTCGTCATGTGCTATACCTCCCTTCTACCTCCCTCTCACTGATTTTATCTTCTTCACCACCACCACCATCATTCAGTTGGGAAAGTTCTATTCTAACTCTCACTAGATCTTTGATACACCATTCATTATGGGTAACAAGAATAAACCCAAAGTCAAGGCGAATGAGGGTCAACATAGTGGTAAACAATTATGGACTACATATGCAACACCTACTTCGAAGAAAGGTCCAATGTGGAAGCAAGCTCCAAAGAAATTCATTCCTGAAGTTTCTAATGAAGCAAATACATGGATATGGCCTTCTCTGGATCAGCAAAAATCACAAGTTGGTGGTAAATCTGCAAAGACTGCCAAGAAACCCCCTGCAGAGGCAATTAACAATCCCATTGGGACTGCATTTGTTACAGGTTTCTGTTCAAACAAATTCGTTTTGAGATATTACACCAATAATTCTGTACCTGCCAAAGGATCCATTTGGGAACATCCGCCTCTTCCTGGCACTGCCAAATTCCAGGCTCCTTCTGATCTAGATCCAGCTGCATGGTCTACTGTGCCCGAAAATGCAAAATGGTCTACGCTCCCTGCATATGCCATTAATCCTGCACTCAAATCAGTTGAAGTTCCATGGTGCACCAAAAAGAGAGCAATTACAATCCTCACATGGGCGGCTCCTTCAGGTCCAGATGTTGCAGTTTCTGCTAATGTGACAAGTCCACCGGCTACCCAGAGTCCTTGGGTTACAGTACCAACTAATTTTGCATTTCCTACTCCTCTCGAACAGGAAAATCCTAATAATGTTGCGAACCTTGATTGGGGTGATTGGGGTGTGCAACCAGCGGTAGTTTCTGAGAAAGATGCTATTGCAGCAAATATCTGGGACGATGGACCAGAACCAGTAGAGCCTTTTCCCACTTTGGTTGACTGGCCTTTCACGGGTGAAAAAGATAGATTAAAGAAGTTGGTTTCATTGGTATGATATTTATCCACTGCTTCCACTGTTTATGACAAGTTTTATTCTAACTACATACTTTAGGGACCATTTTGCTTCAACTACAAGGAAAAGTGCTCAAACATCCCAAACAAAATCAAGAACAAAGTGCATTGATCAGAGTACTTCAAGTAGAAGGTATCAATACCATTCTTCTCAAATTTATTTGGGAAAATCATAGCAATGCTTCTGCCCTTTGTCGAACCAGTCAGAGATCATGGGAAGTTGCGATGGCTGTTACTGTGAGTTTTGGTTTATCTTATCGTTAATGCACTACGTACAGGGCTGACTGATACGTGCAGGGAATTTGGGATATGACTGAAGGTTGTTTCGAAGGCTGTGATTTACCGATAGAGGGCAATGACTCCGGCGGTAGAGCAGCTTCAGTTGTTGTGGTCACACCTACTAGGGATATGGAACCCATCAAATATGTTACTCAAATTAAGAACTTGAATAAGATGTGTAAGTTCTTTTCCTCCCTCTCTTGTTCAAATCAAATCACTAAGATACTCTCATCAGGTATGGCTATGCATAACTTCAGCGGATTTCTTCAAAACATCCAATTACATCACGTTCCCTTCCTCACCACCCACATTCTCGCCTTACTCGTTCCCGAAATGCGCAAGCTCAAAACCCTCGGTGTTTACAACTGTGAATTGATTCATCTCGGTGATGGGATTGAACTCCTCAACATCATCACGCGAGATCGTCTTCGCGGTTGCGAACACCAAGTCGATTTAGATTTCTATCCAGCATACCATCTTGGTCCTCATCCTTTCTATCAAGCAGGTGATCGGAAAGGAGAGAGAAGATTAGGGGCAGAGTATTCATATGGTGTTACTTGGGATGATCCCGGTATGCACGTTGCTGATATCCGAATTGCAATCTGGCAGGAAGTTCACGGTCTTCTTCGCCAGACACGTGCTCAGGGTATTGATTTTGTTTCTAAACATACGATGTTCAGGCAATGGTTGGATAAGTCGCCTTGTATGCTGGTCGAGGAAACTCTCAAGATCCTGATGGATGATGACGCGACGATCGATCAAATTATCGCCCATGTTGCATATGCAGATTTTGGTGGCAGGGTTGAGAAATATTTCGCGGCTTTGAAAGGAAAAGGCATTGCGAATAAAACCGAGGGTGTGAAATGGTATGTTATCACCTCTTTTCTTCAGACATCCCCATCCTTCATATATCATCAAACTAACAGCATTCTTTCTCTAGGATGGAAGAAGGTTTCACGTGTTGTCAATGTAGACATCTCCTCCCCGGAGTCTGGTTCTCCTACCAAATGATCCGATACTACAAGCTCGATCCCATCGACGAACCCGTCTGTCAAGCCTGCAAATTATACCAATATCTAAACCAGGAAGACGACCACTACAAAGTACAAAAGTTCAACATCATCAAAGAATGGGTATGGGAGCCCACCTCCAACGTTCCCGGAGATCCAGGAAAATGGAATACCAACGATATAGGCAAATTTCTCCGCATTTTCAGGGATACACCTCAAGGCAGCAGAATCAGAGGGTTAGCTCGAACACTACATGATAAGAGAAGGCTTGATGAGGCTCATGATATCTTTCATGAAATCGATGAGGTGCAGAGACCAATTAGCATTCAGGCTTTGGGAAGAAGAGGCGCGTATGGAATTCGTGCGGCGACGGTCCAGGATAAGTTGTGGATTGAGAGTGGAAGAAAACATAGTGAATGGGATTCTTTCCGGGAAGATCGTATTAATGGACATGGTGTACCGGCTACCTTTAGGGGTCATTGGTAGATTGCTTTGCATCTTGATGAGGTTGATGGTGCTGGGTTTATGGCTTTGCTTCCTTTGTCTGCTCTGCTTTGAGCCCATCAATTTCTTCATCCATCGATGATGCATTTTCGACACCAAACCACATGTCCTACATCCCAGCAAGCATACATAGGTAGATCTTTCACCTTGCTCCCAACATTCAATTCCTAGAATGAACAAACGACTTCTCGATCCACAGTACAGAAGAAGAGCATTCCGATATCACTCCCGATGAACTCCTCCTCTATCTCGACTCTAACTCCAACAACATCGATATCGATTTCAAACCCATTTCTGGACCATGAATCACCAACGAAACTTACACAACCCACCTAGCTAAAGCAAGCTTTTCTCGCTAGCTGAAGTTATCTACACACTGATACTTTTCCTTTGGTTCATTTATTCATTTCATTTCATTTCTCTGCATCTCTCTTCTCTCCTCTTCTCTTCTCTTCTCTTCTCTTCTCTTCTCTTCTCTTCTCTTCTCTTCTCTTCTCTTCTCTTCTCTTCTCTTCTCTTCTCTTCTCTTCTCTTCTCTGGACAAAAGGATATGCTTTTCTGCATCACGACACAATACGATACGATACGATACGATACGATACGATACGATACGATACGATACGATACGATACGATACGATACGATACGATACGATACGATACGATACGATACGGTACATCATAATAAATTTCACTCCAAATTAGATATCTACACCACACCACAGCACAGCACAGCACAAATTCTCGATCATCCAGAAGAAGAGAGGAGAGAAGATCTACATCAATTCGTCTATTCATTTATTTCCTTGGTCCTATTTTCATTTCATTTCATTTGATTTCATTCTATTTCAATTTACTCTATTCTATTTTCGAAAAATGGATGGTCACATACATACGCACACATACACATGGATCGATGGAGTTCAGAATATGGAGTATAGAGAGGAGTTGAAATTTACTGGCTGGTATTAAGTTATTGGCGTTGTTTTATTTTCCTCTTTTCTTTTCTTTTCTTTTCTTTTGTTTTCTTTATGCTTTGCTGGGTGGGAGTTTGATGGGCTGGGATGCGTTATTCGATGGATGGGAGTTTGATGGGACGGGATGGGTTATTTGATGGGAGTTTCTGGAGGGAACAGTAATAGAAACAGAGAGAGCAAGAGAGCAAGAAAGAAAGCGAGCGAGCAAAAATGCTGACACCAAGTAATCATCATTTATCCTCCCTCCTCTTCTTTCCACTTCTCTATTTTCCATCCATTACTCACAAGAACTTCTAAATTCCGGCATAATACAAACCTAGATATAGAGAAGAGATTAAACTTGCCTACTCGCTTGCTGGTATTAATTTATTGGCGTTGGTTTGGTTTAGTTTACTCTTTCTATTTCATTTCATTCCATTTCTCTTCAGTACTTCTTGAGATTCTGGATAATGAGGGAGGGATTAGATAGTGTTTACTTCTTTGCTTTTTTGATTCTGCGATTTGGGGTGGATTCTTCCTTTCTTCTTTTCTGATAAATTTGTTTCTGATTCGTTTCTTTTCTTTGCCTCAATAGATTAGATGCATATGTTGCGTTGCGGTGCGGTGCATTGAATTGAATCAAATTGATTTCTTACAAGATGATTGGAGATGGAGTTTTGTGTGTTTGTATGTTTTCGTGCTTGCTTGCTTGCTTGGTGATATAATGTGATGTAATATAATATAATATGATACAATATATTATAAACTTTAGATGTCAACGATTTACCTACCTACCGACCTACCTTCCTACTCCATAGCATCTGCGCTATAACCGTACAGCAAGAAACATCTATAAACTTCGAAAAGAAATCACATAGCTATCTTCCAAGACCCTTCAATCCAACACATTTGAGAGCGCGGCGTGGGGTAAGTCCACGATGATGATCATATCGGGGTTTTTGTCTCCTTGCATCCTTTCTACTTGAATAGTGACATCATATTGAACACGAACCACATGAATTCTTACGCTCTTGCTTTAGCACTGGTTATATTTCTGTGCACTAGCGATTATACTTATCCGTCTAGTTTTCTTTTTCACCTGACTTCTCCTCTTCCCCTTCTCTCTTCTCCCTTCCCCCTCCTCCCCCGCTTGTATTTCGGCTCGGATACATCCATTTCGTCCTTGGAACTTATATCACCTAGAGACATTGTACTAGCCTCCAAGAAGACCATGGAAAAAACATCGTCAACCTCATCATCATGATCTCTAACCCAAGCCCCCTCTTCATCTCCCAAAGTATTCATTCTCACACAAGTAAATTTCTCATTTCCATCATGAATCCAATTCTGCTTATCCATCCCCCTCATCCCCCTCTCTTCTTTTAATATATCATTATTTCCACTTTCACTTCCCCATCCATCTCTTCCATCGTTCTCACCTCATCCTCTTTCCTCTACTTTCCTTAAACCCTTGAGTTCCCGCTGTCCTGTCGGCTCTTTTCTAAACCCCACCGATTTCTTCCCATTCCCTAGATCTCCTCATTCCTACCTCCCTATTCCCCTCGCAAACAAAATCCCATACCTTGTCCCTCTGCCCTCTCTACCACTAAGACTCCGTCCCGAGCTGGATACATCATACGCATCATCTCAGCCAACCTCACAATTTCAGATACACCCTTGTACTAACCACAATGATTGCCTATTAACCATCAAATCTTCCATCCCTCATGACATGCAACACATCGAACAGAAATACACACCTAGATACATATACACCCACATTGATATCTGTCTCTCTCCCCAATCTATCCAACCCCGACACACTATATCAAATCATCAGCCTACTCCAACTCCGACCTTACGCTATTCTTCCTCCTCTTCACCTTTTATCATCTCCCATCTCCCATCTCACTCCTCAAACTCCTCATCATCCCCACAAATCAAATTCACACCCATGTTCATCAACAACCCTAACCTCATTCACAAATCTTCATTTCCATTCCCATCTCTGCTATCCATCACCATCACCATCAATCTATATTCCCTCATCTCCCAGCATAAAACATCATCCAAACAACTCTTACCATCCATCAAGACCTCGATTTCAAAACTCATACCATATTCCCATCACAAAACACCAACCAACCACAATAAATTTTCGAAATATAATCACCCATTCCACCCTCTTTCCTCCATTCTTCATTCTCCTACCTTTCTTCTTCTTTCCTTACATTTCACCACCACTTTATCTTCATCATCCCTTCCCAACCTCTCTCTAATTCATCTTCCTTTTCTCTCCATCTTCATTTCAATTGCTTACCTCTTTATTCTCTTTACCCTTTACTCTTTTCTCTTCTTACACTTCCTCATATTCCTCCTCATATTCCCTCCTCACACTCCCATAACTCCGTACTCCCCACAAAACAATCCTCCCCCTCCTCAATATTCATACCCACCTACCTACCTACCTACCTATCACCTACCTACCTATCCAGCATAACACATTACACATTACACATTACCTCGAAACACAATCAAAGTACCTACCTGAGCAATGGGTGATCATTGTACGTAGTGGGTCGAAATATTTCAAATCCACTCCTCCAATTGGCTTGTCAAGCTTACATAATCGAAATATGCCAGAATATTTCAGATCCATCGATTGTATTGGTCGGCCATGATCACTAGTCTGAAATATTTCAGATCCATCGTACCAATTGGCTCGCTAAACCTTAGCTCCCAAATATTTCGAAATATTTCAGATCCATCAATTACATTGGTCCGCCACATTCCTTAGTCTGAAATATTTCAGATTCATCAATTGTATTGGTCGGCCACGATCACTAGACTGAAATATTTCAGATCCATCAATCGTATTGGTCCGCCACAACTCTTAGTCTGAAATATTTCACACGCACCGAATCTATTGGTCAGATTATGTAATTGACATATCTCACATAGAGGTACTTACCTAAGGTTATTGGAATAATACCTCAACATGTCCTTATGTTCTTACACCATAACCATCACAGTTTCCATCATCCTCAAACTTTCACGATTCAATTCGCAATTACAATTCACATCCCTCAAAACCACCACAGTACGATCCTTTAAATATCGAATCAGAAATCTCATAACCTGAACATGGTAGGATACTACCTATCAAACTAGGTACCCAAATGGTATAAACATAGAAGAAAAAACAAGAACCCAGTATCTCAGTATCTCGTGAACATTAAAACACATTATACAAATTCCTTCTCATTCCCTTGGTATCTCAATCGACGGCCGCTTCCGTACCCATTCTTGTCCATGTTTCCTTCTCGCTGGTCCATTTTCTGGCCATCCCAAATCATGAAACAAATTCGTCCCGAAATTGTGGTCTTGTTTGCCCTCTCACATGATTGCCTATCGATTAGACAATCATAAAAAATCACCCCATCCCAATAAAATCAAATCACCAACTCCCAACCCAAAATCCACAACAATATTTACGCAAATCTCGGTGCCGAAGTAGCCCTCAAAGGTAATTGTCTATCCAAAGATTTGAAAGCCAAAGTTCTTGGTGTAAAAGGTTGTTTGGAAGGATCCATACTTTGTTGCAAATTCTGCATTTCCCATTGTCTCTCTGAATCCGGAGAATCTGTTGTCTTTACTCTCTTGCCCACTTTGGTAGACGTTTCGATATTATCTTCGAGATCGAGTGCATTGACTGAACGTTCGAGGCGTGAAGGAATTAGAGAGTGAATACCGAGAATTGTGTTTGCGAGAAAAACAACCCTGTTAATTTGTAAGTTTTGGATTCATAGATAATACAATTCGAAAACTAATGACATACATCATGAATACCGTAACAGCAAAACTTCCCTTTGCCATTTGACAATAATGTTCATTTCCACTAGGTGCAGCATATGAACAACTCTTCGCAATATACCAAGCCACATTACTTGGATGTTCTGGATCCGTATGATCTGGTCCGGCTTGTCCGTATATACTGACAATCCAACAGACTGTGAGAAGTCCATTTATAATAGTCGAGAGAAGAGGATACCAGATATGCATAATGAACATGACAACTTTGCAAAGTTGGATGAACATCGAAAGAACCGAGATTCCAATATTGAAATTTTGCAATCTGTATTTAAAAATTCCGATATCAGTTTAGATTCTCCTCAAGATACTCCTGTCATCTTAATACATCCTCCAACCAAAGAAATAAAACTCACGTCTGGCTCCAAACAAAAGCAATCTTTGGCAATGGACGATAATTCGCATAAGCATATAAAACCTCATCCGGACTACTATTAAATCCATTATCATAACCAATCTGCCACATTTTCGTTCGATACAAATCTGGATCTGCGATACCAAACATGATGAGTGCAGCGACGGTTCCCGCCAGTTCGATTACATTAAGCCAGATGATAACCTTGGGAAACTTCCATTTTCGCTTCATGATAGGTGAAGAAAGACATCCGAAAACCATGATGAATGTATTGAAGAATATCGCGGATGAATCGGGGGATAAGTCGTGCGATGATCGTAAGGCGAGAATAAGCTGGAGAGATAGAGATCTTTCGTTCAATGTTTGCGTAATGAGATATGAGTCAATCGCCAGCGATCAAATAATGTAATTTATATTATACACCGTCGATATCGAACAGACATCGAAATATCGAGAGATCAGAACGTCGTCTCTTCAAGTTCCAAGAGGATAGATAGAAATCTTCATTAACGAGCTTACGAACGGCTGGCCATCCATGATTTATTAATATAACGGAAAGGCACATTTTAGATGGATGGTGTACAAGGGAGGTGTGAAGGAGGGGTGAAAAGAATCCACCCTTCCAATGAGAAATCATCACCAAGAGCTGATTTAAGCGCTGAGCCTGCATGTCGATGTGAAAGGTTGAGTTCGGTATTGAGGGTAGAACCAATGAAAGTGCGGGGATGAAGCTTTTGGGGGGTGGAGAGTAAGAACTAGGGAGAATTAGGAAATGGTAAGAAAATGATATCGATGGCGCTTGGGGATGAGATGATTTGAGTGGTTACGGGTATTAATACCTGCGTGAATGGGAACTAAATACCCGGAGCTAATTGGAGTGCACGGCCGGGAAATCTTATCTTTAGAGTGATTTATTGAAAATATCACGACTGATCGAGAGCAATGCCGGATGCACTATAAGACTTTTGGAATTAGATTTCCGTTTTGGGGATTAGTTGTAATTGGTACATTTGATTGATATTTACTAGTTCAAGGAAAGGAAATAGTATATGGCGTCTATAATTCGTTTTAGAGTATCTAATAGCAAACTACAGTTCAACAATATAAGATTTTATTAGACCTCGGGAAGATATAGTAGTTAGTCACCACGTGACTCTCTTAGTCATATCTTAGTCATATACTGGAATAAAAGGTCTTCTCCCACGATATAGAATCTTTTATTTCATATACTTAGTAATATAGTTAATACTAGAGCTCTTCTACTATTAATTTTATATACTTTTAGATTGTGAATATCTAAAAGTGATTAAAAAATATTGAAAATAATTAAAATTTTTAATTAAATTCAATATCTCAAATAATTCGACTATTTCAATTAATTTTAAACCTCCAATCCCTCATATCATTAGATTACAGCCCAGATATTAGACACTCTTATCAAGTAACCTTACTCGAAAACTCTTCCCCATATATCATATCTAGCTAAAACCGACGAGTAGGTATCCAGCAGAGATATATCTAATCAACTCTTCCCAGATCCATAAACAAGACAAGCACATTGAAACACCAACCTAAAATCTCCGTGACTAGTTTTCTCATTCTCATTCTCTACCTGTCTATCCAAATTATAGATTATCGTACAGCATGGCGATTTAGCGAAGGGGAAGGTCTAGACTCGATCTTTAGAGTTATTTACATAGGTACGCAAAGTTATAGTGAAGATGCTCTCTCTGTCTTAAGGTTATTCTCTCTTTATATATTCTATCTATTTTATTTACTTTAGATACAAATCATCATCATCCTGTGAATACCCCATAAATTCAACACTCCTAACACTCTTAATATTCCATTAACCCCCAATTCTCATCTACTCTCATAAAATCCGAATATCACTAAACAAAATACACACAACAACAACAACAACAACAAACTCTAGTAAAATCCCCAACCCAGCCCTCTCAACCAAAGCCCCAAAAGTAGACCTCAACGTCTTTCATCAAAGATAGGATTACCAGTCCATCAGCGCGGCCTCGCCTCTGGAGTTTGGTCTCGAGTCCCAGCATCCAAACATATGACCTCTCGAAATGTTGGTTATTACTTTACCTTTCCACGAATCCAAATCCATATAAAAACAAACCCCCATTAAATCATCCTCCTCATCATCCTCCTCATCATCATCCTCCTCATCCCAACTCTCCCATTTTCTCTTTCCATCACACACACACACAGATATACACAAAACCCTCCATTCCCCATATATAGATCCCCAGCATTTATGCCCCCCGAAATCCACACCTGCACTCTCCACTACACCCAAACCCTCCATCAAAACCTCTCTCAGCCCTCCATCCGCAAACCCTGGTCCATCTACCTGCAAACACGCACGCACTGGCACACGATTGAATTCCACGAGCAAGCGATCCTCCAATCACGACTGTCCTCGCACAGCCACTCCCGCGCGAAATACTCCTCACGCGATGTCTATGATTTCCAGCTCCGGGAACTTGGTGCGCCGCCGAAGATCTGGAAACGCTGTCCCGATTCGGATACTGCGGAAGCCGAGGTGTCAAAGCTGGTGAAGGAATTTGGGGGTGGTGAGCGAAAGTATTGGGATGAGGAGATTGTTGCAGGAATTTGGGGAGAGAGTGAGGAGGGGGGAAATCCCGGTGGATGAGGTATGTTTTGCGTTGTTGTTTGATGTGATGTGATGTTTTGATGTAAACTATTCGACTTGAACTATCCCTTTGGGAAGATATGCACTCAAAGTTTCCTCACTCACCTACTAACATATACATTTATCAACAATAGTTATTTCTCCCACCTCTCTTCCTCCTCTGGCTCGAGAGTCTCAATCTCAAATCGCCCAAAACCAAGAAATCCATAAGCAAAAGCAACCCCAACCCCAACCCCAACCCACCAAATCCCCCCGAAACACCCCTTTCCTCCCATCCCAATTTCAAAATCCACCTCCAAGTCTCCCAAATCCAACCCGGCAGCTCCCAAGAATCCTGGATCTGGAACGAAACCCGCACCTTCCTAAAACTAACCCATCACTCCGGCCCCAACAAATCAGGTCTCTACCTAATCCCCAATCCCTATCCCTCCTCCTCCTCCTCCTCCTCCTCCCCCCAAGACCCCATCCTCTTCTCCTGGACCCACGGCTCCCTCACCACCAAAGACAACACTCTCTACGCCCGTGGCAAATGTCTCACTTTCTCCCCTCCTCCTCAGCACTCTTCTCCTCCTCCTCCCCCAGTACATTTCCACCCCCTCCCCAAAGGTTCCCTTACCCCAAGTCCCCACTTCGCCGCTAGCATCAATCGTTCGCACTTCTCAAAACACTGGGAAGAATACGAAGTCGACATCAACCAACCCGCCATCCCATGCATATGGTGGGAGAAAAACATCACCATCTTGGAAGATGGAGTGTTGTTGCGGGAATATGAGGATTTGTATGAGAGATCGAAGGAAAAGGGTGGTCCGGTAGGCTTTCCCCCTCTTTTCTTTCTTGCCTGCCCCTTCCCCTCGATTAACACCCATCACCCCAGCAATTCACCCCCTCCACTTTCCTCGCCCAAATCTTCCACACAATCAACACCAGCATCCCCCCTTCAAAAAAGCGAGGTGGCAAAACAAACCCCCCCAACGACGACAACCACTCCATCGACATCTCCGAGCTCTACGAGCGCGGCCGACAAGATCTCGAGCGCAGTAAACAAGATCTCGCGCGTTCAAAACGTCGCAAGTATTGTTTGAGAGAATTAGCATTATCCACCTCTTCCTCCTCCTCTTCCTTTTCCTCTTCCTCTCAACCCCCCAGATCGCAATCCCTCCCCGCAAGAACCAGAACCAGAACCAGAACCAAAACCAGAATCCCCCAAGATTCCATTCCTCCCAGTACTCACAGAGAAGAAGCAACCACGAAACCGAAAATGTTGAACTCCGCTCCCGATCGCAATCATGCGGTCCTTCCGAAGCGCGATCCACCTCCAAACCTACACGTGAATTAAAAAGAACCCTTTCACATTCCCACTCTCACTCTCACTCCCCCTCCCCCAACAATCTCCACCACAACCTCCATTCTCCTCGTACTCATTCCGTGCCTCCTCCCCCTCCCCCTCCACCCTCACGATCAAGCACTTATAGCTCCACCTCTAGCTCGAAGCCCAAACTCAAACCCAAGTCCACCCCTACCTCTGAACCTCAACCCCCTCGCGATCCTGCAAAAGCCCTTCGCAAGACGCGGGATTTATTTAAACCACTGTCGAATTTGTACGCGGACTAATCGAAGAATGCAAGAGGAAAAGTGGATGTAGAAAGAGACGGAAAAGCAAAGAGAGATCGTAAATGTAAATAAATAAGGGATTTGTATATCTAGATACTAATCATTAATTATTTATTCTCTTAAATAAAACATCTCTAATATAAGAGTTAATCCATTTTGATTTCTCATTCAAATCAATATGTACCTAGACACACATATAAGCAAGCACTAACAAATAAATACTATCATTTTGATTTTTGATATAAAAAGAATTATCATTTCATACTACACCACAAGTATCAAATCGTTTTCATAACGCGCACAAAGAACCCCCCATCCCATGCTAGATCAACCCATATCGATCCATTTCAGATAATATCTGATCCGGTTCAGTTAGCCAGCTAGTTCTTATCCGATATATCATATATATCGCCCTACATCGCTATTGGGCAATATATGCTCATTTGCATTGCATTTGGTATAAACCCCATCCCATCCCCATTCTTGAACATTCCCCAAATTTCGCCTGTGGTGGATACTGTAGACCCGTTCGTCCAGAAAGATCCCCAATCACAATTCCCAACCCAACCCCAAAGGCCAACCATATTTCATTTCCCACCCTACACCATACGCAATTCATACGCATTCCATAGGCAAACCATCCTACCATCCATCCATCCATTCCATTCCGTAAAACTCCAACAGCAATAAACTCCGTCGCTTAAAACATAATATAATACTGTACTTAAAATACCCAAAGCCTTGAATAGCTCTCGAAAATTCATTAATAACTCAAATCCACATCTCCTAATCCCGCAACGATTTTATCTTCCTCAGACATAGTACCCTCACTTCCTGTTGCACTTGCACTTGTACCCGTTCGTCTTCTCGGTTCTTCTTGATCAGCAAGTTGTAGTTGTAGTTGAATTCCACTTGCAGAGGCGCCTTCGTCTCGCATTTCTTGAAAACTCCAACTAGGTTCAAAGTTGTTACTATTCCAAGCATGATCGACTCGTTCATACAACTCATCAATCTGCTCCAGACTGATTTTGCTTGTTTCGTATACCATTCCCCATACGAATGCAAACGCGATTACACAAAAGCAAGCCCAAAGAAAGAATATCTTTGCTTGAAGATTTGCATAACCAGGTCCGCTGCTGGTCATATATGGAACGCTGTAAGCGATGGCGAAATTGAGAAGCCAATTCGAAGCGGTGGAGATCGACATGGACTTGGCTCGAACCTTCAGTGGGAAGATCTCTGATGTGACGACCCAAACGACAGGTCCCCAAGATGAAGCAAAAAAGAAGATGAATAGACAAACGAATACAATAATTACTAAATTCACTGCTCTCGCTTCTTCGTGTGCTGCGGTTCCAACCGAGGCAATCAAGAAATGACAAACTGCCATTCCTGCTGCACCTAGCATAAGAAGACGACGACGACCTAATGATTCGACTAGAAACATTCCAGGAATCGTTGAGACAGTATTGACTATATTTGAAATAAGTTGAATGACGTAAGGTGACGAAATTCCGACATTCTTGAAGAAAGTCGTACCACTAGAATAGCTGGTCAGTCACTGCATACTTCAAAGAAAGCATGCGATACTACAAAGAGTAACGTTAATAGTACTCACTAGTAGAAGATAAAGTTCTATTCAGAATATTAGTAATTTAATTAATCATTGAAAGGAATGTACTTACGCATCCAGTCAACTGCTGAAGCATTTGTAGAACGCAACCGGTTAGAAGTCGACGACCTAGATGCGGCGAACCTAGGAAGATATCTTTATATGATGAAGAACCTAAACTCAACTCATATTCATGGTTCGCTTCAATTTCCGCCAATTCTTCGATCAAAGCAGGATGCGTTATGTCAAGGCGACGAAGGCGACTTAAAGATGAAGCAGCTGCCTGATGTTGACCACGTTTGATGAGATATCGAGGTGTTTCGGGTAATAAAACAAGGCCAAGGAAGAGAATGCCTGCCCAAACGAATTGTATTGCAAGAGGAATTCGAAAAGCTTTTGGCCCATCAATACTTTGGGTAAATATGTTGACGACGGCGGCGAGAAGAAGTCCACAAGTGATGGCGAGTTGATATGTGCATACGAGAGTTCCGCGAATCCATTTCGGTGACATCTCTGATTGATACAAAGGAACGAGAACAGAGATAATTCCAACGCCTAGGCCCGCAAAGAATCTATCGAGTTGTCAGTCTTCTTTGTATTCTATATCCGAGATAATGCAACATACCTTCCAGCTATAAGCATCGGAATCTGCATTGCGGCAGTCTGAAGTGCCACCCCGATACAAAATATACCGACCGAAATGATGAGAGATATCCGTCGACCAATTCGATCACCCATCGGCGCAGCCAGTAATGCTCCGAAGAAGGTTCCGGCACTCAAGATTGCCACGACTTGAGCGGATTGACTCGGCGTTATGGATAATTCATTGTCGGAAGGATCAACGTAACCAGTTGAGAATTGTTCGCGAAAGGCACGCATTGCCATCACTCCCGATATTGTCCTTGAATCCCATCTATCAGCTTTCATCGAGTCTTGAATTGTTTTCCATGCCAGTTACTCACCCCGTATCATAACCAAACAAGAGACCTCCTGTCGCGACGAATAAACCTATCATGATAGCCGGCGCCGATGAGCCGGCGACGTTATCGGGCTTGTGCCAGGTCATGGCGATTATCATGGTGTAATAGAATTGGACGACCGGTTGGCGTGGTGAATGAATGAACGTTGGAGGATGTGAGGAAGGGATTGAAGCAAGTCGAGATCGTTAATGATCACCGGGTTTTCGTGGATAGAAATTGGCATGCCCATTGGACGATGAATAATCTCCTGCAAAAAGCAAAGGTGAGAAGCATTCCCTTGTCCAGTATAAATCAGCACGTGGTTGACGGATGGAGGATAGGAATTGAGAGGCAGCGGGCGCACGAGGTAGAGGACGGGAGGAGGGTGTGAATGGGTCGGGACGTCTCGTCTTGTCTTGTCTTGTCTTTGAAAGACTGCTGACAATGAATGAAGATGGATGTTCGACCTAGAATTTAGGGTGTGGGGAAAAGGGAATCGTCTTTTTCTTGGGGAAGTTATGGAAGGAATCGAATGACTGGAAAGACTGGATTGACTGGGATGACGGGGATGACGGGGATTATGATTTGATTTGGTTTGGTTTGGGGAGAAAGTGAACGGGGGGAGGGGGGAAGAAATGAGTGTGACCCCAGCCCAGCCTTTTACGGAAAGAAATAGCGCTTTTAGCTCTTTTGGCTCTTTTAGCTCTTTTTTTTCACCAGAGATGGGAAAGCTGAGTGAAGTGTGGTAGGTGGGTGGTGGTGGGTGGTGGGAGGTGATGCATGTACAGAGTGAGAGTAGTAGGAGGTGATGCATGTACAGAGTGAGTAGTAGGAGGTGATGCATGTACAGAGTGAGTAGGTAGTCAGTCTCGTAGTCACGGATCTGATGCTAAGTGCAAAAGAGTTTCCAAGTGTGTGCCACCCTAGAAAGAAATGGGTTACTCTCTTTGATTTTTTCCATCTTTTCTTTTCACCTGTCACAATTCAGGCTTCAAGATGATTTGAATTTTGAGTATACCTAGGTAATACATATATGTATCAATGTGGCGTAGAATTTAAGATCAAAGTTGTAGCTCTGATTCTGATTCTGATTCTGATTCAATTCCACTTCAAGTCAAAGATTGAAAGTTAAAGTGCGGAGAAAAGGGTCGCCGTTAGAAGAGTGAAGGGTGAAAGTGAAGCATGAAAATCGAGACAGTATACTCGTATTGTGAGTGTTATGAGTGAAGGTTTGATAAGAGAAGGAAAAAATGATCAAAGAAGAAATGAAACGGGACTAATACTAATACCGATGCGAATACTGACACTGACACTGACATTGATAGATACCTAGATAGTGATAATGATAATGATAATGATAGTGATAATGATAATGATAGTCGAGGTTATCGTGGAATTGATTTGGAACATCTCTCTGGCATAAATCGAATAAAGTATACTTATTATCGGGTATTACTATTAAAAGGAAAGGTAATGTAGTATTTACCTAGTATTTATCGAGTATCTACCTCGCATCTATTGAAAAGTTAAAGAATCCTTAGATATAACATAATATAATATCTACTACTACATATATTCCCTCTAGCTCTCAAGGAAGATCGGGACTCGGGACTCGGAACAGCAAGGTTTACCAAGTCCCTAGATATATTCGAGCGATTCGTGAGTACCTTACCTCGAGCTTACGCAGTATAAATTGTATAATCAACTACATACTCGTGCTGCCAGAAAGTATGCAACTCCGATGCTAGATGCACATACCACAAGATGGTAAACTACAAGAGGACTAACCTGGTTTTCACAGCGCCGGAGTTGCATACTTCTGGCCGCACGAGTACCTAGTAGTGACATTCAAAAAAAAATATAAGGAATTACGAACGATTGGTCCAAATTTGATGACTTGAATTTCCACGGCTGATTATGGCTTGTGAGTTGAATTCCTACTAAGTAGGTACTTTGTATATTCAATTCTTTCGCTTTCGCTAGATGTAAAAAAGCTTGTTGTTTCATTTCCCCTCACAATGTATTCATCCCTACTCTATCTGCACATAATACAATACATAAAAATGCAGAGTCATCAAACAATCATAATTCATCTACATACTAGATATATATATATACATCTTATAACCTATTCTCTCTTTCCTATTCCTCTCTTCTCCTCTCCACCAAAAAAGAAAACTCAATATACAATCAATCACTCATATTCCCATCACAACATTTACCACAACGCCGCCAATATTATCATTTCATCGGGGCTGATTTTCTAGGCTTTTATGAATGGCACAACGTATCTCATCTCATCTCATTCATCTCTTCTCCTTTCATTTCTCGGTCACCGATTTTTCTTACGTTCTCTCTCATTGGTTTCTCGGATCCGGTGACTATGATATACCTAGTAGTAGTATTTCCAAATATACTTGTTTATCCATACTCTATAGAGAAGTAAGAAATTATATCTCTAGATATGTAAGTACCTATATACATATATATCCATACTCTATATCGTATAAGAGAAGTAAGAAACTGTCTAGATATGTAAGTATATATAGACCATACCAAGGTGGTATACTTATCATTACTACCTATACTCATCTCGATCTTCCATTCAATGTTTGATTCTCAATGAATAGGGAGACCTGGTTGAGAATATCTAATTTTGAACTTTTACATGGTTGTATGATGAATACCTAGTAACCTTTTTCATGCGGCTCAAGAGTCATCTACCTAGTACCTACGAGTATATAATATTATAATTACCGATATCTCAGTTTGCTACTTCTTTACCTCATCTCGTCTCACTATATAAACACAAAACCCTACAAAGCATCATATCATTTCAGAGCCTCGTCGATACTGTAACACACACATGTATATATATATACCCATCCACCAAATACAAACCCATCAGCCCCCCAATCACCAATCACCAATCACCATACCTCACAACACCAAGACCACATCCCCACCACTCATGAATTCCACACCAAATCCAAAAATATCACATGTATACCTAGTATATATATACCTATATACCACAAGACGGCTTTCCACTCCTCCTCTGCATCCATTACATTCCACACAAAATCCAAATCTACATCCCAAGATAGATACTAGGAAGGTAGGTATACACTCGATCCATACATAGCCATACAGACAAACAAAGACATCCCTCCACTCCATCCTATCACTCTCTACTTTCACACTTGGCATGGATACATATCTCAATACGATGTATGAATGGATAGACGCATACCTACTATACCTGCAGTACACATGCACACATGCATCTACGAAAACTGTAGTGTAACTTTAGTTTTGGAAACAATTTTGTATGGTGGGAATTGAGATTGGGATTGGGATTGGGATTGGGGTTTCCTTTTTAGAGTGTTGGCTTGGGATGTGGATTATGGATTATGGATTATGGATATGGATTATGGGATGTTTTGTTAGCTCTTGTAATGTGATTGATGTATGCTTTTTCTTATACTCTGTATGATTTAAAACAAGTGTACATATATTGTTGCGATTGTGGTGGGGTTTATGGGTATTTACCGGTGCAGGTGACTGGGCTGGTGTTGATATTTATATTTATATCTTTTCTTTTCTTTCTTTTCGCCTTACTTTACTTGTTGCTGCATGTACTCCAAGCCAAAGCATATCAACGGGTTTCCAACTACCGACTCGGGCCAATATGAACTTGAACTTGGCGTTTCCATCTTCTTTGAAGCTTTTAGCGTTCTAAGATTCTATAGAGATTATATACATACATATATGTACGAGTATACCTAGTACTATTACATATATTCAAACCACCCATCACAACCATCCCATTCTATATACTAGGTATCCTCTATCAACCCCATGAAATCAATCTCCCAGAACAAAAGCAAAGCACAATTTCCATATCTTCATCTTCATCTCCATCTCCATCCCCATCCCCATTCTCATTACCTCACCCACCTCCAAACCTCCCAATGACACACACTCCTTCCCGAATCCCATCCTCTGGATCTCATTACCCCTCCCAATACCAAGACCACCAACATCAATACCAACACCACCTACTTCCAATTCCCATATCCGTCACATACTCCAATGACAATGACATTTTCTTTTTCTTTTTCTCATGCATTGTGCATACCTAATATAATATACCATACACTACCTAGGTAGGTAAATACATCAAAACAAAAAAAGGTGAATATGCACTCAAATCACACTTTCCTAGACAAACCACAAGCTATGCATAAGCGATGAGCCATCGAGTAGTTAAACGTCATATAAGATATTTAGGAGAATAAGGTAAGATTTACATCTCCTCTCTCCAGCTTCTTGCATCATATCATGTCTTCATTCCTAGCTAGCAATGGTTTCCATCTTCTGAAATCTGGTCTTTTATCTCCAGCTTGGAAGTATATTTGTGCGTGTTAAATCTCTTGGAGATGTCTATACTCATATCCGTATCCATACTGATACTCATACCCCAATATCCATCCAATATCGAATATCCATCCAATATCCAATATCCAATATCCATCTAATACCCTAATATCCATCCAACATCAAATATCCCATCACAACCTCACCTCACCTCACCTCACCTCACTCCACCTCACCTCACTTTTAAATCCTGATTCCCGATTCCCGATTCCTGATTCCTAACAGACAGATAAAAAAAAAATAGAATAGAATATGATATAATATACCACAATACAAAATATCCACATTACCAAGTCCACCTATCTACATATCTTTCTCTCTCTCTCTCTCTCTCTCTCCCCCTCACACACACACACACACACACACAAACATACAACCTCTCTCTCATATTCATCTATCCATCCATCCATAGAATACCCTTCTCATTTCGCACCTCTCCATCTCGAAGATCGCTCGTACATCATATCAGATCACAGCAGATCATATCTCGTCAAATTCTCAAACTCCAAACTCCAAACTCCAAACTCCAAATCAACGACCAGTTCCAGCACCATCACCAATAACCACCCTCCATTCATCCCACATATGAACACCATCACCACACCATCTATTCATACCAACACCAACACTAACACCAACACCAATACCAACACCAACCCATTCCAACCCATTCCCCTTCCCATTCCCCTTCCCATTCCCCTTCCCATTCCCCTTCCCATTCCCCTTCCCATTCCCCTTCCCATTCCCCTTCCCATTCCCCTTCCCATTCCCCTTCCCATTCCCACCCCCCCAAAACCTACAATAGTCCACTAAATCATAACAAAACCCATCAGATATCTCCCATCCATCTCCCATCCATCTCCTATCCCTCCCTCCCATACCCGTCCTCTTATTCTTGCAAATCTCCCATCCCAACTTCCACCTCCCATCCCTCTCTCCATCCCCAAACCCCCAGAATCGCGGGGTACATAATCCGGGGTACATATTTCTCCATATCTCTCCATGCCACTCCATACTCCAACCCACTTCCACTTCCACTTCCACTTCCCACTTCCCACTTCCAACCCCATACCTCTAGCTAATCGGTCCTTTAGACCTCACCTACCTAGTAATTAACACATGATTAGCATGTGTTCATACATAGATTTAAGTGGATCTATCTCGGGCTTTCGTTACAAATGCAAATGTTGAATTGGGGTAGATTACTTACTGATTATTGACAACGTCAATAAGAGTGGAGTGGGTATCGAAATCACGAGTTAATTGGGAGGAAGCAATTACAGGATTACAATATGCAAATATCCAGCAGAATTGTAAACTATCCAGTTAAATTAGAAGTGTCATCTCATCTCATCTTGTCTTATATCAATACAATACAATTTCTTAAACGAGAAGAATGATCCATCCCATCATCAAGCCAAAACCTAAGCCGAAACCCCATATCTCCATTCACCGTAATACATCCCATAACAAGTCATTTTCTCAGTCTCAAGTCTCAACCCTAACGAAGTAAACTCATAGTTCCAAAGTAGGTGTGACACCTTTAACTCTTCCAATAACCTGACTAGCAGCATACTTAGGAATAACTTCATCATCATGAAGCATCTCAAATTCCTCAGTAGCATCTCTACCCATGAAATTCATAAGAGCTTGTGGTCCACCTGGATGTTCGTCTAACCAATCCGATACATCCATAACGACACCCTTAACCACAACCCATAAATCTTCTTTCTTGTTGTGTTTGGCAACTTCCTCCATTGTGAATTCCTTTTCTGGAATTTTGAATTCGGATAGTTTAGTTGGCTTGCTAACTTTCCCTGGATCAGATGAGTCTGCTCCATTCTTCATGACTGGACCGGCTGATGTTTGGGATTGTTGAGCTACTTTGTCGCCACTACCAGAAGATTGGCTATCCCACTCAACGGAGATCTTCCCAGGTTGTGATGGATCAATGTGAAGGGAAATTTGACCAAGACGTGATGCAGGACCAAGATTACCCTTGAGAGCATTTTGGAAAAGGTAATTGCTAGCAGAATCACCTGCCACACGTCCGTAGACAACACAACCAAGTAAAGATGATCCACCAAGACGATTGGCACCATGAACACCTCCTGCCAATTCACCACAGGCATAAAGACCTTCAAATGGTTTGCCTTCTTGGTTAAGAATTTGTGCATCTGCGTTAATCTCGATACCACCCATGGTGAAATGAAGAACAGGCTCCATAACAGCAACGTGGAAGTCATCGTCAATATCAACTGGTCCATTGTGGAAAAACTTCTTGCCATATGGATCCTTCTCCTTGCCTTCGGCAATTTTGTTGTATTTCTTGAAGGTTCCTTGAAGATGATCTGGTGTACAACCAATCTCCTTTGCCAATTCCTTACCAGTCATCTTCTTCATGAGACCACGACCAGAGTAATGACGTGTGTGGAAGTCAAGAACATTTGATGCCTTGGAGTTGAGAATAAGACGAACTGGGAATTTTCCCTTGTCCTTTTCTTTCCACATCTCACCGGAGACGTAATCTCTGTGACCAAGTTCGTCACAGAAACGATCACCATCACCATTCAATAGAAGACCTCCCTCTCCACGAAGAGCCTCAGCGGCCAAGAACTTCCACTTAGATCCAGGATCCTTAGGGTCAACAAGACCAGTTGGATGTACCTGAACTTTGTCCATATCGATTCCATTACCACCAATGGCCATGACCATCTTTTGACCATCACCAGTAGCGTGAACACCGTTGGTAGATGCCAAGTCATATGTATCAGGTCTGTGTTTCTTGAGTAGAGATGTTTCTGTGAAATCTGCTGCGTATCCACCAGTGGCCAAAACGACTGGTCCTTCAACAAATGAAGGTTCTCCACCGAATTCATAATTGACACCGGTAATCTTGTTTCCTTCCTTTTTCAGTCCTGTAACTCGTGCCTTCTTGATAATTTGTACACGTTCGGGTTCTGCTTCAGCGAGCTCCTCTAGCCTTTGCATTAAAGCATATGTAATGGCCATACCCGGGAATTTCGCATCGTGTCCACGGTGAGTTCTTGGATGTGAGTGACCACTGAGTCAATTAGTAAATGTCTGAGCGATTAATGTGTATGTAGTCTTTGCTTACCCTAGTCGTGATACGAGAGTCAAATCTAATCCGAATACATCTTGAAGCCATTCAACAGCGGCAGCAGACTTATATGTCAAGACCTTGATCAAATCCGGCCTTGCCTTATCTCTTGCCGATTTCAGTGTGTCATCGTAGAATTGCTTTACACTGTCTTGAATCTTTTGGTCGACTTGAGTTCGAGTAAGTGCTCCATTAATACCGGAGGTAGCCTCTATTTATACATTAGCAAATGATTTGCGAATCAAGAATCGTTTTACTTACTTGTCGAGTTTCCACCAAAGAAGGCTATATGTAGCAGTCAGCATGTGTTGTTGACGATCAACGCGAGAAAGAGTGGCGCAAAGCGTGTCTCGCCATTCAGACCGATCTTTGGTTGAAAGTGATGTGAAGTGTATTAAACACTATCGCGAGTTCAACTTACCTTGTTTATCTAGAACAACGACGTTGCCACCAGCCAGGTAAATGGTATGTGCAGCACTCAAGCCAGATACTACAGTCAATATTAGCTTCAGTACACTTTCAAAGGACAAAGGTAATCAAACATACGACCACCGCCAACGACAATTACTCTAGGTGCCATTTTAATTAGAATTGTGTGTAGAGAAGATGATGAGAGGGTAAAAAATGTCTTGAGAAAGAGAGTTTAGAGGATAAATAATAGAAAGAATCTTAGAGAATGGGTTGTTGGGGGTTAAATGTAATAGCGCTCTCGTCTCTCCGCTGGAATGGGTGCCGAGGCATTACGGGTCCAAGTTTTAGCTTGGAGCTAAGGTGCTAAGCAAGAAAAGTAAGTTCCTGATTCGCTCAGAATCTCTCAAATGTTTATGTCAGCATACGGAACTGGGGAAAATTTATGGGGTTTGAACGGTCAAAATTTCCGGAAACGATGTTGATATAATGATTTGACGGGGTTCAATATAGTTCGAACTTGAAGTGGTCTAATGTAAAGTCCGCAGACAAAAATGAAAACAGCAACATAATTTTAGAAAGTCTAGATAGACATATTCGTTCTCATAACGTTGGTGACACTCGGATACTTAGACATTGTTTGAAATCGGCCTGTAACGATATCACGAGTCAGATTACAATGCTACAAAGAGAAGAGGCGGGTATCGAGCATGTGAAAGCCGGTCGGAGCTAAGCCCCACAAAATCAATGTTAAGGTTACTACAGGTTTTCAATGCATCAGATGATTTGATCTCAGGTCATTTTGTTCCTTTCAGCAGGAATATCGAGAAATTTTGATTGAAAGAGTTATTAACATGTGAAAGAAGTTGTGTGTTGCTAGTTTGCCTATATATCCGAGTAGTTGACTGAGCCGAGTGAATACATTCACTATTAAAGGGGTACACTTAAAGAGGAGTAGGTTGTTGTTTACTTTACTTGACAGTTCCAACTCAATTGATGTAGATATGCGTACTTGGTATTAACCATAAACTAAGCTAATCGTAACTTCTATATGATCATCTCAACGGCTCTATATACTTCAGATATTCCATTCAATCTATCTAGGCGAGTTAGGCTATTTGCTAGAAAATCGGTGTGGTCTGGACATTCTTGCATCTTGAGGTTTCAGAGTACTGGGGCCTTCCTTTTCAAAGTTACTTTGTAGATGACTTATTAGGCTTTACTGGCTTTTGTGAACTCTGATGATACAAATTGATGGGAAGTAGCGATATATCCCTCTGCTGCCGTATGATATAGGTTGAAATCGAAGAAAGGTATCTGATCACGTGTTAACTCTGCTAGTTGATGTGGGCTGAAGAAGCGGGCAGAGACGATCGACCGTACTCCGTATGCTAATTCGTCATCCCGCATTTCTATATCAAGATATCAAGATTTGGGTAAAATAACAAAATCCATCAATAAAAAAAAGTAATAATAAGATGAAATACACGTCCTCAATATCATTTCTTTTGACGGTATTCTTCGCTGCTACGATTTCAGGTAAAGATATACAAGGACCTCTGTCAGACAACAATCTTGGTCCCGCGATGCCTCCTAAATCAGAACCCTCTTCTGATCCCGTCGGTGGAGGTGACACAATCATTCTATCGGATGTTCTAGGCAGAGATCGAAGCATCAATATATTCGCTGGATTTACAAGAGATATAGCACCCATAAGTCAGCGATTTGCTGATGGTGGCCAAAACACAACCATTCTTGCCCCAGTCAACAGTTGTATAATGGCTCTGCCTCGAAAGCCATGGGAAGACCCAGAAGATTATGATAAGCTTGGAGCCAATGCATATGAGGGTAAAGATGGAGAAGAGAGGGCCCATAGGAATCTGCGGAGATTTGTGGAAGCTCACATCGTCCCTGCGAGTCCATGGAAGGAAGGTGAGAAAATAAAGACTTTGGTTGGAAATGAGGTCTGGTGGGAGAATAAGGACGGAGTGAAACGAGTGAGTTTTATTATGAAACATGTAGTCCATACTTACTGACCTCTTTCGTAGTTGCAACCTGGAAATATTGAGGTCTCAAGCACAACAGGTGATGTTCACAACGGGCAAGTCTGGATATTGAAGAATGTCAGAAACTACGCATAGAAACTGCTTGGACATTACTTGCAGAGATTGGCTTTACTTGGACTTGGGAATCCAAGTGTTAGTGAATTCGACTGGGCACATACATAAGGGGGTTTGCCCTTGACGTCGCATATCATAATAATAATAAATATTCTGTCTTCGAAATGTCCACGTGCGTTACACAATGATGATTACATCATTCGCACCCTGAAAATTGTCAAAGAACATTGGAATATCGAATCGATCAATAGTGTCTCCATAATAGCTTGATCTTGCAATGAATGGAATGTGCTTCAGTGAATACCTACACATGATATGTCAAATATCAGTGGGCCTACCGAATAAAGAATTGACAGCCTCGCCTTCCCTACCTAGTTTTACTCAGCCTTGAAGCATTAGCGGTAATCGCCGGCACGCTAAGGGAAATCATCATTGCGATCATTTGGAAATTCTCATAACTCAGTGTCGACATCTCGCTTGCTATTCGTTTTGATTGATGAATCTAGAGGGACAGTGAGTTATTACAATAGAGATATATCTCTGAATCATACTGGAAATTAGATTCACTTCTATGGAACGGCATTAGTGGTTTTTACTCCATTGCGCCGGAGCATAAAGCCTTGCGCGTACTTGCAAGCTACTTGGTCAGTACCTCCTCATTCATTGTTGAGTCAAGATTCACTTCACATTCATGATCAGAATTAGAGCTAGTGATATGACATGTCAAAACTCTTCATTTATAAATGAGCTAACATCTACTACTATTCGAAGTTAGCTTATCGAGAGAATCAATCGAGAATCAAATCAGCCAACTAGAAACAAAACGTTATGAATAATCAACCGCATAACGGACCCCCAAACTTCGATCGAGATCGAGATATGGAAGAACAACTCAGACAACGTGCTTTACAGCATAAGCAGGAAGAGATCACGGCGCAGCGCGAGCGCGAGCTTGAGAGGCAAGAAAGAGATCGACAACACAGAGAACAAACATATCAACCAGCACCTCCTCATCAGAGCAACACCGGTAGCATACCCTTACATCAACCTGTTGCGAACCGGGCAACTACAGCAATGCATAGTCCAGGAGGGATTCTTGCTACGCATGGTACTCCATTAGGAGCTCCAAGCGGACCTGTGAACGCCTTTGGTGGACCGCTTCATAATGATGCAGCACGCACTTTGCAACATCATGCTCAAAACTCCGCGCAGCAACCCCTCCAGCAATCCATATTTGGCTCCGAGCCTATCTTCAGCCGTGGTTCGGGTGGCCCCCAGTCAAATGTGCCACTTGGAGTACCAGATGTTGGCTTTGGCAGGCCACAACTAGTTCCACGAGAGACGACTCAACAGGAAGTAGCAGCCGCAAGGTTGATGCCATTCACACCTGTTACACCTGGTCATCAGATGCCTGGGCCAGCTGGTCTGACACAAGTTGGCCAACAGCCAATTCTTAATGTAAGTTTTCAGTGAAAATTGTCTATGTTGCCCATGCGTGCTTGGGTATATCAAAGCTATGACGCAAGTCTAATTCCTTATAGGATGCTCTTAGTTATCTCGACCAAGTCAAAGTTCAGTTTTCAGATCAACCTGACGTTTATAATCGGTTTCTTGATATCATGAAAGACTTCAAAAGTCAAGCGTAAGCTATATTTACTTTACCAGCCTTGCACATCAGATTTTGTTGCAATAGCATGTCCTATCCATATTCTAACTCATAGCTCACTTTTAGAATCGATACTCCTGGTGTTATCAATCGGGTTTCCGAACTCTTTGCAGGTCATCCAAATTTGATTCAAGGCTTCAATACATTTCTACCACCTGGATATAGAATTGAGTGCGGTGCCGACAATAATCCAAATACAATTAGAGTCACGACTCCAATGGGAACAACTGTTCAATCAATTCCTGGAGCTGGTCGTGTACTTGGGGAAACTGTAGTTAGCCACGGCAGCGGCGCAAACGGCTTTTACAATCCTCAACGTCCAGGAAATTGGCAGCAACAACCACAACATAGCATCGAAAGTCCAGAAGCCGTGTTTAGTCCACCTCACCAGAATGCTACGGTTCCTTATGGTCACAATCAAGCGCAAATTGGACCATACGACGCACAAACGCAAGCGCAAGCAGCAGCAGCAGCCGCCGCGGCCGCAGCTCATCAACAACAGCAGCGGGGTGTTTCTCAATTGACTAACGCTGTCAGTGCAACTTTAGGTCAACCACCGAGAAACACGCAAACCCCAACGCCGGGCGGTAGCTCTGGTAATCTGAACGGTTCCAGTGCGCAAGCGGGCATGGAAAAGCGTGGCCCGGTTGAGTTTAATCATGCAATAAGCTATGTTAACAAAATTAAGGTATGAATTAATGATCATTTCAATTGTCTTGAAAATATACTGATCATTTACCCTAGAACCGTTTCCAAGACAAACCTGAAATTTATAAACAGTTTCTCGAAATTCTCCAAACATACCAACGCGAATCTAAACCTATTCAGGACGTTTATAGTCAGGTAACTACCTTGTTTGGTACGGCGCCAGATCTTCTTGAAGATTTCAAACAATTTCTTCCCGAATCAGCTGCACAAGCAAAGGCTGCGAAGGAGGCCGCGGAGGAAGCAACAGCAATGCCAGATTCTTCTCAAAGTGCTCAACTTGGAAATAGAGGTCCTACAGGAGATCCCAAACTCCCAATTATGGGAAACTTTCCCATCCCTGTATCTACTAATGGCAAAACAGAAAAAAAGCGCAAGCCTCTCACTCAAGGAACCAATTCGCAAATGGGTAATGGAGGAGAAGGCTCTGTTCGTGGCGCTGGCCAACAACAACCCAACAAGGGTAATTTAGGCTTCAAGCTATTCTTTTAAAAAAAATCATTATTTATTGAGATATTTACTTAATACTTTGATTTGTATAGCGATCGAAAACCCATCATAACAGTAAACCACAAGCTGCTGATGCAGCTGCGGTATCTCCGACCTTAACGCCAATCGTACCCGAACCACTTCCTCCTGCATCGATGTCTGCCGCGAGTTCTGAAGAATTGGCTTTCTTCGATCGCGTGAAGAAATATATTGGCAATAAGTCCACTATGAATGAGTTTTTGAAGCTCTGTAACCTTTTCTCACAAGACTTGATAGATCGAAACGTCCTCGTATTCAAAGTTCATAATTTCATTGGTGGAAGTGCGGACCTGATGAATTGGTTTAAAGCCTTTGTTAATTATGAAGGCGTCGACGAGGTCATCGATAATCGCCCAAAGGCTCCGACAGGAAGAGTTGCGTTGAGTAATTGTCGAGGCTTGGGGCCAAGTTATCGCTTGTTACCGAAAAGAGCAAGTTTTCCTCTCCCTCAATACTTCTAGCTTCAAAATTTTCATCCATCATTTCCCAGAGAGTGAACATGCTTGTTAGACCAGAGCACTTTGCTAATACCAATAATAGGAACGATTGAAGCCTTGTAGTGGTCGAGATGAGATGTGCCAAGCCGTTCTTAACGATGACTGGGCTTCGCATCCCACATGGGCATCAGAAGATTCGGGTTTCGTAGCTCATCGAAAGAATATTTTCGAGGAAGGTCTTCACCGCATCGAAGAAGAACGTCACGATTACGATTTCAACATTGAATGTAACGCCAAAGTAATACAACTTCTTGAACCAATCGCACAGCAGATCGTTGCCATGGATCCAGCTGAGAGGCAGAACTTTCGCATGCCCAACACTGCTGGTCCAAACCAAGCTATTTACAAGCGTGTATTGAAGAAAATTTATGGTGCAGAGAAAGGTCCACAAGTCGTTACCGATCTAATTCAAGATCCTTGCGCTGTGTTACCTGTAATTTTAGCACGACTCAAGCAGAAGGATGAAGAATGGACCTTTACTAGAGTGAGTATCCTATATTCCAGCAATGTAGCATCGCTAATATAAGTATCAGCGTGAATGGAATCCTGTCTGGGGTGCACAAGGTGGTGTTATGTACCTGAAAAGTCTTGACCACATGGGCATTCACGTCAAGCAAGCCGACAAGAAGCATTTTGCTGCAAAGCATTTAGTGGATTCTATTAAGACCAAACACGAAGAACAGCGACGCCTTAGAAGTTCGAGAGGTCCCACGCCAAAATATCAGTACTCCTACCAATTTGCTGATCAAGAGGTCATCTGCCAGCTTTTACATATCATGATTGTCTATGCCTGCAATGCAAGCCAACACAGTAGTTCCGAGCGTCGACGCATTGCGGACTTCTTTGAGAAGTTTGTATCTACATTCTTTGACTTACCTGAGGATCTTGTTGCACTTCACACTGCTGACATTGATCGTGGAACTCCTGATGATGATTACGAAGATATTACCCCGGCTGAGCTTTCTAATGGCCGAGGCAGGCGACCAGTAAATGGAAAGAAAGCAGACCTACGACGAGGAGTACTTGATAAAGGTCGCAATGGCACAAGAGGCCGGGGACAGAAGGAAGACAGCGCTACTGGCAGTAAAGAATCTACACCAGATGTTGATTCTAATGTGGATGAAGAAGTCAACGAAGCAGCTGAAGATAGAACTATCACTGAAGTCACTAACGAGCGTTGGGCTGCTGTGCCAGGTGCAGTTGCTGTCCAAGGAACAAAACCTCTTGAATCTGACGACTTGGAAATGAAAGCGGATCAACCATTTCAACGCGATTGGTATAATCTGTACTGCAACCAAACCATTTTTGTATTCTTCAGCGTTTTCCAAACTCTTTATCAAAGACTCAAGGACATTAAAGATGCAGAGAGCTCTGCGAGAGCAGAAATGGAACGTGCAAAGAGTGGCAAACCTGCAAAACAAATTGGTTTGCTAAGCGACAGAACGGATGATTTTACTAGTATCGAAGATGGCGAGTCTTGCTTCTCAAAAGTCCTGAGCATTGTCGAAAAATTTATCAAGAGCGAATATGATGACACTAAATACCAAGACTACCTCCGACGTTACTACTTGCAGACAGGATGGAAGATATACACCATAAGCGACCTTCTTAAGACTCTTTGTCGCCTTGGCTCCACCTGCTCATCTCCCGATGCCAAGGAGAAGACTCCGGATCTCATTGAACAATTTTTACGCAACAGAGAGTCGAAAGAAACATCTTATAATATTGAGATTAATTTACGGAAACAAGCCGATAAATACATCAAAGATTCAGAATTATTCTTGATCAGATGGGTAAGCAATTCTTGGTTCCATTTCACAAGTATCTGCTAACAAGATATCAGTACCCCAAAAAGAATGAAGCGACATCACAGTGGGTCCATCGAGACGAAACTACATTCGATCTTGATATAATGCAACGAAAAGAGCGTTGGCAATATTATACATCTTCTTATGTTCGTATTGAACCGACCGAAGGCGTCCCCCGTAGACTTCTTCGCAAGAGCCTCCTTACCCGCAATTTACCATCAGGAGATACAGATTCTGAAGATGGTTCTAATCAACGTAAACCTCTTGTTTGGGGCGAGGATCTAACGCTCAGAATCTGCGTCAATAGTTACAAGATCATCTACAAGGAACCCGGCGTGGAATATTTCATTTATGCCGATAAAGCTCTAGGCGGGGGTGAAGAGGGTGAGACTAGACAAAGGTTGAAGAAGGTTGAGGAATCAAGAAACCAAAGATTTCATGAGAAATTTGGAATGAATAATCGATGGATGAAGGAAAAGAGCCACGAAGAAGTTAGTAGGATCAATCAAGAATTTAGAAAATGGGTCAATGAGGGTGTTCTTCCCTCAACACAGGCTGCTGGCAGTGGCAATGTCGTTTCTGGGGCTACATCAGCAGCACCTACTGCGTCAACGGCCACAGCAGCCGTTGATAACGAGGTAGATATGGCTGATTAAGTTCAGAAGGCATTTGTTTTCAAGATGGGCTGGATATGGGAGGAGTTTGGGAATGGGTTTCGTAACGACATTCTCTTTTCAGTTTTTTATTTTTTCGTTCCTTTGGTAAATCTCAAAGAGCTTGAAATTCTTCAATCACGTGGCTGTCATGGATTCATTTGCGAAAGGTGGCATGGAATCTACAAGCGGACTGAGGTATTGGACTTACTAAGGTATCTAGTAGTCTCTCTCGCTTCTATTTTTAGGTAGTAAAAACTGGGTGACTTGGGTAGGGTGTGTTTTATATGCTGTATGATAGATAATTAAAGTCTTGAACGGATCCGTAAGTGAGGAATAGTGTGATGGTGTGAGATGTGAATACAGGGTAAGATGTGCATTGAATCATAAAACTGGTTACTTGCCTTATTTGAATTTGCTGCCATCGTGTATCGTAGGAACTTGGCTCAGCCAGGCCGCTAGTGTGGCTATAGAGTATTTTCAGGATAGATTGTCGTGATGGTCAAATGAAATCGCAGATCAAAATGTATTCTTTTCTTGAAGTTGGGGGTCTGATTGAGGTGATTTGATTGAGATGTTGAGAGCAGGCTTAAGCATCTCAATGTTACGAAATAAACAGAACATTAAAATCAGATTGCTTATCCAAACTTGGATTAATAATCAACAATTCAACATTTTCCATTGAAACTTGAATATAAAGATCTAAAAGTTATCTAGATAGTGATTGATAGAAAATCATGAATCTTGTTATATCTTTTAAACGAATTCCTCTCAAAATGCGAGATCGAGTTAGGTGCTTTGGAAGATTTTTTGATTTTGGTGGCTTGGTGTCCCATTTTTACCGTTCACACCAAGGCTATGTGAAAACTTGGTATGCGGCACACATTGAGAACCACAGCAAGTAAATAATGTTGTTTCATACTGGTTTTTTTCGACTGCAACGCTGCATGCAATCGTTTATGGAATGTCCTCGCACCTCTCCTACTTGAATTGGATGGAGGTACGTGTTGCACCGTGCATGCATATATTGGACCTGACTACTTCAGCAATTCATCTTCATACTGAGAACCAATTGTTGTCCCGGGTTACATTAGCGTGGTAATCACACCCTGTTATCTCTTCATGCTGCGTGGCATTTTAATCAACCTCATCAACTATTCTTATGCCGGTAATAATGGGTTTTCAGCTCGGCGGGATGAGGCGAGGGAAAGCCGCCAACTTAATTTTGTGACTTCTTTCTTTGCTCCATTCTCTCTTTTGTCGTCGTGTTTTGGTATCGGAAAACTTCAGCTTTGGTTTATGATGGATCGCAAGGACGAAGCACAAGAATTGCCAGCGGGAGGTGGAGAAGAACATGAAGAGGTTGTAAAGTCGCAAAAAGAAAATACAGAAGAGGATGAGAATGACGATGAGGAGGGTGGCGAAAAGAAAAACGATACCCAGGAAAGTGACGACAAGAAACCTGATGACGAGAAAGTTATGCCTAAGAAATTCTGGATTACGGAACTGCCAGACCCAGAAGATACTGAATTCAGGAAATACACTCATCGTTAGTTATCATCCCATTTATCTCATCTGTACTGAACATCGATTCAAGGCACTCCAGTTGAGGGTACCCATGATTTCTCAATCTACGAGCCGGGGAACAAGCAATGCAGTATGTGGGAGTCACATCCGGATCATGAGTGCTACTCATCGTTTGGAGATGGAGGGACAACAGCAACTGTGAATGCGTTTGGGCAACTCATGCAATTCAGCACTTATCTTGGCCCAGGAAAATCTGGCATGTTTTGTGTAGACCATACATCTATCTCTATTCCCTATTTCGTTCGGAGCAGAGCGAATCAACTGGATCGCATGTCCCGGGCCCGCAATCGAGGCAGGATGACGTACGGTGTATATTTCCCAGATCTGATTCTAGAAGATGATTTGGTCCGGAAATACGTACACTGTAGGTGGCCGCGGTATGAATACGAGAGCGAAAAGGCCAAACTCGTCAACCAATGGATGGTGCATGATGGAGTCGTTTTACAGCAGTGGCGGTTCACTAATCTCGATACTGAAGAAATCTCAACGAAAGTTGTGTTTTCGAAAGACATGCTCATTCGGGATGTGCAGTATCAGGGATGGAGTCTCTTCAAATCTTTTTGGGGTACAAATAACAACCACCACTTCTTGGGACCGGAAAGTTATAGCTGGATATGCTTGCATGGATTATCGGAAGATGACTCAACTAAAACTGGAGAAACTAGGCCAATGGACAATTCTATCGGAGTGATCGTGTCTGTATTCATTGACGGTGTTGCCGTGAAATTCCACTCCAATGAGGAATGGAATTTAACCGTCGAAATTGAACAAACTAAAGAAGTTTTTGTTGCATATAAGTTGGTATATTTAACGTCGGAGATTTTAAATGATTGGAAACAGTTTTTGGTGGAGGCGGATAAAGCGAATGTCAATAATCTGTTATTAAAAGAGTTTGAATCGACGCAATATCGTCCGATACAACTTTCCAGCCTTAGAGATTCCATACCCAATGTCTCTGCTAGTGAAACTACGGCGTGGGATAAGATCAAGAGTAACCTTGACTTCATCTTCCAAAGGCATCTGGAACACATTCTTAACGTTTGCACGATTCCCATTACATCTTACCAGGGTAGCAATGATACGCCTGCTGTAGCCTTGACGTGTGGGGATATGTCAGCTCATCGGATCTGTACTTCAGCTAGTTTGTGAGTTTCTTTTTGCAAGGAATTTACTCGGTTTATGTAGGCTAATGGTCGAATTTCTAGCTTTGCGTTTCTGTTCCTTCTCCAAGCAGACTCTCATCTACGATTAATCGAAGCGCCTGGCGAAATATACGTTTCATCACTTCGAGATAGAATAAAAAAAGTATGCAAAGGACATTTGATATGGCTGAATGACGCAGAGTTATCAGAAGATGGCTTTTTTGAATCCGGCTACGCGATTAGCGGAAAGATATTGAACTACGAAGAGTTGGGAGATAAACCATCAGGTAATCTTCTTACAGATACAGCATTTCAGATCATTAAGGCAGGGGAATTTGCTGAACATTACAGTAAAGATTTTGGAAAAAACGAGGGTCAGCTGGCTCGCAAAGTTGTCAGGCTGATTCATAGCAATTGGATAACGCATCTAGATGAACTCGATGAGAGAGGCAAGTTTGCATGGCCTAGACCTCAACGCGAGGATCTCCGTATCTTCCGCCTAGATGACCATGTCTGGGCTATCAGGGCTCTTAAGATAGCTGAATCCATGATCTCCCTCAAACAATTAGAAGGAGATATCCCGGAACAAACTATTGGGGCTTCAACGAGGCCAACCAAGTCAGTTTTGGCAAAGGAGTATTCTTTCGCCAATACGAAGCGGGAAGTTGTACAACGATTTACCATCCAAAATCCAAACTACCAATCTAAAAAGAGAATGCTAGCTGTGACAAGATCCGTACGGGAATCCAGATTCTTGTTTCATGCGCGAGATAGCGCGCTTTTCTATAATGCCGACCAAGTGGAATGGAGAGGCACTCAATTTATTGAGCTGTTGAAAAACACAATTGACTCGCAACAACATCATGTGGATAATGATGAGTCTGGCTGGGACAATACACTTCGCTATGCTTTAGCCATAATCATGGGTACTGGCGGGTACAAGATTAATGCAAAGTCGTCGTTTGAACTAGTCCATTCATCTATCGATATCCTTTTCCGAAGCTTTAGTTCCAACGGGTTTGTTCCGGGGCAGCTAAATAAGGACACGAAGGAGCAGGCTTTATTCCAACTGAAAGAACACGCAGACTCCTATTATCACGCTAGTTTTGAGATACCCTATATTCTTCTTCAATACGCTACTAAAATATACGGTCTATATGAAACGCAGCTTTCTGAGATGATAGCTTCGGATTTCTTAGCTACTGCAGAACCGATGACCGATCTTGGTAATTCTCAACACACAAAGCTTCAGCGACGTGAGAGTATCTTTGACACAACTCTAGTCTCAATACCGGCAAATGAACAGAATAAACCAGCAAAAGTCGTAGATACTATGAGAGCTCGGACAAATGTTACCATGAAGAAAACAACCCCTTTCAATGACTTGATCGATATGAAAAATATTGTAGACCGTGATGATGAATGGCTATACAATTATCCCTCCATATTTTCGAGAAAGACCACAATCGATTTAAAAGAAGCACTACGGTCCGCAAAATCGAGCGCGAGTTACTCAGAAATTGGTGATGGTGTCATCAGAAAGAAACTTGACAATTTAGAGGGAGATCTTTCTGATGGACTTGCAAGGTGCAATTACTGTTTTGTTGTTGATACAAAAAAAACGAAACATCTCGGGAGAGGGGATGAGCGAGGTGACCTAAGCCTACTATTTCACCGTTACCAGACCTGGGTTACCCTCGGGAGGCCTCGTACTCCAGAGCTAGCCAAGAAACGCTTGATCTGGATGCCTCTGGTTGGTGAGTTTCAAGCTGCTTTGTGCTACTTAGCCACTCCTGAAATATATCAGATGTCGGTCTCCTCATTTTTTGATCGACATGTGAAAAACGAAAGTTATTTCTTTGAAGATACAGCTCTTTTGGCAAATTCATGGGAGACTGAGTTCCATCTGAGTTTCTATTCACTCATCGATTCAGATTCCAATCATGCTGAAGGAATAGCTACTTCATCCATGGAAGAGTTCCCAAGTGGTAATCAAAAAAAGAAGATCGCTCTTGCTTCTATGGGCTTCCGCTTTGATGGCGATATTTTTGATCGATATTGGACTGGTTATTTTTTAGAGAATGTTCCAGGTCTGTACAGAGAGGACCTATTTTATGACACAGACGAAAGCCACCAATCCCTATTCATAAAATCGAACATCAAAGCCTACAGACAAAGAAAAGTACTTGAACTGCAATTCTTTGATCGGATGATAAAACAAATGGTCCGATGCACACAAGAAATATCTTACTCGATTAAAGAGGAGTTGGGAATGAAACAGGGCGCTTTGTCATCTTCCGTTCTGAGCAGTGATGATTATTTTAATTCGAGTGTCCTATGGAACAAATATCAACACATTTTACATGTTATTGAGGAGGAGCTCGAATCTGCAATCCGAGTTATCGAGAAATGGGAGAAGAGAGAGGATGACAGAAAAGGGGAAGAACCTCGCTGGACACGAAATGACGAGACAAAGTATCGCGGTATTATCAACAAACTCAAAAGCTCTACGAAAAGGCAAATTATGGACCTAGATGGTGCATATAGGAATATCAAAACTCTAAGGGAAACTATCGTAAATAGCCAGGACCAAGTAAGAACAGTTTTTTAACTCCCCCCTGAATCTTGTATTTTTCATACGTCACCTTTAATTATGAAAGCTCTCTGAGAACAACTACTGACACACCAAATCTAATAAAGATTCGTAATGACTTGAGCCTTCAAGGGTCCGAGAATATTCGATTCTTCACTTATGTTACTGTCGTTTTCCTGCCTCTTGGGTTTGCAACAGGTATTTTCAGCATGAGCGGTGCGCCAGATGGAAGGGTGCTTGGCGGCATGGCAGCTTGTGCTGTTGTCGCTCTCCTCTTCACGGTACTGGCTTTACTCAACGCTAAACAACTAGCTAAGATCGTGGATGACCTATTCTCTGTGTATCACAAATATTCTCAAGCAAAAATGGAAAGGAGTCTTCTAGTCTACGATAAGAAGAAGCGGCGAAACGCCTCTCAGGACGTTGAAGGAGCTGACAAGAAACATGACGGAGTCAAGCTTAAAGCAAATCCTCATCACAAACAGCGCGAAATGCCCTCAAAGGTTGAGACTTGGATTCTCTTGTTTTGGGTTCACTATTTTAGCATTGAGCTCCCTGCCCGACGAGTCTTACTGGCATCAAACAGCTTGAGATCTAGAAAACCTACATTTTTAACTCTGATACACGTTTTTCTCGGTATCGTATTTCTACCGCTCTTCATCATATCTTGTCTCTTTCAACTTATCATATATAATTTGGCAGACATCATCACAGCAATTTGGGGCAAGTCCTTATGTCCTGAACAAACTCGATTTTCACTAACACGCTACAGAATTCATGGTGTTTCAACTCACTCCATCACCAGAACCGACGAAGGACTCGGATGACAAATACAAGGAGCGCCTGAACATGCTCATACATCCGCCAGATGTAGCTCGTCCTATAAAGCTGCTAGTAAAAAATCTCAAGGAACTACGAGAGGATAGAAAGAAAAGGAAGGAAAAGGAATTGGAAGAGAGAAGGAAAAGGAAGGAAACTCCTGAAGAGAGAAATTCTTACATTGATTCAGAGAATGGAAGCGACAGCTCATAGATTTCTAAATCCTTGTAGTCTCATTACGAACCGCAATTCCTGTGGCAACCAAATTGGTAAAACCACACTCAAACAAGTACATAGTGGCTTAGAAATTTCACAAGTTGTCGTCAGATCTTGGATGGTTTTATTTCTATCCAACGATAAGATACTCTTCAATATCATATCTATTCTATAAAACAAATGTACAGGACATTCAAATACTTTGGTAAATCATCCTCAAACATCCACCACTTTTCTGCACATCGAGAAGTGCAAGTCAGGCCATCGCATACACTAATCTTGAGAGACTGGACGAAAAGGTCTTCTATTGCTGCTGCATATTGAGAGTTATAATAGCATAATCCAGACTTGCGGCATTATAAAGATAGAAATTGCAATTCTTTTAACTAATAATTGGTATAAACTCGCACACATTTTGCCACCTCCATTGACGAAAAGCAAACACACATAGCAGAAAGAAAAATATTTATGGTATCATCGAGCACCCATTCCATTCCAGTTCCAACAAAACACCTAACCCGTCGCAACTATGCCTACTGAACCGTAGTCTCACTTTTTTCTGCGATTTCCTTTTCGCTACCCCCGACTGGCGGCGTCTCAGTTCCATCATCCTTTACTCCCTCTACATACGTAGCTTCTGGCCTATGATGTCTACTTGGATGTTGCTTTCCAGTAATATCCAAATAAATCGCCTTTGCCGTCCTCGCCAATGAATGTCTCCCCTCGAATACAGGATAAACACCCACCGTCAATGTACTACCTATCAACCAAATAATACCTACGACAACCCAACCGGTAAAGAATTTCTCGGAGAAGATGTAGCCGCTGCCGTACATTGGCATGGGCCATAAGATCAACAACGCGAGAGTCAGGATGACAGTCATACCCTTTGCGATTTTTGAAGCGCGGAGAAGTTTAGTTTGTTCGAGTGCTTCTTCTGCGGCTGAGGCGCGCGTTTCACCTGGTACGAGTTCGAGATCTACGTCGGCTGCATCGGCTAAATCGTGGTCATCGCCTCTACGGATAGCGGCCATGGATTTCCAGTCGTATTTATCCCAGCCGAAAATTAATGTAAAGAGGGGGGTGAAAATAAGAGGTGAAAGAAGAGCCGTGACATTTCCTGCTAACATGGGGTTGTTGGAACCGGTGCAATCGACATCGAGGGAGCCACATTCTTTCTTGGCGGTGACGAGCCAGGCGATAACAGCGCAAATGAGACCGAGAGGCGGAGTAAGTGCGGCAGCCCAGCGATTGTGGCCAGCCCACATGATTGTTAGAGTCGCGGGAATGACAGCTGAGGAGATGATTACACCCATCATGAGGTAGAGATAACCCATGGAAATACCAGCATAGTATAAACCAGTTGAAAAAGCAGCCATGAACAAACCAAAGCCAATGACCATAGCATGACTCATGTAAATCAATCTCTTTCCACTTGCTTTTGGGTTGAAATATGTTTGATAGATATCATATGTGAAGATTGAAGAAACGGCGATGAGTTCGGCAGAAGATGCTGATGTGACGGCCATGAAGACAATCAGAAGCGTGCAAACGGCACCACCACTTCCGAGGATGGCAACGGCGGCGTATGGAAGTACAAGACCTGCTGAGACATCGGCGGGATCCATACGATTAGGATAGGTAGGAAAGACTGGGTTGCCTTCTAGAGCAATGGCTGCTAGACCCATGGTTGTAGCACACAGCCATGGAATGGCAAACCAAGAGATTCCACCCATGATATAACCTGGAAGCGCATGCACTGGGGATGCAGCAATTGCCTTGTTGTAGTATCCATTATCCAAGAACACAGTTCCAAAATTTCCAACGATATTGATGACAAAGAAGATGGCACCTTCTGAAGATTTCATAGTGAGATAACTACCGCCGGAATTGCCTTCGACTGGATGATCGGCCGCTGCTTTGAGTAAAAGATCGAATACTGCTTTTGGCGATCCGAGTACGTCACTTGTAGCGTAGGTGGTGAATGCGAAAATCAGGATAATGATTAAGAGCATAAACGTATGAACCCAATCAGTGAGGAAAGTAGCTTTAATACCACCGAACATGGTATACATAACTACACCCAATGGTAGGAGGAAACAAGCTATATGATGTAAGTAACTGGGAATCTGATATCATATGATTCTCTTACCAGCAGGTGTAGGCATTCCTGTCAAGGAAGATACCACAGCAGCACCACCTGTCAAAAGCATGGCAGTAACAAGGATATTGGTCATTAAGCCAAAGACCGTAAACACGATATGAGCATGTACCCCATATCTAGCTTTGATAACTTCAAGGAAAGTCTAAAATCCATCAGTATGTCTTTGTACCTGCCAGATTTGCCAAACCTACGTGAGCATTTGGTGCTCTCCTCTTCAACTCAATGGCAATAGTTGCGAACAATAGAATCTGAACCGTAGCTCCAGATGCATACCAAAAAGGTCCAGAAACACCATATTTATATGCGACACCAGAACTTTGCAGTAATGTAGCAGCCCATGTCCACGAAGATACAACCGCAGATGCCACCAATCCCGACTTTACTGTTCTTCCAGCTGTACTAAACATCTCTGATGTTTGTAATTCGTGGTTGTATCGTTTGAGAATCCATGTTACAAGGATCTAATTGATTCAGAAAGTCAGCTTGAGACTCAATTGCAGCAATTGGGTGGAAAACTTACCATGCCAAATGCGAATAGAGCACCCAGACCAAGAACGATTCCATATCCCCAGCCAGAGCTGAGTGGAGGTGAGATAGGCATGTTGGCTGAAGAGAGACAACCGACCTCAATGCAATGGATGAAATGTCGTTTTCACAAAGTTAATAAAAATCTACACATGAGGCACAAGGGGGGACAGAGCTGTTATTATATCATATCATATCATACTAGGTACATGGAGATATGCGACTAGGATATTACATTTCGGGGTAATACTGATATCTGTGATACTGACCAGTCACCGAAGTAAGAGCTGAGCTGAAAAAGTGGTGACATGATACCTAGATGTTTTTTTTACCTTGCATGAGTTACTCACCATATAATGGATAAGAGATCTGGACGAGAGAAAAACGGTGATCACCATCACAGTTAGAACTTTGTATAATAGATAAGGTTGGAGAATGATAATTTTATCAAATAAAACATATAGAATTACCTAGGAGTTTCCCTAAACCCTTGCTATCTCACTGCATCATCGGGAGCTTGGACATTGGGGGTTAAGCGATCTGTACGATAGACAAAAGACTAACTCTTGATTGGCTATTTTTCAATTGATAAGAAGCATTTTTCAAAAGCCATCGATAAGGAAATTGGAACTGATGGGAAAAATGTGAGAAGACATGCACAGGCAGGGGGAAAGGGCAGAAGTCATCATTGGGCAGTGACATCGAGTGGAGTAAGACCAAGAAAAGGCAATACCATAGAAGATTGTTTAAAGCATTCCGATACCGCAGACATATACATACTCTAATGAAAATTGAGTCGATGAGGTGCTCGATATGCTTAATACAGACTTCTGCTTCATCAGATACGGTGTGTTTCCGATGAACCATGGGTCTCTTGACCCCACGGAGAAATTCATCTCAATGCGGGATGCAAAAAAGTAACTGCATCTTGCATATCGATTCTAGACCTTGTCAGATGTTTGCGTTGACAGCTTCTCTAGTAAATGTGCCAATCGCAGAAATGATCTTCTGGAACACCAATCAATAAGAGGATGAATCAATCATCCCACAAAGGCAGATTGATTATCGTCCCTTTAGATGGCAGACTCCAAATAGTTGCCATTGGATATCAGTCCGGATAACTGGCTTTGATTAATCCCGAGGAGTTACTTAGCGTTCATCTTGAGAATATTCAAATATCCAAGAGATGACATCTCAATCTCCTTTTCATTAACAATGGTCAATTCACAGCTCGCAAAGTCAAACGAAGAGCAACATGTCGACAATAGGAACCTGAGACTTCAGGACATAGAAAATAACTATCTCATTAATAATTCTTCCTAGGAATATAAGACCAATTAATTCTTGCCCAAAATCAAGATATCACCGATAGTTTCAACCAATTCCGATTTCCGTTAATAAACTCCGTACCACGCCCTCCGAACCAATCCTCTTTCCTGAGTGTCCTGGATCGCATATTTGTTGATACAGCCTTGAGATATCCTCAACTCGAACTCTCCCTCTAGCCTCGACCGTCTCCTAATCCTCCTCTCTCAAGCGGTATGTTATGCGTACTGCATAGGTTGTTGTGGTTTCCCACCTGGCGGACCTCCTCCCCAACCAGGATTCGCAGGACCACCACCACCGCCGCCGCCACCACCTGGGGGTTGATTCTGTAATGGCACTTGGCCTCCTCCATTTATCTGGGATTGAACATCTGGTCGGTTTTGAAGTGGTTGTGCGAAATTGCAGATAGAGCAGACAACATCTTCGTAAGCATGGAAGCTCAATGGGAGAACTGGGATGAAGCAGAATGTGAACCAGGGATGTCTCTTAATGACTTTCGCAGAGTAATTTCCCTATTTATATACATTAGTTGTTGGAAGAGCGGAACGAACAGCATCGAAGACCTACGCAGTTATGACATTGGCATAACACATTCTCGTATCCCTGAAGTTGGGATGAGAACTCTATGTAGTAAGTGTCAGCTAAAGAACCATCAAAGACTCTTAGTGATGGAAGGTCTCATACCATGTTCTCCACAGGTGAAAATAAAGCACATATTGATGGGATCCGCTTTCTGAGGTTAACGTTGATAGAGTTGTATTTCCCCAGGAATTCGATCAATTTATGATGAACAATGAATAGTAAAAATACTCAGCTAATATGGGAGAGAGGCGCGTCATATAATCACCAGCAAGGATTATGGATTTGAGGCTGATTGAGGCTGTGCACAATATTGTCGGGATTTCAAAATGACATATTTCCGTTGTACATCTTGGCATGTGACAGGGCTTTTGATTGGCGCTAAAGCTACGATTGACGCTAAAGAATTTCTTAGCGAGCTTTTTTGGGATGCAGTGATAAACTCAGAAACTTTTACTGAATCTCTTTCTCTTTTCTCCTCAAGCGTCGTCCTCATCAACGCTGCGTTTCTATGCTACAAACAGATAAACTTGTTCATTCAAGATTATCAGATCGCTTGCGATTAATTATTTGCATATGAGAAATTCGGAGTACTCTTCAATTTACCTCGTTCCTTTTCCTTCGGGCAAAGATGAACAGGTCTGCCCGTGAGGGTTCGGCGTGATTTCACGTCTGCAATTGGCATCAGAAAAGCAGGGCATGGTCACTCTATACATATGACTTCCGAAAGGAGGAGAGAAAATAGTCGTGTACTACTGTTCCTTTGGGAGAGCCGTTGCGAAGATTGTGTGTGCTGAGGCATGACACTTAAGTGCAATACGTGGCGTGCTGGACTTGTTATTACTCCGGTATGACAAGTTGAGTACAATTCGATTCCGATTACTCTGTTGAGGACGACGCTTCACCCTTTTTTTTCTTCAGGTCAGTAAACATACTTCACCTTGCGAGTTAGGATACTACTAATGATTTCGATTTTTTCCCCTCGATATTTAGTACTTAAAGAACAAAAATTGATCGACTTCTTTGAAGGTCAACGCATGTCACCTTTGCGAATCTGCCATCCGCTAAAACCAATCGACATTCCTATTGCAACGATCTATGACGAAACCGAACTCTCTACGTTTTCTCCCTCCTTCTCATTCGCATACAATTTTTTATTGCCCTCCAATAAAGTGTACAACCCGTTCAATTCGTCCAAAAGGGCTTCGCAGTCTTGACTTCCATCCCTAGCTCTCTGAAACAACTCCAGAATCTGCCGACCTGTGGTATCGATCTTCTCCTTCAATCTTTCCGATGCTTTGAACACAGTTGCGCTCGATTTCTCCCCGACGGTCGACATACGTGCCTGCTTTAAGGCTTCCATGACTTGTGCGATTTGATGATTGAGTTGCTCATACAGTGTATCTTCCGAATCGTTCACTTTCTTGGTGTTGGCATCTTGATCTGAATTGCCATACCCTGCATGTTGATTTAAATCTTCCGTCTGTTCTGGAATTTCCGATACACTGTCCAATTTCAAAGCCCATAGTTGTCTCAGGATTCTTTCTGGTGTATAAGTTTTGACACTTTGAACGTCGGCATCATACTCTTTAAGAACTCCCGAGTATATGACTCCTGCCTCCTTGATGACAGTACGCAATTTCTTCACGGCTTTTCCAAAAGGCAAAGTATCCTTGTGTCTCGCGTCTTCATAGTCACTGCTTGAGTCGAACGTAGAGTCTGTGCTCTCTGGACTCAATATTCGCTCTCCATTCTTGGTCGTTCTATCGAAACTTCTGCTCAGTCGAAATTCGGGTTCGTATCTTTCACGGGCAGCTCTTCTGAATGGCTCTGAATCATATACGAAGTAAGGAGTGGTGGCTCGACGGTATTCATCGTACAATGATTCAATTCTAGACTCTCTCCCAAAAGGTCGAAGTCGATGTTCAGTAGGTCGATTCATTTTATCACGTAGAGGTTGACAAAGCGTGTTCGCTGGATCTGAGGGTGAATCAGTAGCATTCAGAGGGAAACTTAAGGATTATGTGAGCTTGTTCTCAATAGGGAGGATGATGGTGGCCTTTGAGCCAATTTCTCTCGTTTGACTTGTATGGATCGGTTTCCAACATGAAATCTCACACAGTTGACTTCCATGATTGGCTGAGCATGTTACCGTGCATATCTGCATATACCCTAAGCCTGGTAGACACTGTCAAATTTTAGAGACTATGATGAACAAATTATTTACCCATTACAAACGGTCCCTCCAATGAATTTTCGTGAAAGAATACCCATTTGACTCAAATCCGTAGTTGCTTCCTTCATATGCAGAGTCCCGCCGCTAGTAAACCTTACCCCGCCATTCATCGTCATGCTTAGAAATACAAGGACCTCATGCCATTATCAATCAATATCAACCCCTAATACAATCAGTAAATCATAAATGAAATCAAAATTCTTTTCACCAAAGATTCTCTGTCGTTCATCATTGTTCCATAAACCGTCCATTTTCTTTCACCCTCAATACATCGGACCCAGGAGATTCTCAAACATGTCTGAAGCAAAGGAATTCCCGCCACAGAAAGTAAAGGAAGTGGTGAATGAAGTTGCGAAATTATTGAAGGAGAGAGGGGAAACTGTTAGTGTAGCTGAGACGGTATGTTTTATTTGCTCTTTTGTTGTTGATGTTGATGATTAGGGTTTGTGATGTGTGGTGTGTGGTTTGGAGTGGAAGTTAGAGTGAGAGTTATGTGATTGTTCGGGAGGTTCGGGAGGAAGTCCTGTTTTTTGCTTTGTGGTCTGGATTATTGCTTCTTAGATATCTGGGTGTGATCTTGTTGGCTTGGGAAGCGGGAAATAGGAATTGAGGATGTTTAAGCGGATGAGTGATGGGATATAGAATGTGTATGGAAGAAGAAAAAGGGCAAGAATCTAACATAAAACAGGCAGCGGGAGGTATTATATCCGCTTCTATTCTCAGTACACCCGGTGCCAGTAAGGTGTTTAAAGGTGGTCTGACGGTGTACACGCTGGAATCGAGAATAGCTTTTGGTAATTCCAGTTTCTTCATTTCACAGTGTCATTGTTGAGTTTTCTTGTGTTTCCACATACTGACATACCCACAAGCCGGTTGGACCCCAGAAAACATAGCTTCATATAGTGGACCTACACCAGATGTGGTAGCAGGTATTGCTGAGAATGTGAGGGGAAAATTGGGAAGTACCTATTGTGTTTGTGAGAGTGGGACAGCGGGACCTGGTGCTAGTGGAGAAGGGAGGAATAGACAACCGTAGGTTTCTTTTTCTTCTATCCCCTTTGCAGTTTCATCTTTTATGATTTTGTCGTACTTGATTCTTCCATCCCCGGGAAGTGCGGGAATAGGTGATTGTATGATAAATAAGACAAAAATACATCATGGATGAATGCTAACACATGCTACAACGAAAAGAGGATATGTAGCCCTAGCTATCGCAACGGAAAAAGGAACGTATAGGAAAGATTTGAGTACGGGATTGGGTGGTGATAGAGAGGGAAACATGGTTGCGTTTGCAAAAGAGGCATTGACATTCTTGAGAGATGTTTTGAAGGGTGATGCGAAGCTTTAAATTGGGAGTTTATAAGTGAGGGAGAAAGTGATGTATCAGAATTTCACTGAACAAAATTTGGCTGGAATTGATGGTGAAAATGGAATGAGGTATGAAAGATGTTGTAAGCTTCAAATTGCCCAGTTGCTCGTCTATGTCCATGAATTATCCCACTCGTCTTCCTCAATTTCCTTGCTGCCTAGTTCCCATTCTATCCACAATCGCCCCTTTCCTACTTCCCTCCCTCACCATCTTTCCCTCAACTACAAAGAAACAGATTCGGTTCCCTCCAAGGACCATCCATCCCACCATCCACATTCTCCCCCGCACCCAAGCTAACTCCACATCCCCATGCCCTCTCCATCTTCTTTCCCCCAACAAACCCATCCCTCTCACACCCACTCCCCACCACCATCTCTTCCCTCTTCTCCCTCCTCTCCAATAACGTAAACCCCGTCTCACAATCCCCATCCCCATTCCCATCCCTCTCCCTCTGTTCCTCCACCCCCATCACCCCACAACCTTTCTCCCCCATCCACTTCCCCTCCAACCCCCGCATCCACAACAATCCCACCCTCTCCCTCCTCTCCACAGCACCAAACCCATATCCCAGAAACGAACCAGCGAGGAAAATAAACACAATAAATGCCAAGAGCGAGGTATCGCTTCTGCGGGTGTTATAAACCGTGCACGCAGATGTATGTTCATATATATCCTCATTTACGAGCGTTCCATTTATGAAGAGCGAGGTGCCGGTTATGAGGAGAGATGTATTGTTTAGAAGAATCGATATATTGATGGGATCCATGATTTATTTGATTAGGTAGGTGAGATATCTATCGATTACGAGTCTTTGTGTATAGAAATAACGAGTTGATCTGATGAAGTAGAGTAGAGCAGAGGAGAGGATTCTTTTCAGGTCATACAGTAAGTATATAAAGAACCCGATGAATTCTCAACTGACTTCCTATCTCAACTGAAGAAGGTAACTTTACAACCCGCCTCCAAAATAAAAAAAATCTGAGACAACATGAAGAGAAGAGATCTAGACCGGTAACTAGTAAATTCCCGTAGCGTACCTCGAGCTCATATCTGGTACGCCCATACCACGAGTACTCAATCACATCGTACGAAGCAAAAAGACAAAGGAAGTTTTTCTTCTTCTTTTCCTGAAGAAAAGATAAGAAATCATGATTTCTTCTTGTAGAGTTAAACATCTCCCAGCCTCGTCGTAAATGTTATGGCTGGAACTTGGAAACATGCGAGAGGTGCGATTTCCTCGCTTGCGCGTCGTCTATTCTTTTCTGGTGTCTAAGTTGGGATTAATTACCTAGTAAGATCTTACATTGTCTAGATCGCAGTGAATCGTTGAAAGGCTTTACGACTGGGCATACTAGATACTAGGTGGCTGAGTTCAGCTTTACTTGTTAGTTGTATATCGAGCATGGCATATTTTCTTGCGATATTTAACATTGATAATTCGGTGCTTAAACTATTGGAGATGGATTACTAGACTCTCAGAGGTAAAATTTTACTTTTCTGTAAAATGGGTCGGTTCTCAAAGTTAATCCAACATTCTACATGGCTATCTGAATCAAACACCAGAGCGAAATTGGCCACACATTATCACTATATATTTTATCCCAGCCACACGATAGATTGACGACGTTGACGATGGTGGCAGACTTTATATATCCACGTCGATATGTATTATGCAGAGAAGAACAAAAAAACGCACGAGATCAAAAGTGTGAGAGGCACAAAACTTTCGTTCCTTCTTCAAAAACTTCTTATAAATGATACATATGTATTAAACTATACATACGACCCGCGGTAATTGATACCACAAACCCATATATCCATAACCTGAACCCACGAACTATTGTCGAGTATTTTGTTCTGTAAAGCCGAGCCCTCATTCCATTCCCATAACTCCGTTGATCGTTTGCCCGTATTTAATCTCGTGGCGACCTTGTAACCCAATAGGTGATCATAGCCATGAACACCTAACAAAAATCCAATCTTATTGTGTAGATTGTGATGTCGTATAATGAACGCCCACCCGATACCCCAAATATTCAATCCCACAACGGACTGTGCTTCAATGTCTCTTGACCCGACGATAGTGACGTCCCGTTTCTTTCTTCATCTTCCCTTCGAAACATTAAAGGTAAAGTTCGCTCAACCACCTTGGACATTTACGAGCCCTTTACATACACCATAACTGCAACATGCGCTTGGATCTAAGGTTCCTCTGAGAACAAGATCTCTTGTTGCCTAGTTATCCATGTTAGTTTTGAATTCTCAATTACGGGAATATGTAAGGATGAAAGAGATTGTGGGAAGATAAGAAGGGCGGAGAAAGAACTTACGTCGCTGCAAGGCATTGGTGTGGCCGTAACGAGTGAAAAGGTACTGAGCACAGCAGCTGTCACGAAGAGAAAGGTCGACGAGAGTTGCATTTTGAGGTTTGAAGTCGAAGACTCGTATATGAGAGGATTGGTATGAATATATGTTCGAGATATTATAGAAAAATATCCTTGGTAGGTGGATAGTCCGTATGTTTTCAAACTATCAAATGTTTCAATCGCGTCGAGCAATGGACGAAACAAATTCCGGATGTAGGATTTTGAAATGAAGTTGAGGTGTACCAAGAAGAAGAAACCCCCAAAGCGGATGTCTCTTATATCTATACTCTTCCCCTCCCTCAACAAAACAAAGAAAGAGTCGTACGGATAATCTCCCAAGTAAATCGTTACCAATCTAGACTTTACCCCACAAAGATGTAACCCAAGGCACTGGCCCTCCGCGAAAAAAATGCTCAGGACTCAGACGAAGATGAAACGGCTTCACAGATAGACCTGCAGCAAAGCGGGGACGGTAAATGCAATTGAATGGATAAGGCAGGTCAAAGATTAAGTGCAAGACAAACGATGGAATATGATTTGATCCGTGAAGAAAGATATCGAACGTACGGAAGCTCCAAAAACGGAGATCGTCCATTCTTATACCTGCCACCTACCTATCTCACTCATCGTATCCCGATCTTCAAGACATCATGCTAGATAGTAGTTGACAGACCGTAACCGGGCCACCCACGTCAAACCCTGTCGTTCCCGCGCGGGTCCACCATGCAAGGCCTTTGTATAACTTTGTACATACCCCCATTGGATAAATGAGTGAGGTCAGTCTGCTCTGCAGGCTGTTTTCGGCCTTTCTTTGAGTTTGGATTGTGAACTGACTGGGAACACGAACCAGTTTTTGCTTAGCAGACGGACCATCCGAACGAGTGCATCCATGAATAGTTAGTCTGTGTGGCTCAAGCATGTAATTTTTGCTCAGGTTTGAAGCCACAGCCGAAAAGATTCGATTGGTTGATGGATGGAATGGACTGGGATGATATAAATAGAGCGGTGGCTGAAGATGTCTGTTTGCGGTGAATTTTCGAAGAGAAAGTAATGGCCGAACCATCTATCATATGGATTCATTTGAATTTGCTGATCAAGATTATATGACCTCATCTGCAATATAATAATATGAGTGATGTGCAATTGGTATGCTGGTATCGGTTGGCTTGAATATCCACCTACCTCGATACATTGATTACTAATGAAATACGAGCTAGTGCATCCATTTTCACGATGTTGATGGCGCACGAATAAAGGAGAGAATCGTTAAAAAGATTTAAAAATTAACTTTAGACTTAACTTTAGCATTGGAGTCTAACCTGAAGCCGGAGAAACTTTGACTGTCTGTTCCGCTTGTATACTAAAGTAGTTCCCTTTTTCTTGGGTTCATTAATAGACAGAAGAAAGTCTTCACTTCTTCACAGATCCATTGGTACACGCTCCAGAACCTCACAATGTCATTTTCGCACATACAGAATGTTCTCGTATCCGCATAATCAACTCCTCGTATCATTCTGTCTTGTCTTGAAAAATTCAATAGTACTGTCAGCTCTCGTATGTCCCAAGCATGCCGGCTGCGTCGCTGGGTATTAGCATGGAGTGATTGACAGGAGAATGCCCACATTGACTCGTAGCCCCCCACGCCACATACATGACTAAAGTCAATAGTAGCCCACTGTTAACTCGATACAGTAAAGGAAAGGGATCTGGAATTCCGTCTTTGCTTTGTCCTTAGGGGTGTAGAACTTTTCACTCGGGTTCACTTTACTAAGTTTAACATATAAAGGGTCTGTCTCTACGTCAGGGGAAAACAGACTGGGTTTGACCACATCGACACTTCGAGTATCTTCCTCGGTTGTTCTGTGAAATATACTTTCAATTAAGTTTCAAGAAAATCAAAAGCCAATCATTCTTTCAACCCCTTCAAATACATTTGTTTCACATGTGATTGATTTACCATTCAAATCTTTGCAGCATTCTAGCAAAGATTCGAATAATCGAGTTCGGCTCTTATTTCACCGACATAGGGAGGATTACCCGGATCATGTGATACTAGTCAAGCACCGATCTACTAACACCTTTCATCGTTAGAAGGGATTGGACAATTAAGAAAGAAGATCATCCTTAGTCTACTCCGTAATGATCGCTTTTTCGACAGAGCGTAAAGAGACGAGGAACTCTCAGAAGAACCCCATCATCAAATTCTCAATTCGATTTAGGAACACTCTCCCTTTACTCGTAGATATGAGATGACTTTGATGATTTAGCAGGCAAAAGATAGAACATACCTACCTACCTACACATACACAGCTTGATACACTCACTCATACACACCACCTCACAATATCCCCATCCCTGAACTCTAGAACTTTACACACACACAGTCAAATAAACCTTTCCATCAAAACAAAACACAACCTACCCCCCTCCCAACTTCCCCAAATACAGCCTCCCACATGATCCCATCCCATCCGATCATCCAAAGTATCTCATCCCATCACATCAGACGACATCACATCACTCTGCATATACTGAAACATGCATGCATTCTATCCCCATCCAATCCTCCATCCAATCCTCCATCCAACCCTCCATCCAACCCTCTCATTCTATCCCCTCTCAATTCTCCATCCAACCCTCTCATCCAACCCTCCATCCAATCCTCCCAAACCCCATATCCAAAAACAATCTCCACGTGTCCATTTCACTCGCTTGTTTCACCTTCCCCATCACTGCCGCTCCGAGCATGAGATGATAGGAAGTCGTAAGTATCTTAAACCGTTAATAGCGGAGAAGTCCCCTGGAGATCTGTCGATCTGTCGATCAGGATAAAGTTCAGATCAAGTAGTTTGACAAGAAACATGATTCATGCTTCAAGTATTCCAGAAGATTCATTTATTCTGTAACATGTGTTGACAAGAGTTTGATTTTCCATGTCCAATGATATGTCTGTCTAAAACGTATTCGCGTGTATATAAATCTTGTAAAGCCGTTACTATAGTGTCCGTATCCCTTTTCCATCCATAACTTTTCCATATATCATAATTTTCGTAACTATCCCGTTCATCTACATCTATCTCGCCCCTCAGTCCTCTTCTACCAAGCTCTCTCTATCTGCCAAACTTCCTCAGCTCCCACCATCTCAACACGGGGTACACCAATCCGGCCCAAGCGAACCCAACGTAGTTGCCCATATCACCCCCCTCACTTCCTACCATCTTCGCAAGCGGTCCGATAAAGTAATATTGACTCATACACAAAATTGCTCCAACCCATCCTATACAAAACGCCACCAATGCCGCAATTCCCAACGGCATTTTCTCTTGTTTATGCCAGTCACTCCATACAAACGTAGGATTTCTACGACGTCTGAATATGAATTCTTCTTCCAATGTAATGACAACCCAAAGTACAACCCAATAGCCCATCAAGGATAGAAAATTGGTAAAGATCTCAGAAAGATCATTACGTCCTGCAAGTGCGCAAACGGTAAATACTACCACTCCAAATGTATTCCACAAGAATCTCGGAACCATGGCCGGATAACGGCCTAGAATTTGGAAATCAATACCACAAGAATAGGTAGGCGGTACCATATTGGCGATTAAGCCCAACGCAGCAACCACGGAGCAAAATTTGCCAAATCCACCTAGACTTTCAAAACCAGCTACTATAAGAGCACCTGTACCTGCACCTGCCGCTTCCCAAGTAGGATTATTAGCGATACCAGATGCGAGACCAGCTCCTATGACAAAAGTGAGTGTGAAGGAGAGAGAAAGACCGAGTAGAGTTGCCGCGAAGACTTTCCATCGAGAAGCAATCTTTGGATCACAGTAGACGAAGAAATCAGCTGCTATAGGAGCATATGTGACTGCGGCGCTAAGACAAATTGAGAAGAATGAAAGTTGGTTCCCGGCAAGCGTTGCGCCTTCAACTGTAGGTTTACTATAGAGGTCAAATTTCGGTCCTGCAGTTCCTGCTAAAATCAGGAGAACGAATGTTTGAGGAATCCAGGCAAATCTCTCATAGTGATGAAATATCTTGATGCCGAAAGTTGTGACCGAGAATGTCAAGATAGCTGATACGACTATTCCAACTTCCACCGACAGGCTACCATTGGGTGATACAGCAGATAACATTTGACCAGCTACTACTGCATCAATCATAGAGTATCCTAGTAAGATCACCACATTCAGTATCACACAGATCTTTACTGGCCACCATCCCATTGTGAATCGAGCGCATATCTAAATACTCGGTTAGTCAAATTTCACCTCAGGGGCCTCAATTTCCCATAGCAAAATCAATGGCCACACTTAAAAATTCCAAACTTCCACAGGGCACATGAACATCAATCGCAATAAAGGAGCCACCTACCAAAGTTCTATTTCCACTCCAAGGTCCCCAACCTGCCGTATATGCCACCGGTAAAATTCCTACCACTGCCCCAAAAACACTACAAAGTGTCGCATCCAAAAATCCTAACCCATAAACACTAGCCCCGATGCTCGCTAAAGTAATATTTTGCGGCGCAGTATTGATTGAAAACCATAGCACGACAATCTGTAGGAATGATAGAGTAGATTTGGTAGTTTGCTCTGCGGGGAGTACACGATGAATACCCCGCGCTTCCAGACCAAGAAGATTTTCAATTCGTGCAGTGAGAGCAAAGAAACGATTTTGAGGACGAGAGATCGCAGAATCTGTGATATCGCGCGTGGGAGAAATCGAGGGCGAAAGAGCGAGAGGGTCGTGAGGGGATGGGAGACCGCTTGAGGGACCTTTCTCTACATCATGGGAGGGATCCGAGGAGGCGATTTGCTCGTTTGGAGTCATTCTATTGATGCGATTGTCGAATTAGCGATTGTCTCTGCTGCCTTTGCTTTCGCAGATTTATAACATAAGAGTGGAAGGAACAGAACCCGCAATTGGAAGCAGAGAGGTAATATAGGAAGAGAAGGTACGTGAGAGGAGCATTGGATCCATTGATACACCAATCTCGTAACACCCTCATTTAGAATTCCCCATCCACTATACCCATCCAATTGGGCCCAGATCGCAAGAGTATCCAAGGAAAACGGTTTTGACCTACCTTTCTATATGTATATTGTGCAACTCAATCTCATACACTTCATATTAAAACATTAAACAATAAGACAGTGAGACCGTAAGACAGACCCGTTGAACACAAATTGAAGCAACAACAGCAGAATTTTGTTCGTGTCTTACAATATTGAAACGAAAAGAACTTTTGAAGAACTAAACAACGAAAGAAAAATCAAAAGAACGTGGTATCATATTATTCATTGGTATGACTCTTTTGGAAGGTCCAGAATTGATTGGAAAGGCGTACTCCGCTCTAGCTTCGTCCCTTGAAATTTTCATGAATTATCATATGGATCCTAACGGTAAGCTGCGTGGGGCAATTATGCTTATCGGTTGCAGGGATGTCTCGGAATCTCTCTATCTTATCCGAAGCTGCGGGGATGATTTTCTTTTTTGTCTTGTGGTTTGGAAAGTGTTCGCGATCATATCTGATCTGATAATTTTAAAAGAATTGAGTACTGAGAACGCACAGGACGAGATTGGGATGTAGTGAAAACATGTTCTTCTACGGTGCTCTCATCTGATGTTGTGTTTGCATGTTTCTGTGTTCATCAGTTTTATCCCATCATTTCTTCGTCTCTACTAAACGAGGTGTGCAAAGAGGGTGAATATGTGTAGCATCCCATGAGCTGTAGTTGTAGACCTGAAGATGAGCTTCTATGTTGCGAATGAGGTGTATTTTCAGATACAAACTGAATGTCCATATCTTCCCATCACATTAGATAGAAGCACTCCATCTCCACGTCGTTTTTCTGTTTCTGGAAATCTATATCGGACAGACCAATATTCCTAACATAATATCAAACATCCTTCTTGAAATCTCATCATCAAGAAACATATCTCATGGCCGATATGAAGGCATGTCAACAAATTGGAATCCCACAGCTCAAACAACACGTCGTCCCTCAACGAACTTTCATGCACCTTCCATCCCAACTCCTCCTGTTGTCCTTGCAACCCGAAACACGTTCTCGTATTTCCAGCATCTTGTATACATGTATACATACATATCTAGTTCACGGCTTCCAGCATCAATTTCTCGAAGACGGCAAGCAACGAACTACCTACCCCTAATTGTCTCAATTCGTTCTCGGATTCGGGATTCGGGACGGAACGCTACAGAAGAAAGTATAATTTGTATTCACCCTCTCATTATCCAAATTCCCCAGGGTTTTGGACTGTTGCCACGAGAATTATTTCTGTACAAGAAAAAGAAAGAAAGAAAACAAAACGCCTCTAGATAACACCTTCCCAGCTCATCTCTTTACCGGGGTAAACCGAACCCTGAGCTCTGGTTTTTTCCAAAGCACTACCAATTTCGAATCCCTTTCCCAGTTTAACTCCTTACTCTTCAATTCCCAATCAAATTCCCACGCTAATCTCGCCAAAACAACCCGCATTTCCATATACGCCAGATTCACCCCCAAACATGCTCTGGAGCCCATAGAAAAGGGTTTACTTGCATCTTTGTTATCATTTTGATATCGAAGATCATAAAATGGGTGGGAAGAAGGTAGATATCTCTCAGGGTGAAATTCGTTGGCGTCGGCGAAATATTCTTCGTTATGGGTAGCAACGTAGCCAGAGACACAGACAACTGCGCCTTTTGGAACATAGTGGCCATCGATCACGGCGCCCGGACACTCGCGTGGGAGACCCATTGGTACGGGCGGGTAGATGCGAAGACCTTCTTCAATTACAGCAGCAAGATATGGAAGGGCTGCTGTGGAATCGCTTGTGATATCTTCCGAAGATGTGAATGCATTGCGGATCTCTTCTTGAAGACGTCGTAGTGTTTCGGGCCTGTTAAGAAGATAGTATGTCACTCCTATAAGAAAAGTAGCGGTGGTCTCCGAGCCGGCTACAATGAACGTATTAGATTGCGCTAGAATGAATTCGCGTGTAATCTTTGGTCCATTTTCTTTTTCGCGTAGTAGATGCGAAAAGAAATCGTCTCGGTCATTGTTTCCTCGTTCCATACGTTGAGTTGCTTTTTGCATTGAATTTTGGAAATGTACCTTGCTCTTTTCTTTCAAGCCTTTAGGCATGAGAATTGTTGCAATCTTTTTGAAAAATGAGTTCATGAAAAATGGGAAGCGTCGAAAGATTTCCATGATAGCCATCAGATGGACGGTGCTGAGAATGAGACTGATCCACGGATGGCCTTCTCCAGATTTGACTGCATCGAATGATTCCCCGAAGGCGAGATCACCAATGATATCAAAAGTTAACCAATTATACCACTGTGTTCTGTTAGTAGTGATTCACAAACAAGACTGTTCTAACTTACTTCTGACAAGTTCAGCCCCTTCTCATCGTCCTTACGCTGATGTATTTGAGAAACGAACAAGTCCATATACTGGATCACCACTTCCTCTTGTAGCCGAAGCGCTTTAGCACTGAATGCATGAGAAAGAGATTTTCGGATGTCTCGATGAACAGCCGGATCTCTTGCTGAAACAATGCCAACATTGGTTTCCGAACCAGTATTGTAAGCTTGCCCTTTGAGAAACAGGGCTTTCCCTTGCTTAACGTGACCATGAATTTCTTGATTTGCTTGAGGAGATGCGAAGTCTCTGTTCTCGAGTTAGTAAAGTGACATTTTGATGTGCTAATTTGGTAAACTAACAAATCATTTGGTGCAAATCTGACAACTGGACCATATTTTTGATGCAAGCTGATCATAGTCTTGTGGTAATTTCCAGAAGTACTGTATTCCATTAGTTTTGAGCGTGGAACAATAGAAACTGTAAAGTTTACTTATGCTAACACAGCCAGCCATCTGTTATTGCAGCTAGCCTTGGGCCAGGAAATTTTGCAAGTGGATGAAAATAAAGATTATATATCACTTTGTATGTGATGTAACAGGTAGTCTATTCAAGTATTAGCCATCAATACAGACAAGAGGATCTGTTTAACCTACTATAATTCCAGCAAGAAGTAACAAATTGGAGAATTTCCCAATGATACTTTCTCCTTCTGTTGATATGATAGGAGCCATCTTTCTTCTTCAATGTAGTCCAAATTTTCAGCAGGATTTTGAAGTTTCAAGTCAGGTTTCCGTTGTCATATAACTTTGGCACCACTGAGGGGATTTGTTCTTAAATGGACGAGTTAACATTGGCATGCATCGGTATTTTGCTCGCATCGCAAACCACCGAAACGAAACGGCTATTTGTGTTTTCGTATGCCCAAATTTTAGGTGCGAGGACCCCACTATCCACCAAGTTCTAAGATACGCGATGCGATATCTTTCTTTAGAAAATCTGCCATTATTGGCCAAAGATAGAAGAAACCATTTTGCTCTGCATCTTTGCCTAGCAACTGTGTCTAGGAATCATAAAACGACATACATGTTCCCAGCTTGCCAATTCCTCTCATCCAATTACAAATGATAAGCCACAAAAATAATGGGGCAAGATCCTCTCAGGAAAATATCCGAGATGTCCGATAATCCGACTTGTTTGCACAGCAGGTAGTGGCAAGGATGGGAAAAGGCTGTGTCGTATTCGCTATCTCGCATTCGCATCAGGATACAAATGATCTAGAAGAACCTCGTTTCGTGATGAATGGTATCTTTGAACAACAGGTAATTCTAAAGAATATCTTCAAATCACAACTTCCAAGCAGCAATATGATGAAGATGTTCGAGACATGACTGTAATTCCTTTCGCTCTTGAATATTCAGCGAAAGTTGCGCAAATTGGTTAATTATTGGCTCTTTCATCCTCTCTGTGTTGAAAGTTCATTCTCTATCAATACTTGCTTGTTGTGAACTTGGTGGACCTATTTGCAGTCTTCTATATTCCCGATTGTAGATCTTCCTCTATGGCTGAACTCCACATACTCACTCAATTTCAAGCTCACTGGCAGAAATGTTTCGCGATCGAAAGGTAGAAGAATTGTTGCACTGTCATTCTTGGCATGATCTAGAATTCTGTGGCGATTAAACCACTCCTGACATCTACGAGACTGATCCTGAGAACAAGAGTTACTCTTACTACATCAATTTCCCAGAGAGGTATATGGAGAAGTTATTCTGGCTGCGTGAACATCTCAAATTGGCCACGAATTTTCTGCAAGTCGCCTGAGAGCAACGTTGTGTGTATGCACTCGTTCCATGGGATGCGCCAATATTACCATCTCTGTATTTCATCACCCTGGCTATGCGCCATACTTCTATTCTTCTCGAGTATCATCACGACAGCTGATGATCAACCCCACTGACAGCAAGTTGTGCTTGAGCATTCGACATTAGGTATCGCAGAATGCTAATAGCAAGGTGTTAAACTGACAAACAGTTGACTCGCATGGAGATGATGTTGAAAAAGCCGACAAGGAAGTATCTACGAACGTTGAAAGATTGATTACCTCATTTCTTATAGATTGAGTTAAGATTGGTGAGGATGTATCACACTTCGTCACATTCTGTGTTGGGGGGTGTCTGTACAAATCGTTCTCACCATTACAAGTTTATCCTTCAATTTTGATATTTCCTCGTTCACTGAATCATCTCAATGATGATGTACATATATGCGGATAACAGGAGGATGTGGAATTAAAGCAATTTCACAGTGGCAAAAAACAAGCACCAAGTTATTCATTCGGTGCTTCATTCTTAGGCCATCTCAATTGCTTTCAATCTCTCAACAATTGTATATCTAGAATCTCTATAACTTAAAAGCTCGCAAACACTCAACAATGGATCATAAGCGCTACGGATTGGCAACTTCACGCCAAAAACAAACCGCTTTCAAATATACACTTGATCGAAATACTTACTTGAGATCTTGAACTGCGAGTGAATGTCGGAATTGAAAGAAAAGTAGAGCAAGTATTCTAAGAACCAGGTTTTTGATCTGGTCATAATTTTCGCTTTTCGCCACAAACATGAAGAAAGACTTCTGTATCATGATGGACCAGCAGAAATTTGGATTGGCCAATGAACAAGACAAACTACTTGTCTCTAATCCCATAATTAACAAGCGCCACCTTCATTGCCTCATTGCCTCTGTGTTATCGCTATCTCCCATCACTGAAGTACGTCCTCATAGTATGCATACCACAATGCTGTAGCGAGATAACTATGGCATGGGACTGGGTGAGAAGAGCGAAATCGGTAATATCAAGTGCAAATGTTGTGAATCTTGTTTATCATTGAATGATTGAACCCCAAGGTGTTTTGAGGTACTTCCAATGCAAAGAGAATCGAAAGCGAAGAAACTAATACTGAAGTAAGGATACGCTGATAGGAAGATAGATGTACACGTCTAAACTACAGGAAATTATAGACCAAGACCTATGAACGCCAGATCAATTGTCGCAAAACTACTCGACATTTAGAAACACGAAGCAAGTACAAAAAACATTGTGATAAGAGTCCAGAAATGAAGTACATAAGGAACCCAATGTCTACATATGTTCCTCTAAAAAGGCACAAAACCAAGTACGGATTTTGCGGGGACGTATTATATAAGAGTTTCTGTATGAATATAAATTTATTGTTGCCACACTACCGGATCAGCTTGAGGGTAGACACCCAGGATTTCATTTTGATGTGTGATCTATCGATACAATCACGTGGCACTACCATGAACGGTCCTCAATCCACGCCGGGTTTCAAAATCAAACAAAGCGCAGCCGGATCCAAACCAATTGTTATGAGATTGGAGGGAGATCAGTTCACGGTATAATCGGATCCGAACATTGAAGCATAATTCTAATAATCCACTAAGGTTATTTTAAGATTTAAGCTTCCACGGGTTGTAGATTAAGCGCGTAGATATTATGCTTTAAAAGTCTAGAAGGGAGAAGAGAATGGACCCCCTTTCTCTTTGCGATGCAAAAGACAGGAGGTCGTTCATCTGAGTTATTAGCTGATGCTTAGTAGCTATTCCATCAATAATTGAAAGCGGCAATTATTCTCATCTCATTTTTCGTCGCTTTTCACACCGAAACGGCTTTCAAAGCCACGTTTTGAGTTCGAGCAAGTGTGCCTTAATTTCCGTGGTTCTGCTTCCAGCCCCCAGAAGCCCATTGCTGCTATTAATACCGGGGAATGAGAATATGAAGACATCCGTAAAGACGAAGCACCGAGGTTTCCGAGTGCTGCTTCCCTTCTAAGCCGAAATTTGCAGCTAATGTCGTATCTTTCCGTGCCTTTCGTTGTCATCCTTCCAATTACTCCTATTCATTCATTGTTGGCGATATTGATTGGACTGGTAAGTAGTATTGTGTGTGATGTTGTCAGACCATTAGTGATCTGTAGGTATGCGATTGAGCAAACAAGAAGCGGACAGATGCATTGAAAAATGTACCTAGACATTAAGAGATCCTTGAATCAGATCATTGGTGCAAGGCTTAGTAAAGAAGGATGTAAGCTTTGCCAAGGTTCGTCTAAAAGCTTAACTTTGTGGCTTTCGCTGGCTTAATCTTTTTCTTCTAGCTGACGCGGCCTAGCAAGGGGTAATTGAGCACACGACTCGAACAGAGGGATGTGAATTTATTGGTGGTGTCCTTTTCTAGGATGAACTCCCGTTTTCCCAAGCACTTGGTGAGAGAAAAAGAAAACGGTAGATGAAAATAGCTTCGGATTCCTTGATCCAGGGGCTGAGGGGGGTCAGTCGTATGGTACATTAAATACCCCAACCAACCAACCCTCTTCTGTGACCTCCTTGGTTTGATCACTGCAAGCTTGACAGTACAGCACCGACATGACAACATCATCAGATGGCGGCTAATCGAGCTCAACCTTGTTGATTTCACGGATACCGGATGCATCCACCCAGCTTTTCCCCAGGTATGAACTCTTTTCAGTAATGATTAACATTCTTTTTCCTCGCCTTGCATTCTTTCTCCGTCTCTCAAACATAGGCAAAATACGTTATCTTGGTATTCCAATAAAAGTGACGATATGCCACGCCATTCTAACCACGCTCACCCTAGATCAATCTGAAACCTCTGGGAACTCAAAAAGAGAGATGTGAGCAGCAGAATCAAAGTTGGGTCCAAAGCGTCGTAATCTATGTGTAGCAAGCCGTATGCTGCTTACGCACTAAGATGAACTGAGCCTTTTTCTCTGAGTATTGCATTGCGAGATGTTGATGTCGAATACTGGGTATTAGTTGTTTTGGCTGACCACCGTTGGACGACCTGTCTGAAAGCTCGTGATAGAATCTATCAGGTACAGGACTTTTGCTTCTAGATTTTGATTTAACCTTTTGCCTTCAAACAGAAGCAAGCGCTGAATGATGCCGGCTTCTCACATTCCTCAAATCCCTCATCTACTACCACTACTACTACTACTACTACTACTACTACTACTACTACTACTACTACTACTACTACTACTACTACTACTACTACTACTACTAATAATAATAATTGTAGCTAGGTTCCTCATACTATGCAGTAAATACATCTTAGAGCATAATTTGGGGGGGGCTGATGCTTGAACCCACGACGACTTTCCCATTCATCCAATAATCACTCAATATTTCTCTTTCCCTTTATTACTTTAATTCTGTCTAAGCGGCGAATTGAACAAAAATACATGCTTCCTCCTCACGCCGCCTTAATCTCTCAATATCTCAACATTCATAACTCCGTAAGCTGTTTGCTTGATCACATTTGAGAGAAAACTAGCAAGATCCGTCTCCACTCAATTGCTTCTTGGGATATATCCCTTGTCTTGGGTGACGAGTACCAAAGGAGTACTTGATCGTGTGCTTCCCCACGTCTCTTTTTAATTTTCCTTGAATCAATACCTTTTTACTTCATTCTCCATTGCATTTCAATCTTGATATTTTCCGCATTTTGCATTGGTACTCTCTATCTCTCTCTATCTTCCTCTCTCTCTTGTACCTCTTTGCTTTACATACAACGGCAGCTTTCGAATTCCTTCTCTCGATATACAATTCGATCATACATCTCTTGGCACATCCTTTCATCCCACATCCACAATTTAGAAAAGCCGCGCCAAGACGGTTGTTCAACCCTGTCCAAATTGCTTTCTCGTAAGCTGATCACCATATCGCGATAATCGAAAATGCGCATTTCGTGGATCCTCACTTTACCTGGACTTTTGTCCATTGTGTCGGCGCTGGCAATTCAAAAACGAGATGCCGACTTTTACAGTGTGCGCACAAAGTTACACGAGGACATGAGCGGAAGGAGAGGTGATCCAAGCGGGAAATATTTTCGTGAGTTCTTGTTTTCTTCCAAAGAGAGTTTGTTGTGGCGGAACCTGCGACTATGGACCTGTCCGAACTGTCCGGTCCATGATGATTAGAGTTTACGTTCAGTTGAAACCCAGCTAACGGAATTTTTCCTAACAGATGAGAGTGTGTACGTACTTCTACCATCCAATTATAATCTGGGATCGAGGGGTTTCGAAGTAAATTTGGAATTCGATGCTAACACGGCGAGGTCAATAGCTTCCATCCGCATTACGATGGCCGGTATGTAATTTCTATGGAATTCTTGCTACAGTGCACAATGGCAGAACCTAATATTATCCGTGTAGATTTGCCGACAAGCAATTGGGCTATAGAGAACGCAGACAAGTACTTTCGAATCTCATTCAAACCTACCTAGCTACTTTTTCAGATATTGGAGTGGAAACATGGCTCATGCATGGTACTTTACTCGGCTGGTGGTGGAATCGTAAGGTAGGAACGACACTGCAAATATTCCGATTACTTCACAAAATCTCACAATTTTTAGATTCTACCATGGGATTCCGACTCCGATGTCCAAGTTTCCGAATCTTCGATGCACTTTCTCGCCTCTTACTACAATATGACCGTCTTCCACTACAAAACCCCGCGCATTCCAGAAGGCCGAGATTATATGCTAGAGGTCAACCCTCATTATATTAATAGGGAGCAATCGGACAATTTGAATGTCATTGATGCACGATGGGTCGATACTACGAGTGGCTTATTCATTGATATCACAACCGCCAGATATAATTATACACATCCTGCCGGAGAGGGAATGATGAGCTGCAAGGATGGTCATGAATTTAGGGTAATTCTTTTGGTAATACGATCAGCTGGATTGCGCTAATAATCATAGGATACATACATCTTTCCATTGCGAGACACCTTCTTCGAGGGAGCTCCAGCCAAGATTCCTTTCGCCTACAAAGAAATTTTGGAGGCAGAATATCATGAGAAATCATTGACCTTGACTGAATTTGAAGGGTATGTTTGATGGAATCACAAATTTCACCCTGGAATATCTATGCTAACTTAACCAAAAAGCCACCACTTCGACGATGATAAGATGGAATGGATTCCCGTGAAGCAAGACACTCAAGTACCAATGGAACCACAAAAGGAAGCTCAGCCACCACCAAAGACGGATGCACAAAAGGCGGAGGAGGCGAAGCAAGCCGCTGAAAATGCGAAGAAACTGGAAGAGGCCAAGAAGTTGGAGGAAGCCAAGAAGTTAGCAGAAGCACAAAAAGCTACAGAGGAAGCTAAGGAAAAAGCGAAGCAAAAAGCCGCACAGGAAGCTCAACAAGATGATACACCACCCGTAAGCAAACAACCAATCAAGGAAGAACAGCCAAAATCACAATCCCATGATGCATCCGAACCTCCGCCAGCTCAGCGAGCCGCAGAGAATAAGATATTTACTGCAGCCGAGAAAAAGGCCAATCAAGTACAAAAAGCTGAAGATAAACGTAAACAGGACGAACAAAAAGCCGCCGATGCGAGACAGAAAAATGAGGAGAAGATGAAGGGAGAAGTTAAGAAAACTGAAGGTTCCGCGTCGGTCTCCTAATCATTTTATCTTTCCAAACGGTCGATACAACCTGTCACTTCACGGCATTCGAGCTTCATTGAACGATTTCGTTATTCCTGGCAGAACGAAGAGCCAATTTTTACGAACCTATAAAAATGGTTTGCTACCTTTATTTTCATTTCTTTAAATTCGCTAGGCGATTTTACTTTCTTCGCTATCATTTCTTCATTACATCATACGATATTCTTCAATAGTTCCACCACAATCTGGACTAATGAATTGAAAGACGACGGAGTTCTGGATTCGGATGATTACGAAAAGAAACGGCAGTATATGGATAACATGGCGCGCCAAAGCTAGGGCATTTGCATATAGTCGGGATCTGATTTGGCGTTATATTCCCCTCCCAGATGTGGGAAAGTATTGTGTAGGATGGAGCATTTGACCGAAAATTATAATGGTGGCGCAAGGAGTTTGATGTCATTGAGTATGATGAGTTGAATAGATCTTACTATGAGAGTTGGAGACGTTCAATTTCACATCTACTAGAATTTGAATAATTTCTCAAACTTAAATCTTCCTTATACCAGAACTCCCTCCTTTGGATCAAATCTATGATTTGTGAAGGGCAATGAAAGTATGGACTGAACTGGATTGGGCTGTCTCTTTTTATTGTAGTGGCAGGCCCTGAAGCGTGTCCTTGAATGATCTGCAAACGTATAAGGCTGCAAGCGCAAGCTTAAACCCCTCATCGAGATTGACATCCGAACCGAACCGAATACAGATAGTCCAAGGGCTATCAAACACTTCGATATATCGGATGTGCGGCCAAACACCTTCCACCACTCCCATTTTGTTGTGTAGTAATCATCTCCGAGAATATGCGTTTTTAAGTGGCCAGTTAATATATTATCAGATTATCACATGCAAATGCAAGCTTTGAAGAAAAATCATCAAGTGAAGTAGAAAATCCCCACTATGATTTTAGGCGTTGTCTCTCCATGTGGATCCTTCGCATATGTCTTGACTTGCTGGCCAGGTTCTTGATAGAAACAGGGATAGCTGTCGGAAAACCTTCCTAGGCGGAAAAAAATTGAGGAGAAAAAAGACCCTTCAAGGTCGATAAGGTGTGATTGTACCCATAACTCCTTCGGCAGGGAATTTTCAGGCTTATCGATGATGTTGATTTTTTCAAAATTATGGGGTTGTGGGTTGCTACATGAAATGGATGAATTGTATGAGCTGTTGCCCAACTTATCTTTGTTTTTATCTTCGAGGGCCAAGTGCTCGTTATAATTTTGAACTTCTTTCTTTCACAGTTGATTTGATATCAATTGAAATTTTGGTGTTATTTTTTCCCAGCCATGTCTCGTAAGTTATACACCCCTTCATCCTCACCAACGCAGAAATTTCTGTAGTTCTACAAGAAAATTTCAGAGCTAATAGTTTTCACAATACCAACTTCAGATGGCGAAGCATCCACCAGTCAGCATAACCCACTTCCGCTTCCCGAACGAAGGAACTCCCAATATGAAGATCCGCACGGTACAGCTTTAGGTGTAGGAATTGGATCACAGCCTCGTCGCCGCTCAAATGTATCTGGACGCTTAGCCTTTCGCGATAGTGTGCGCGCGGAGGATCTGGAGAGTTTGACGAGGACAGTCAGTGTTATTAGTGGACATCAGGATGCGTATCTTGAAGCGCATGGGGAATTGTCGAGAGAGGGCGATTCTGGGAAAGAAAAGGATAATACCACGATATCTTTTCCCAAAGCTGCAAAACCGGGTCCTATCAGTACGATCAGAGAATTACCTAGCGAATTTAATACACCATATTCGACTCGTCCGCCTTCTCCTTCTTCGGCGGTTAATACGCCGGGTGTGCATTCGCATCGAAATGGCCAGAGACTTGCAAATGGAAGCGGAAGTGCTACTCCACGCGAATATTTCGAGCTGCAAGTCGAAGAACCATCGAGGAATCTGCCGGAAACTTCATATCCGGATATCGGCAGTGTGAAAAGTCTCCGCGGTGCACTCATTCTTCTCACAACATGCGGAGCACAACTTATGGATAATGTTTTCATGACTGGAGTCAACATCAGTTTACCCGCCATCCAAAAAGAATTCGGAGCCAAAGCAAGTGATTTACAATGGTTGATTAGTGCGTACACATTAACTTTTGGAGGATTCCTATTGTTAGCTGGTGTATTGAGTGATCGATTCGGACGCAAACTTATTTTCTTCATTGGGATGCTGTGGATTTCCGTCTGGACAATTGCAAATGGTTTCGCGACATCGTTTATTCAACTTGCTATTTTTCGCGCGCTGCAGGGAATCGGAGCTGCGATGACGGTTCCTTCTGCGGTGGGAATTATCTCTTCGTATTTTGTGGCTAAAGATCGTACGATTGCGTTATCGTTCTTTGCGGCTTCGGGGGCGGTGGGATTCTGCGCGGGACTGATTTTTGGAGGCTTCTTGACGGGGAGTCTGGGGTGGAGATATCTGTTCTATGTTTCCGCTACGTTGACGGGGAGTTTGGGAGTCTTGGGCCAGTTTATTCTGCCGAAGGATCGGTTGGAGGGACAGGAGAAACCGAGCTTGGATTTGTTGGGCGCGGGGTTGTCGACTGGGGGACTTATTCTGCTTTCGTTTGTTTTGTCGAGTGGAGGGGTGTATGGATGGAGTAAGGCTTTCATCATTGTTTTGTTGATTCTCTCGGTCGCTGTTTTGGGGATTTTTGTATACGTGGAGAAGAGAGCTTCGCATCCGATTATGCCGCTTTCGCTTTGGAAAATACAGAATTTTGCTGCGTTGTGGATTTCGGGGTTTGGTATGTTTGGATCTTTTCCTTTTGTCTCTTCTTTCTCCTCTCTCCCACCTCTCTCATGAAGTGCAATTTTACATACTAACACAAACTCCAAAGTATGCTACGGTGGCTACCAAACCGTTCTCTACTATATCGTCCTCATAGCCCAAGAAATCAACCGTCTCTCCCCCGGCACCACCGCCCTCTATTTCCTCCCTATGGGCGCCACCGGCTTCATATTCTCCATGTCCGTCGGCAAGATTCTCGAACGCTACAACACCAAATCCGTGCTTCTCATCGGCATGCTCATGATGATGGCATCACCCATCCCCGCGGCCCTGCTCACCTCAACCTCCACATCCTTCTGGTCGCACGTGCTCCCCACCTCTCTCCTCGTCGTCGCAGCCGTCACAATCGTCTACTGTTCCTGCACGATTATCCTGCTGAGTAGCGTCCCGATGAGCGTTAAGAGTCTCTGCGGCGGCATGATCAATACCGCGTTTCAGATTGGGAGCGGTGTGGGATTGGCGCTCGCGAGCGCGGTGGTGCAGGCGGTGGATATCGATAAGGGGAAGGGAAATCTAGAGCAGTATAGTACGGGCTTGTGGTTTTGCGTCGCGTTTGGAGGGGTGGGCTTCGTGGCGAGTGCGTTTGGAGTGAGGAATTCTACGGCGGATGGGTTTGGGGGGAGGAGAGCCGGGGGCGAACAGTTTGCTATGCATTGAGGGAGTGGGAGTGGATGGTTGGTTGGTTGATTGAATATAGATATGTGGTTTGAGTCATGAAATTGCTCTGAGATATATGAAATTGATGATCAATGGTATTTTTTTGTTATCACGGGGATATGGGTATGGATCTCATATAATAAACATAACGAAGATAGACGATTTTCATATTTCATAGGTACATAGCTATAGATAGGTATAGGTAATGGAAAACAAACACGAATTACGAATACTGGTAGATACATACAGAGAGTGGATCAAACATCTCAATAACTCCCAATTTGATAAAATAAATCCCTCTCTCCAACTCAATTCGTTGAAGATGAAGATGAAGATGAAGAAATCAACTGAGTTAAACCAACCAAACAGCGAATCATTAGGAAGACCTAAATTCAATTGAGAATTATAGCCCGATCTTTTTTGCTCTTATACTATAGTAAATTTGCAGGCGAAGTTTCTTTGTATAAACCGGGATAAAAAGCGCAATTGCTCTAACTCGTGGTAGGCTTCGTAAGATACCTGCTTCTTTAGTACACCAACAACACATTCACACTTCCATCGCCCAAGATACAGGTCCGACTTCCAACGCATATAGAATCACATGTCATCTCATTCTTGTAGTTAATGAATCATAGCCCTGGTCGAGTTTCAATTATTCCATTTTTGTTACGCTAAATCTCTATATTTCCAGGCGTGAAATACACACCGACACTATGCATTCCTATAACCCTATGCACAAAAAAGAGAAGAGAATATTGAATGCCGCTGGACCAAAACTCCAAGACCCTAAGATATATGTATAAAGGAAAAGCCCCCATTTATCCCAACCCCGAGAACCTTCCAATGCATATATAAATGCACGCACAATATCCGAGTCCATACTCATATATTCATTAAGAAACGCAGATACCCCTTCCGTCCAGCCATTGTACCAGTAAGACAATGACCACAATTAAGCAATTAATTCGTCCGTGTTTTCACTTATATAAAATGAAGGTAAAATCCAATTTTTGCGCTGGACCCCAAAAAAGAGCGCCGCCGTGTAATATGTCCAATGGTTCTCGTGTACTAATTATGGACAAGGATGAAGACACGATGCTAAGTCAAAAACAAAGAAAATGTAACAGGTGCACCTCGTGAGGTTCGTTCAATTTATGTGCGTGTTGTTGTATAAAACAGTCGTTCGTCGTGGAAAGGGCCTGGAAAGATTGCTTCGGGACCTTTTTAGTTCATATAGATTCGATCGATGGCATCGATACAAAAGGAAGATCGTTTTTTTGCAGCTGAGAATGGTAGCAAGAATCGTAGTCGGTCGGTGGTTTGCGAAGTTTTAGTAAGTAATACAAGGCTATTGGTTTGGGTGAAGGTGCTAAACTTGAAGATGAAATGATAAAATGAATGTCACAAACACGGACAATGATATCAGTCGGGAGACTGGCCATCATGACGAGAATGATGGAATGTTTCGAGCCTAATCACCCCTCAAACTCGTCATCGCCATCTTCATCATCACCACCTTCCATAGCTGTTCTTAAATCAATAACGCTTTTTCGAATCCTCTTTCCCAATGTAATGGGACTCCTTGGATCAGCTAAAGCTTGATACCTTTCATACTCTGTTGCTGGCATTTGCAACTCATCTTCATCCTCGTCATCCTCGTTGGCATCATCAGTATTTCGAATAGCCTTTGGAGCCCGGCGAGCTCGAGTACTGGGTTCACGTGGTGGAAGAATTCTTGCAAGAGGTCCTTTAGCCCTCTTGTTTATCTTGATTTTTGACGATGAAGCCGAAATAATAAGAGGGCCCTCGGAGGGTGCTGATGAGGATTTGGTAGGGCGACCTTTACGAGCCTTCTTGGTAGGGGAAGCACTCGGAGCTGTTGGCGCGTCAGAATTGACTTCAACAGTTCGCTTGCGCTTAGTTCGGGACGATGATGGTGAAATGATCGGATGTGCGGCCGGAGTTGCCTCCTTCTTGATGATTGGTTCATGTGACGGGTCCACTTCTTCATCCTCCTCAATCGTTGCCTGTTTTCCACGCGGCTTCCGTGCCTTTAGTAATTGAGAATTAGCGACAGGGGTTTCGCTCGATCTACTATTACGTTTTCCTCGTACAGCTTTCTTGGGGGACTCTTGAATTGAGGTTGACTTTTCGACAGATGCTGCTGCACGATTTCGAGTAGCTGTTCGAGGTTCACGTGTTAGGGTCTGCTCATGGGTGGAAGAACGGTTGATTTGACGATCACCATAAGAAGAGATAGTTGACTGCGATGATGAGCTGTCGCGCCTTGAGTTGATTGCCTCAGTTGCTTCTGAATCCGAGTCGTCATCGTGCTCGGTTGTCGGCAAGATTGCATTTTCTTCCTCAGTTTCAGCACTTGGTTCGACATTAGCTTCCTTCTTGACCCGACCACCGGATTTGGCTGACTTGGCTGGTTGCTTCTTTGGTTTGATAACTTTAGCCTTTGGCTTGATAGGAGGTACGATTGCCGACGGGGTCTCGGATACTGCTGTAGTAATTTGTTCTGCGGGTTTAATAACGTCAACAACAGCCACAGGAGCAGGAACGGGAAGCGGATGCTTCCGTGGCCTACCACCTGCATGCTTCTTTTTTACAACTGGTTCAACAGGCAATTCTTCGGCGATTTGATTGACAAGTAATTCGGCCGATTGCTGTAGTTGCTCTTGTTCGGCTGGTAGGAGATGTCGAGAAATATCTTCGTCCTTAATAGATTCATCTTCAAGTATCGTTTCATCTTCGCCAGATGCAAGCTGAACATCCTTAAGCTTTGACAGAGATTTTGGTGGCCTTCCAATGGGTTTTCCCGATGGAAAAGTTCTTCTGATGGGGGTTTGACTTCGGCTTTGTTTTCGAGGAGACTTAGATAACTCTCCAATAGCATCATCAAGAACTCGAACCTTGCGTTGTCGTTTTGCTGGTAAGCCGTCCGATTCATCCTCTGGTGTACTTTGATCGTACATTTTCCTCGTAGCCATTCGCTGAGCTCGACCACTTCTACCTTCACTCATATCTATTTCACCCACACCACGCTTTCTAGAGGCCGATGGGATTGGTTGCGCACCAACATGTTTTGGATGGGAAGAATATTCAAAACCGTATACCTCTGCTTGCTTCATATCATCCCACTTTGTGGGATCTATCAGACGTCCTGCTTTTCTTTCTCGGCTTCTATCTCTTCTTTAGTCAATTTAATCTCAGGTAGTGGCTCGTTGAGAAGTTTTAGCTTATTTGACTCTTTAAGTTCCTTTTGCTTAAGCTTTTGCTTCTCTTGTTCTCTAACGAAAGCTTGTCTTTGAAGTTTGGCTCTGAATTGTGGGTCCCGAAGACTTTCGAGACGTAGACGAAATTCATCATCTTGATGATACTGATCGATGAAAGCTGTCCATTCTGGAGTTTTCAATTTCAATTCCACTGCGTAATGTTTTGCAGTAGCCACCAGGTCGTCCCCTGTCCAATTGCTCGGCAAGCCTGTCCGCCTCTTCTAAAGCTTTCTCGGCCTCTTTTCGGATTGAAGTCGTTCTTTCTCCTGGGATTCATATGCGTAGATTTCCTCGTCAATTGCATCAAATTCCCTTTGCCAGGCAGCTAAAACAGTCCTATTGGAAATTGTTAATCCTGTTCTTCTACCCCACACAGTATAAAGCACGATATTAAATGTAACATCAGAGAGGAAACTACGGGAAAATAAGTAGCGACGGTGACTTACTGTGCTCACAATCGCAGCTCTTTTGTACAGTTCATCATATGGCATTTCGCTAGGATTCTTAAGGTATTTTTCGAAGTGCTCCACCGGGGGAAGCTTGGGATATTTGAACTTGAGACCAATATCTGGATCATTGATATCTACATCATGTTCTTCATGGCCTTCGGCTTGATCATAGTAGTCGAATTCAGAATTTGGATCGATATATGGTTGAATCCGATCATGATCTTCTGGATCGAAATCTTCTTCGTCGGCGTCAGCGTCAGCGATGGCAATAGCAGGCTCTTGAGCTGCATTGTAGTCGAAATGCAAATCCGGTCTCGGCCCATCCTTATTGGATAAATACTTTGCTGAAGCATATACATTCTCAAGTGAAATAGGAGGTGGTGATAGAGAACTACCTGATGTAGTAATAGTTCCTACTGATTCCGCTGTGGATGGTCGACTGCATGCAGCCACGTGACTACGAAAGTCCTACATTTCATGAGCATCAAATGATTGACATGAAGGAAGAAGGATTTATGTGAAGAGAGACTCACCATATCTGATAGTTCTGCAAATATGTTACTGCAATTGGGGCATGTTGGCGTTGAAGAAAATGATGTAAAAGAACTAGATGAAGTTTCTTGAGACTCGGAAGAACCAACTCCTTTCTCAATATGAGAAGTAGAATCTTGAGTCGCAATAGGAGGAACTTTAGTTCGCGCCATATTGAAGAGAAATCCCAAGTTTTCTCAACGAATTGATTCGAAGAAAATGAAACCAACACGATGTGTTGTGCTGGCTCCAACCCAAAGAGTTTCGAGTTTTTGTCCACAAGGTCTCAAACTTGAGTTTTGCAGCTCTATATGCAACCGGAAGAAATGTATACCAAATATTTTGAGGAAAGGGGTACAAATTGATTTAGAAACTTTATAGGAGGATTAGCAAGAGATATCGATGATCAACTACATGCTATTTTTAAGACATAAAGCTATTGTTGTTCAAAAGTATCGTAGTCGGTCAGATTCTCATTTTACTGCTTTAAAAAGGTTATTTCGATTCAATTTGGGGTTTGCGGCTGTCGTAAAATGTTAGATGGCGGTGCTCGGTGCTTGGTGCTTAAACGCCTCAACTGTGGCTGGAGCCAATCACATGTCGATTTACGGTTACGTCAGCCTTGCCCCATATCATGTTGATGTTGAGACCTTTATTTGCTTTATCAATAACGTCAAAATAGTGCTTCGAGACAGATGACAGTCAAAGTAAATATCACCTATTATATCATTCTTCTGACGGGCTCACTCATTCCATAATCAGCAAATACTTCCAATAATCATCCATCCTCTGATACTGCGTCCCAATTGATACACAACTCACTCACAATCATGGCTTCAAAGAAATCAAAGCCAGCTCCAACTGATGATGAATTGAATGAACTTTTGGAAGGCATTGATGAAGTTAAAGTTAAAGCACCTTCTTCCAAGGGACCTTCCAAATCACATAAAACAAAACAACCGTCTCAATCAGAACAAGATTTACTTGCGGAACTTGAAAACCTTGGAGCACAACAACCAAGTCGACCACACACACCACGAATTCAACAAGTGAAACGTTCAAATACAGCGACTCCTCCACCAGCTTCTCGCAGAAGTGAGGACAGATCAAGCGAGGAGAAATCTGCTTTACCTCGAAAATCTGTTGACAGTACTCGATCATTCCATACTAGTTTTACTCCTTCCGCAACTAGTAGCGATCTTCAAGAAGCGGAAAAGAAAGCTCCAATTTCTCAGCCTGCTACTGAAGCCCCTTCAGCGGGTGGAGGATGGTCATGGGGAAGCGTCTTTGCAACAGCAACAGCGACAGCTAGTGCAGCGGTCAACCATGCTCAAGCTGCAGTGAAGGAAATTCAACAAAATGAAGAAGCTAAACGATGGGCAGAACAAGTTAAAGGAAACGTTGGAGTTCTTAGAGGCTTTGGTGAGATTTTGACTTGAAGAAGTGGCAAGTGAAGAAGTGCTAATTGAAATTGCAGGTGGTGAGTTGACATCTAGAGCTCTTCCAACCTTTACAAACATTCTTCATACTCTCGCACCACCTATTTCATCCCACGAACGACTCCAAATCCACATCACCCATGATTTCATTGGATATCCCTCTCTCGACCCTCTCATCTATTCTACATTTTCTCGTGTGATGGCTCAAGTTGAAGGAGGAGATCTGCTTGTCATTCAACGTGGCCACGAATCCACAGCGCGTCGCGCATCCGAAGCTGGTTATACTGGAGGCAATGCAGGATGGAGCGATGGACCGTGGTGGCGCGTAGGAACCGACAATCGTGATATTGGATCCGTTAAAGGACTTATCGAAGGAACGAAACTCGTCCGAGTAAGCGCAGAAGCCTATTCGAAGGAATATTTTGATGCGCATGGTGGGCTCGAACTCGCAGCTCAGCGAGCTACTGAAGATCTTAGCGAATCAAATCCAGTTCGCAGCAGCGATATTTTCATGGCCGTCCAAGCGATTACTCATGAAGCACCAGAAGATTTGTTCCAAGGAGGTCCAGTAAAGGAGGCAGAAGGAGGTGTGGTTGACGAAAAACCAAAACCGGATGAATTAATTTCCTTCGCTATTTACCTCCAAGATCCAATCCATAGTATCACTTTCTATACACTTACCCAAGCCATTCCTGCTAAATGGGTTCAATGGCTCGATGCTCCAGCTCCCTTAACTCCAACATCCACATCTTCACCCTCTAAAGAAAAGTCCGGTTTCTTTGGTACAGAACCAGTGAATGCACATGCAGGATTACCAGAGGAGATTCAACAAATTATAGAGAGTGGAGGAGTGGACCCCCGTGAATGGGTTGCAGAATGGGTGGAGGAGACATTGAGTTTGGGTGTGGGTGTTATCGCACAGAGATATGTGGCAAGGAGGATGGGAGTTGGCGAAGGTGGTATTGGTAAGGGGAAGGCTAGGATGGAGGAAGTACTTGGCGATGGAGGCGGGGAGGCAGCAAGAGCGGGGTTGATCTGATGGAGCCCAGTGATATGGAGAGGAAAAGGGGGTGAGGGGAAGGAATGCAGTATCCGCGGTTCTTACGAGTGATATGATATGATTGTTTGGGGCGTTTTGATTCTTTCGTCGCGTCACGGCGTAGTCATACTTAAGGATGGTTTGGTGATAGGATGTTTGAGGTCGCGTTAACGAAACAATGCATACATTTTTTATCTTCTTTTCATGGACGCATAAGGGAATGCTATAATTTCTGTATTGTGCGATACTTGCAGTTCTCTTTGTTTGATTTGCATTTGCTTCTGATGATTGATATAACAGAATGAATCCCAAGATGCCTATCCATCGATCCATCAGTTCTCACACACTAAACGATTTGGAGTAGGACAGGCTTGGAGAAGAGCATGGTGGCTGGGAGTAGGGATGTGTTTGAAGGTAGATACAGGGAAACGTGTGTGCGGTATGAGTAATCATGTATATGGATATGTGAGTTCTAAAATTAAAGGAATGAGCTTGCAGAGTTACAAGTAAAATGAGACTAATTATTCGGTAGATGATTTTGAGATGCTTTGATATTGTGGGATGAGATGGGATAGGATGGGAGTGGAGATTGTTGGATTAGGTGGGCTGTGTATAAGAAATAGGACTGCATAGTATAATAAGTATGGTTCGAAGATAAGAAGATTGTGGATTGTGGATTCGTGAATTCGTGGATTCAATTTAGATTCTCAAAAATCTATTAAAATTTGACTGCTTGATTCGTTTCCAGATGTTTACAATGGGTGACGGTTGGTTAGTATTCGGTCTTGTCAGTCCGGGATGCTGAAGATGGATGCTGAGTTACTAGCTGGGTAGTTGGGGTTATATAAGATGGATTGGAAGGCTTCGTATATGGTGGTACTTCAGATGGGATGGGATTATGGTGAGTGGTGGAAGTATATCTGCCTGTATGTTCTTATGTCAGGGTATCGATGTTGGTATTGAAACTGTGAATACTTGACCGATGGTTCTTTCTTCATGCTTCCATTGTATGAAGCATTCTTCCTTTGTCATTTTTCGATTTTCGTTACTTTTTGATTCTCGGGGGAGGATTGGGTTGGATTTTGGAAGTGGAAGTGGAAGTTGGGCAAGAGAGGGGGAAATGAAGATGGGGGGAGAGGGGATTGATATAAAGGAGTGTATGGATCAGAAGAGTGTAGAATTTTATAGTGTACACCTCTGTTTCGCTTTTCTGTATGAGAGATAGAATGCGTGATTTTCTCTCTTGAATTTTGTTTTAATTCTATGGGATTTGTAAAGGATATACAGACGAATTATGATTGGCGGCACAGGAGGGAAGTGTAATTGGAGTGGGGAGGGAGGTATAAAGTTTGGATTGAAAACTGAGGTTTTTACTTGTGAAATATAGATAGAAGGGGTGATTACTAGCTGTGATCATTGTACTCGTAGTATAGAGATTATCATAAGTAAAATGGGAATTTCCTTGCATTTGGAAGTCGCTGGAAGAGATGATTCCGACATTCGTCAAGAAGAGTTTTGTGAATGGGAAGTAGAGATGACAATTTGAAAGCATTGAGAAGACGTACGAAAGAACGTGGATTAGAAGAATATACTAGGTACAAAGGGAAAAAGGTGGAAATGGAGTTTGTGCAAGCGAATGTTAGTGCTATCCGTATAGCAACTTCGATGCCGTGAATAATATAATATCATCATGATCACATGTTGGAAAGTATGGTTCTTTGAGTTTGATTATACTTATCTGATATAAGTACAGGTCTGGAGTTTGAGAGTAGAGCAAGTGGAAAACCATATATCACTGTTTGACTAGGTAGGTACTGAACAGAAGTTGGAAGTATAGGGTAGGGTGCTGAGAAAATGGAATAAAGAATTATATTTCTCATCGGTATGATGAATAATACTATAGGAATTTCTTATAAGGAAATCTTTAAGCGAGGATAACAAGGGCAAGGGACAATGAAAGAGGTCATCCGTAGAGCTTAGCGAATATTAAAGATTGTACTAATTTCTAGTGGTATGTTTAACTTCCCGTTGATTGATTACTTTAGCGAGGCACTAATCATTGCTAGACTGAAAATAGAATAATATAATAAATTTGCATATCATTGTTTCCGTATACTAATAAGTGGAATAATAAATGAAGCAATGGGGTCTCTTTTCTTCAACATCTGTTGAGTATTTCCTCTGATATATCCTCCAACGAAAGCTATCCTGTCCTCTTATTTCAGTCTGATCAAATACTCAGCATGAGTAAGCGAGACGAAAACGTTTGTTCGAAGTATCTAGTCTTATCATCCTTGTTAGGGTGTTGTGGTAAAGTAAAGCAAATGGACTTGCTTTGAGTTCAATGAAGAAATGAATATGCATGAGAGTATTTTCATCCAAGTGGAAGAGTCGAATAGTATCGCTGGGATCTTCTGTAGAAAATGTTAATATTCCTTATGAGTCAATTTGTAAAAATAGCACGACTGATATCTCGAACTCCAGTGTGTTGCGGTGTGTGAGTGGATGGGGATTGATAGCGTTCATCACCTGTGAGATCTTCTGTCAAAGATTTAAAGTATGGACTTCGGGTATCGAGGATAATCCAGTAGTAAACCTTGAAGCTCGAGTATGTTGTTGTGAGCTGTGAGGAGACAATATTCTGCAAAAGTTCGATTCTCTCCCTCTTCCTTGACGAGTCGTGTGGAACCAGCTAGTTGTAATCTTGAATGTATCCGTATTGCTGTAGTTGATGAAGGGATTACTCCATACATGCAGCGTCAAAGATCCTGCTGTTGAGTTCTGGCCATGCGTTCCTAGCCATCCGACTCCCGACCGTTTCCGGTATTAGTTCCAGTTGTTGTTATCCTGTCGTTTCGCCTCTCGTGAATGGTATCAAACTCCTGATCAACGCCAACATCGGCGTCAACCTTGACGCTTTCTAGGTGCGACTAACATCATAACGCAGGTAACATCTCGCTATAGTCCCCTCAGAGTGCTGGATCTCCCAGTCAAAGACCCACGGGCGTAATTCCTCTTTGTAAGTTATGCCCCTTCGCTTTCCTGATGTATACCGTCCCAATAAGATGTTGGGAATACATTGAAATCCGTGGCTTGTATAATCACGCTGATTAAGCTGCTGTTTCAAGTTGTCTTAGGTGTCCGGAAATATCTCAGAGTTTTTGCTGCCCCATTGTCGACATCGCCTCGCCTTCTATGGCGCCAGCAGAGGTGCTGCTAAAGCCCTAAGAACTAGAAGACCCCAATGCGAGTACATATCCCGCATCATAAACAATCGAGACGTGAATTTGGTCGAGGACAAATTCTCTTGAGTAATCGAGTTTAGAAACTGAATAAAGATGAAAGAAAGTAGATTGGGGCACACAAAAGCCCAACTTTCGGGGGGGATCTCCTCTTTAAATATGTCAGAGAGAGATGACGTTGCTCTTTGCTTGCTGATCTTGAATCTTTCTTTCGATAAGCTAGCATCTGGTTAAACTTTAGTAGACGATTAGCTACTAGCTAGTCATAGATAGAAATTCGATAGTTTCCTCAAGATTGACATCTCGGCAAAGCGGAAGTATAGGGGTGTCAAGCAAACGAAGGACCCGAGATTTGATATATTTCCCGAGGTCATATTTATTACTGATGTAATAAGTGATATGCAACTTTTTCGAGTGGTTATCACGATGAAATCCAGCCATTTGAAATGGCCCAAATTCAAATAAATATCATGGAAGAAAATCTGTCGATCAACTCCATTCTGGTAGCCAGAGTGCAATCAAATAGTACGTATTGACTTTATATCAATGTTAATTATGCCGATAAATTCTCGAAGCATGATATAGCATATAACCGTTGTCGACGCACGAGAACTAAAAAAGGGTGAGATCAGATGAATGCTTGGTTTGACTCAGAAGACAGATGACTACCATTATGGGTTTTCAACTACCGGTATGCTCATGTCAACCGTCGCCACGTTAGAGTCGACGAACTCATCAAAATTGAAATTTTCCAAGCATACTATTACCTGACTAGTTATCTTCTGTCTTTCAGTCATTTGTCAGAAATGGATGATGCTAAGACTTGAGCTAGTGCGAAGCCAATGATCTGTGGAATTACTACGATAACCTAAGTATAAGTGACGTCTTTTTTCGAAACCCCACATAACCTTAGTTGTAAATGCCAGCTTGACAGACGACGTTTCAAATCTTGGTGAATGGAAATGTGATTGGACTATTGTTGATTACAATTCTACATACTTCCTGGAACGTGTGTATACTAGGAGTTTCCATCCTTGATCTGGTTGAATATATTTGCATCTTGAAATGATACTAAAAATAGATATATCTACCAGATTCTAGCTTCAAATATTGGGTAGACTCATCTTTCGTCAAAGATCTGGGGAAAAGTGATCGTCACTAGCACTAAGTGATCTAGAACTCGACTATCTACAAAGGACAAATAATGCAATGGAGTTTGGTTGAAAAATTTGTATGATAATATCAATTTTATTTCTATAAATAGATCATGTCTTCCCACTCATTATGTTTTCTCAACAGCAGTCAAAAGTCAGAGCTCCGAACCTCCCTTTCTCAATTCGCTTCTAAACAGAGCTTCTCCATACAATCGCCGCGCGAACCGACGACCACCGCACATCAATACCCATCACATATTATCAGCAAATCAGCCAAGGATGGCCTAGAGTGGTATTACAGACTCAATGCACAGTCACCTAGAAGCCGAAGTTATATCTCTTTCATATACAGCTCCATCAACAAGAAACAGAGTCAATTTACATCTCAGGCAAGCTACATTGCGTTCTACTTTGTGATGGAAATATCGGCTGATCACACGCTTGTCAAATAGGAGAACTGGCATTCTTGGAAACATTTATCGATAATCTCGGCGATCACACATAAACCAGACCCATACGAACCGTCGTAGCAACTTGCTATGACCAAGGTGCCTTTCATGGTGCGTGAACATCCTGTGATTGCTGCATGCATGCATCTAATTACACTGCGTTGTTGTTATTGGTAGTTCCGAGCTTGATTGATCTTTTGCAAGTTGCTTGTGGGGTGCATGTAGCTGTGCACTTTGAATTATACTGTGCGTTTACAGTACTTGGTTTTTGTAAGTTGTTACAGCATTTATATGTTTTAATGTCTTCAACCCATCCGCCTCGACGTAAAGCCAGTGCATTTACCCCTGGTGACTTGATCCCGCTGACTCGTGGAGTAGGCAGGGCGAGTACCATGTCGTACCAATAAATCGTCGAGGAGGGGGGTGTTGAGGAAATATGGAGCTAGTGCTTAGGTGGGACTGGGGAAATAGATTAAATACAGGATGGGACTGCCATGGTAATCATGAGGGGATAAGAGACCTGAAGCAAGAAGGCTTTTTAATGACGTATGTAAGATCTTGCATGACGTCAATTGCATCGAAATTCATTAATCAAGACTCAAGAGCTAACCAAAATCGATAGATAGATGTTTGATAGGGGCTTAGGAGGGACGGAGGGGCGTCTCCACTAGGCCGTGCCGACCGATATTATCATTTTTATTTTGAAGGACGGACTGGGATTCAAATGTCTACAAGCTGGTAGATGGAATTCAAATAAATAATAAAGAACGGAGTATGAATGCAAATTCGACCGACGGACAAGACCTATCTATGATCGGTACCTTTTTCTTTCTTCGGATAGACATTAGATCTACACCGTGTTGATATACGCAGTAGATGTATGTAGGTATATAATCTCAAATCTACACAGTAGGGCTATATAAATCGATACCCAATGGGGGTAGATACCTACCCAACAGGATTACCCGACCTAGATACCTAGGTAGTAGGAACCTAGGTATCTAGAAGAATGCCACATCTATCTATCGATTCATATAGGTAGTAGTAGTGTAGTGACCTACTTGGTATTCATTCGATCTATTCACTCATCAGGGCAACTTGACAGTCACAGTCAATCTACCGTCTAGCCATCTACCGGCACCGACCTAGCCATTCACCAATTTACCTACCCAGGTACTACCTGCCTCCTCAGCATCGTCATCACTTCACATATTTGATATAAATCTAATATCCATCTTGACTTTGTTGTTTGATTTATCCCTAAATCCCTATCACTTGTTACTTTATTTATCAAATAGCCAATCAATCAGGTCACCCACAGACCCTCCTTGACGGATTTTAATTGATTGGAAAGCACTAAAACAAAGGGAAAAAAATAATTCATCGTCATAAGTACATAAAACCAAGTACATTACCCTAGTCGGCCGTCATTTATCATCCCTCATCCCTCATCCCTTACGAGTATCCCTCATACAACCGAAAAAAAGTTCAAAATATCCAGAAAGAGAGTCATCTGTTTGATATTGACATACTCACTCACTCTAACTACTACCTGGTCACCAATCTTACCTATTATTCTACCTACTTTTGATACATTCAACTCAAAAGTACTTTCTACAGTCTTAAAAATTCACATTTACACTTTTGGGTCACTCCCTTGCTTGATCACCAATCACGCTTCCAAAATTTCCGATCCTTGCTTATCCTTGAATTTCATTCATATCTTTTCCCCCTCTTGTCTTGCCTTACTTGTTACAGGAATTTGAATCCGATTACACACCCCTTCTCTTCAAAGTCTCGCAATTTTGATATTGTGTTTATCAAATTATCCGAATTATTTACTTACTAAAAATGTCTTCCATCTCACAGGCCATTAAAAATGCTCTTCATCGGGGTATGTCTTGCTTAACCTTTTCAACACTTTTCACACCTCACCCGTTCTTTCTAATTAACACGACAACCGCACCTTCTTCTTCTTCTTCTCAAAATTCAACATGCTAATAACAAATTCAGGCAAGGGAGGTGCAAAAGGCAATGAAGATACGAAAAAGGCTGCACCTGCCGCTCCAGCTGTCCCTCAACATCACGCTAAATCAGATCCTAGCGTAATGGCCCATCAAGCACATCAAGTTCCTGGAGGTGATGCATATTCAGTTGCAAACGAAGATAATAGAAATAGAGGAGCTCAAGCTGCAAATCAAGCTGCACATGCAGCAGGACAACAACAAATGGCAGGACAATCCAGCTCAACGAGGCAGGACGAACTGGCAAGACTGGTGGCCGCCTCGAATGAAAATAACAACCGTTTACCAAGATATCCTGGACTTGAAAGATGGTCACTTATCGAGAAGATGGTGTGATGAGCATTCAGCAATGTTTACAAGGCCAAAGACTTAGAAGGCCAAGCTGGAGAGGTGGCCATCAAAGTTGTGCGAAAATATGAGATGAACTCAATCAGGTAAGTACCTTTTGAGATCTTTCATTATAATCCTCTCTTTGATTTTTTTTTGGAAACCTTGCCAACATGTGTGGTGGTGTGGTAGGCAGATGCTCATCTTCATCCGAACTTCAACAAGAAGCAACCCAAGGGCGTGGAGGTGCGGAATTATTTTTTACTCTCTCCTGTCAACAACATTCCATTGTATCATATTCAATAATGGCTAACATCATACAATCATTCTAGAGACAAAACATTCTCAAAGAAGTGTCCATCATGCGTGGTCTAGATCATCCTAATATTATAAAACTCATCGAATTTTCCGAGTCAAAACAATACTACTATCTTGTTTTAGAGTTGGCACCCGGCGGAGAATTATTCCATCAAATCGTCCGCCTTACTTACTTTAGTGAGGACTTGTCAAGACATGTTATTAGACAAGTTGCAGAGGCATTACACTATCTTCACGAGGAAAAGGGTGTCGTCCACAGGTGAAGATACTCCCAACCCCCACTTTCGTTTTTTGTTGTCGTTCATTCAACGCTACGAATACTGACGTCATTCTTCAGGACATCAAACCAGAAAAACATTCTGTTCGAGCCAATACCGTTCATTCCAACCAAGAACCCGAGACCAAAATCTGCTGAAGATGAAGACAAGGAGAACGAGGGTGAATTTATCAAGGGCGTTGGATCAGGTGGTATCGGAAAGATTAAGATTGCCGATTTTGGGTTGAGTAAAATCGTATGGGATACCCAAACCATGACACCATGTGGTACCGTAGGATATACAGCGCCAGAGATTGTCAAGGACGAACGATACTCCAAAAGTGTTGATATGTGGGCATTAGGTTGCGTTCTTTATACCTTGCTCTGCGGTTTCCCACCATTTTACGACGAAAGTATTCAGGTTTTGACTGAAAAGGTTGCAAGAGGTCAATACACATTCCTCTCGCCATGGTGGGATGAAATCTCCAAGCCAGCACAAGACCTTGTCTCACACTTATTAACTGTGGATCCCAAAAAACGATATACAATCGATCAATTCCTTCAACACCCTTGGATCAAGGGTTCCGAGGAACCTACATACGCAGCACTTGATGCTCCACCATTGGCTACTCCAGCCGTTGAACGCCAACGCCAATTGGGTGGTGGCTTGCGAGCCTTCAACCCCGATCTCTTGGAGTCTCCTGGAGCAGGCAGGCGTATGGATTTCCGAAGCCCCGGTGCTGTCCATTTACGTGAAGTCTTTGACGTCGGTTATGCTGTTCACAGACAAGAAGAGGAAGCCAAACGAAAGAAGAACTTCAAGCAAGGTTATAGAGGAACTGCCGCCCTGAACCCCCTCAACCCCATCGATGATGAAGATTTCGACGAGAGCGACGAGGAGAACTGCGATGAGAACGGAGTTCCTTCAAAGGCACCCAAATCTGGACAGTCAGATGTTGCGCAAGTCGGTGATGCTTTGCGAAATACAAAATTGAATCCAAAATCCGCAGCCCCGGCTAAAGGTTATGGACAGCACAGTGCTCAGGTAACCGCATCTGCAAAGCGAGATATCAAACCAAGGAACGGCGCCTTCGAACTCAATCTCGATGGAGCAACTCTACTCGGTCGACGTCAACAACAACCACCGCCAAGTAACCTGAGGGAGTCAATGGTTGCGCAATAGCATTACTGTTGAGAATAGCGGAATTCATTTGTTTGTCTTAACAATCCTTTTTTTCTGGAACCAAGACCAATTGTGCTATTCAAAGCCCTCTTTAATCCCGACCCCAATTCTATTCCTTTCATTGCAATGCATTGAGGCCGCCTCCATAAGTACATGGCGAACACCACATTTGACATTTGCATAATTCTGGCATCAACTTTCTTTGCGGACAACATTATGCCCAAGTTGACCAAGTATGATAATGATTCGAAGGCCAAGCATTAAATACAATTCATTATATGGGGGTAATTTATTTGTGTCTTTCATTCGTTGGTTCACATTGGCGTTTGGAGATGGGAAATAAATTGCCGGGGGATAATGTGTTAATGACTGGCGGTGTTCATGGACCTCTGATCATACTTTCTTTTTTCACTTCATTTTTTCATGCGGCCGCTTTTGTTGGGGATCAATATGAATTACTGATAACACGAGGCAGATGAATAAGTTTAGTACTGTCTGCAGCAGTACTTCTTGATACTTTAGATCCTTAAATTCATTCTTTTCCTTTAGGTTTCTCTGTTATGCATTCACTAACTCTTTCGCGTTGGGGGGTGTGGTAGGCAGATAAATGGTGCTGAGCCAGTAAATAGATTTTAACGATCAATGGACTTTTACCTATCAAAATTACTCTTTGTTTCTATGATGCTATGCTAGGTTGTGATGAAATCTTTTCATGTCATGAAAATTACAACCAACTCTGTTTTGATTTTGCTGTCCAATTTATATCTGATGAGCTCTTGGAAGATAGACTTTGTGGGGAGGGATGGGGATGGAATGGGGGTATGCTGAGTGGAGGGTAGATGCTTTGAGGTAGGTGGATAGAGTGGATAGAGTAGGGTAGTGTAGCCCTGTTAGTAGTGTAAGTATGATTCGTTCGTTTAATAAGAGTATATAGATACGCGACCGCTTGGTGAAGCGAGCGATGTGATGTGATGTGATTACGGGAGGCGAGTTGGGGAAGATGGTGCTGGCTACCTAGCTTGAAAGGGTATTTATTGTTACTTTTGTAATATACAATTAGGGTTCAATAACTTTCATGCTCTTAGGGGTATAGTCTGGCTACATGCTAGTCTGGAGGTAGGTATCAGAATCAATTTCGATTTTGTAGGCGAAGAGGATTTAAGTCGTGGATGTTGAGTTAAGGTTATAGTTATAAGCTATTTTTACTTTGTGTTAATGTCAGTTGGATGATAAGGATTTGAGGGAGGGGGGGGGGGGCGTGGGAGTAGAGCTTGAAGTTGAGATGGTAGGCGATAGGTTGGCCTTATATGTGGATATGTGAGGTTGTGGATTATAAGGTTCTGAGGGTGGGCGATCGTGGGGTTGAGATGGATGTGCGAGGTCTGTTTGAGTAGAGTTAGGGTTAGTTAGGGATGTTTGGGAGAGGTTAGGGACGGTTAGGGGAAGTAGGTAGTGTTGAATGGTGGGAATTTTATGGTATGTTGTGGGGCTGTAACACAATATGATGAAAGGTTTAGACGCCAGACGTTAGGGAGATTCTAGAATGAAGTGATTGCTGTGCTAGTGTGCACTATGGTGTCTTGGGAGTGTGGAATTAAGAAAATTGGAGCTTTTGAGTTTGTGGAGTGTTGTTTTGATGTTTTTTATATGGACTGTGATAGTGCGTGGATGGTCTGTTTGACTAAGATTTACGTTGATGCTGTGTAGAGCTAGTGTAATAGGGTCACTAGAGAAGAAACTAGGGGAAGCTTGTTTGTGAAAGTTTAAATAGTTACTAGCGTAGTGTTGAGTGATGTTTGACAGGATATGATGAAATAGTCAGAGACTAAGAAGAAACTAACATGGCGTAACTAGAATGTTAGCGGGTAGTGGCGTCTTGGGAGTGTATAGTCAGTGTGGGGCTATTGGATGAGCTAGATGTGTAGTCGGCTGGCTAATGAAGGGCGAAACTTAAAAGGGAGCTTGGGATTACCCGTAGGATCGAGATAGTTGCTGGTGATCTTGAGTTGACTATCTGTACGTGAGTTGGTCAATTGATATTCATTAGATAGTGATATGAGTTGGTGCTTATCTAATTTTATGTATAATAGAATGGTTCACAGAAGGTTGTTCATCAGAATTATAATGATGATTGGGAGAGATTAAACAAGGGAAATTTCAACTTTGCTTCTGAAGGAATATATCTTCTAATCTTTCAATTTCCTTTCCAACGAATAGATCAAAAAACTTTCTTGAATTCACTGCTTGAATAGACATGCATTGATATTGCAACTCGAATCAAGAATAGGGGATATAGAGATCTGAGATAGACTATAGACGATGAGGGGATCGTAAACTCTTGTGGTGATGAATGTTGACAGGTGTGTTGATATCATATTTCCAAGAGTTCTAGAACTGTTTAGAATAACCTTGATGATAACAGCATCAAGACTTCCCATACGAATAGACTACCACTTAAGTGTCGACAGTGAGAAATCTAGAACTCCATTTCTAAACTCCACAGATTTCTCATTTTTGATCATCGTTCTCTACATCGAGATCTGCAAAAAATGCCCGAAAGTCCTAAACTAAATAAGATTTCCGCTCTCAAAATCGGCTCTAAGAAAAGGGGATTTTCAAAAAATAAACAGTACGTCCCAATCAAATTTATGGAAGCTCAAAGTTAAAGATTCAGAGTTCAACAGAAAGGGCTAGTCTTCATAAACGGTGCTGGAATTCCCATCCCATGTCAGAGGTTTGACAGCGGCAGATAAGCTCATCCGACTCCGTCACTTGATTCAGGGGAATACTAAGCGAGGAGATTGAAAAGAATCATGACGAATTATGATTCCTGAATCCTGATTGGTGAGCCTGTTAGCTATTATGTGGGTAGTATCTGGAATTCCGACTGTTACAATCTTGGCACTATGTATATTCTTATGTCTGAATGGTGGATAAATATCATTGCAACCTGTCGAACTTGGTGACGAGCTACGTATGTGGTTACAAGACTTTCTGAGTTTTGCTACTACTGATTGCCCACCGATTATCCAGATATAAACTAGAGCCAGGCCTTGTCTGCCAAGATATTAAGTCATATTTATAGGTGTAAAATAGTGTATGGACTTAATTGAAACTACCACCAAGCCGACCCTACCCCTAAGGGTATGAAAACCACTTTATTAGACGTCATCTTACCCAATCCATACTAGGCGTTAACTTCCTCTGCATGTTGAATTGTGTCTGACATTTTATTTATATCAATTCGACTCGAATTACTTCATTGATGTCACAAAGTCTTCAGGAATTATCTTGCTTCCCGGAACACTCGGAGCTACAAAGAATGATCATCAAGTTATTCTTGTTAGAGGTTCTAATAGCGACTGGGATGTAGAGTATAGGAAGATTGGTTATTCCAAGTTCAACATTTCCAGGTTTTACACCTTTCTGACATCTTGCGATATATCAGCACCACGAGGTCAGCAATACCAAGTGATGTTGAGTGACCGGCAAATTTAAACCGTTATTGCGTATGTGGATAGATTAGTATTGATTTTTAGTTGCAAGCTGTTGCTAATATGCAAGGATATACAAGATGATTCTACTCGCACTAAGCTAGAAGAAGTAGTAGATTTACTTCGCTATTGTTCCAAAGCGTTTTAGTAATATTATTAGGCAGACGAATACGAGTATATAAGTATGGTGTTATCACTGTGTGGTGTGTGCAAGCTGTTTTTCATTTTCATTTTATTGTCCAGCTCCTATACAAACTTGTACATGTTGTTGACTCATTGTTGATGAAATGCCGATTTTTTGTTCAAGACTGTCCATTACCCCATAGTTCACTAGTCTCCCAATTCGAGTGGGTGTACGAGACAAGGAAACACCATTGGGTTGTGTGTATCATTGGGCATTTTTCCACATCTTGAATAATTTGTTCTATGTATTTAGCTCAATACTCCATGGGCTCATGGATGATGTGATCGAATGGCATGCTCTCTATTATATCACACCGGATTTGGACTCTCAAATTCATCACATCTACGCGTTCAGTATGGCGCCACACTTGATCATCGCGGAATTTGGGAATAATAGATAGCACTATAGCAGACCGACATCAGGTGAGGAGTATCCATGTTTTTAGCTCCTAGGACCACGATTTGTTCGAGTGTATGGGCCAAGATGAAATCCAGAGACCACTTGCGGCGTCAAATACCCGTACCCACGGTGGAACTCATGTTTAATGTCACAGTCTACGGAAGCAAATCTTATTATAGTCCCCAATTCTCGAGACAATTTGAGCTATCAGAATCTTAATAATTTGAAATCGTTGAAGGCCCCAGAAATATGATGAAATGGTTACTTGGCAAACGTCACATGGTGTACAAAAAGATGCAGGATGGTATAGTGCTTGATAATGAAACTTAAGATAGCATTTTTCTTCTGACTCCAGATTTCCAACTAATGAAATCATGACCGTCGAGAGATTCATTGGCAGTAGTAGCGACGCCTATACAGCTAATTTGTTATATCATGATTCATGATTTCAACGTGAGATCACAGAAGAGATTTATTGGCATCGTCATTTTTAGGACCTTCCTAGGTATTTCTCTCTTCTTGTCACATATAGCTTTAAGCCAAAGCTATACATTCAATCTCGACCGGAACACCCTTGGGCAATTGGTATACGGCAACACAACCTAGAGCAATATTATTAGCATATCCATTCATATCCTTCAGACGTCATTTCAAGCCTGAATGTCCATCACCCTTCATCTGTTTCTTCCCATCCTCCTCTCTCTTCATTGGAGGAACACATCAACTCACTTCTTGCAGGCTTATGCTTGAAAAGCTTCTCATAGGCTCCGTTCATTTCCGCAAAGTTGTCCATGGTAGTCAAGAAGACATTGACCTTAACAACTTTCTCAATACTGCTTCCAGCTTCCTTAAGAACAGCAGACAAGTTGTTGATGCAGAGCTCGGTCATGGCAGAGATGCTGGAGGTCTCGAGGGTGAGAATTTCGCCTTCGGGTGTGCATGGGATTTCTGTAGGAGAAGGGTCAATTGAATGTTTCCGTGAAATAGGATACTGTGGTTAAAGAAACGGAATCGAAATCGGGGGCAAGCTTACGTCCAGAGCAGTAAATAGTAGATGAAGTCTTGATGGCTTGGGAGTAAGGTCCTGCTGCTATAGGGTTGTTAGATTAATGTGTAAAAGAGGGTAATGCCCTCAATTTAGTCAATGTCCACAGGAATTAGAAGAGGCTTACGGAAAGCAGCGTCCTTTGAGTAAACTGTAGTGAGGTCCGACATTTTGATATTTGACTGATACGATTCGCAGTATATTCTCGAGGTTGATTCTTCAAACCAGTTTTTTACAACGATAGATTTTATAGTGATTTATCAGCGAGGTCGGAGGGGGAGCCGTCAAGCTTGTTGACGACAAGGTGGGGTGAAGCTTCAGGACTTTTGGCGGGGATGCACGGGCCCAACCATGAATACGATCTAGCCATATTTGGAAACAACGCGATTCCCATTGACGAAAGTCAGCTTCAACGACATGTTAAAAAGTTAACTCATCAATATCTTCACGAAAAAATTACACGACTTGTTTTGCTTGGAAGTTTTTCTCGGTGGTTGATATAATGAGCGAAGACCCGTTCGGACGAGTGAATGATAGCATTATGGACAACACTATCATCTGAAAAAGGTCGATGTCGAGCAAGGTGCACTGCCTGTTTGGCGCATTCCCACACTTACGAAAATGCAAAATCGCTGCCTGCATTTGTCCGCAGATAGGATGAAAAGTTCGAAGTTGATGCCGAAGGGAACAAGTTCTCACTCAAAGAAAATGACGATAAAAAGGATCATCATCCACAAAATATCGCCGAAAAACTATACTACTATCTGCTTCACTTGGCAGCTTCCTACGTTCATATGCCTGGCACATTGGAATATGGGTTTATTTTGCGAAAATTTCTTGCCCTCAAAAGCGAATTCTCACATGAATTACAAGCCACTCCTCACGAAAACGACTAAAGACTGCTAGGAGATCACATACACATACACACACATACACATATATATATTGGAATTAAATATACGAAGTACACCATGTACGGGCCCTGTCGAAGCAAATCCGTCATTCAAGAACATCTTTTTGCTTTAAAGAACTGGATAAAAGAGAGGAAATTAAAATTCCAAAGCGGGTGTTCAATAATTATATTTCAAAAAAGTCACCGCCTATTATCCAAAATCAGCGAGGACGATGATTTGTGGTTCAGACATTTACCTTTTCCAAATCGTATCTGCACGCTTCCAAAGCTATGATGACAGCGGCTCGAGGGTATCCCAACCGTATTAAATTGTTCACATGAAGATCTTCCGTTGATGAGACATTGAGGTCCTGTCTTTGCTGGCTTTCGGCTGGTCTCGCATTGCGTATGTAGGCAGTGGCTGCTTGATCTACCTAGGTCAGTTGCGATTGGCTTTGTTTTCACAATTATCTTACATTGGTTTTCCATTTTCAAATACGCCGGTGCTTCTTGTCTTTCTCTCTCAACAACACGTCGGGGCCTCCCAGCTTCATAACACCCAAGACAGTCACAGAAGTAGAGATGATCATCGCAATTTTCTTCAAAATCTGGTGTGGGTAATAGTATAGGCCGAGGTGTGGGTGGTGGCTCTCGCTTCACTGGAGGACTTGGGACACGGGGAGGATATTGAGGTTGAGTACTGGCTGCAATAAGCTTGAATTGATGGTTTTGAACAGCACTGTCATTTTGAGATCCGAATTCCATTCGGTACTGTCGATCAATGGTTTTATCCTGAATTCTGCGACGATTGAATGCTTGAATTGGAGTCGAGCTGAGGTCATAGCAGGAAGAACCTGCCTCGAACGATTTCGAAGATGATGGAATCTCCCTCCTTCCCGAATCCTTAGTAACGTTGAAGGCGGTGGTATTTTTCTTGTGTCTTTTATCACTTGGTTTTATCTTGAATTCGTTGAATTCATTGTCAATGGCTCTAGGAGCGAAATGGACAGATTTCTGTCTGGGAGCAGGTGATCTTTGATTCATTATGGAGAATTCGGCCAATATAGGCATTGCTTCTCTATGAACGGTGTTCCATTCTATTTCGTATGGTGACACAGTAGAGTCTAAGTAATGATGCGTCGGCAAGTTCTTCATGGCGGGAGAAGTATTTCCTGACATTTTATAGACTAGGTCGTTTTTGTATTGACGATTAGGGATGACTGTTTGATGATTGAAGATGGTTTGTTTGATGAATCACTGAAAGGTGGTGAGCTGTTGATGGATTGTGTCGACCGTGCTGGTATTCCTTACCAACCTAGACGGAATCATCAAGCGATGATCAAGCCGATCGAGGGTACCAAGTGTTACTCACGTGTTAATATTCCTAGAAGATTGTTTGAATATCCGGAGTGTGTGGGATCAATTTGCTGATGACTGTGAGATGAATTTCGATGAAATGGAAGTAGGTGAAGGAGTGTAAGAGAAGGTGGGCAGGATGAAGAGGGGGGTGCAGCTTTTATGGGTGCTGAATCGAAAATTATGCTAGAAGCTGATTGGCGAGATATCCCCTGCGGCACATGCAGGAAGATTCCCTCGACCCTACCCGCTAAACCCGTACCGGTACAATCCTCAGAGAAGCAAGAAACCACCGAGTTATATTCCACGAGCCTGTAAGTCCCTTGGAAGGTCGTTTGACGTTTATTTGGACCCTTATGAGAGTGCTTGAAATGGTCCGTGCACAGCTCAAGTGCTCTTGAGTTGTTGAAGATGAAGTCGGTGTCAATTAGATAGCAAGTGCTCTTGTAGAGACTGATACCAATCAATAAAGTTTACTTCTTTGCAGATAAGAATCAAGACAAACCGTATGACTTTGAATTTGCTCCTTGCTCATGCCTTTTAGAAGGGTTTGTAAAGGAGCTAATGTTGCCGTCGTATCGTCTCTTTTCATTCACTTCTGACTTAGGTTAATCATTCGTCGTTCGATCTGTTCCGGAGAATTTACTGGAAATTATTCCAAGTTCCAATTGTTGGACTGAAGTGATCGACAAGTGTAAAGTATTAGTTAATCGGTCCTGTGGTATTTTCAAGGTTCACATTTCTTGTTTAGAGTAATGTATAAACGTTGACCAAATACTTAAGAAACCATTTTAAAATCTACCATTCAGCTTTGGGTGAAAATGAGATTGTTTAAATATTTATCGTAGTGGTCTGGGAGGCCTCCTGGGCTTCTCGCTGAACGCCTGCACGTGGCCCATTGGCCAAGTGAAATTGTAGAGAATGGAGATTTCTATCTTCTCATAACCGCATGAGGTTCAACATAGCAATTCTTTTTCATTACCAAGCACTGATCCCCCTTCAGTATCGTTAGGTACCTACCTAGTTTCAATTCAAATTCGTGAGATTTTGAGATTTTAGGCAGCATTGCTTAGTCATCGTAAGATGCTGTGGTTATTATCAGCCTGCTTATGTAAATAGTACATAAGCGTGGCGGTAATCTTGCGAGCGTGGAGTATATAAGAGTATATGTAACTAAATAATCGGGAAGGGATGCCGATTCTTGAACATGTAATGAACCCTTGAAATAGATTTCTTTTGATTCCTTTACGAAAAAGAAATACTATTGGCACATTCATTACCAAGCTAGCCATTTTCAGACCAATTTACCAAATTCGCAGCTATCATCATATGATACAACATCAACACGTCTCAGAACAATATAAGTTGATAATGAGAGACTCGCAGCACTATGTCGCTCAAAATTAGAAAGTTAATAAAATTGATGATTCTGGGGACAATATGATCGTGTGAAAGATTTGCACCCATCAACTTTGGACTTCAAGGAGCTCGCATCGATCTGGACATAGATAATTGAAATTCTGTCGATTAACTACCACATCTGAAAGATCTGAAGCTACCAATATCATCTACCACATTATACAAGCACCTGCACATCATCTCTTCCCATTTCCATCTTACCTCCTACTTCCCGGTGCAATTTGATTCCCATCTGCAAAATTCTCCATTATCTCTCTCGCAACTCTCAATCCCATACCATCTAATATACAGCCCCAATCCACCGCCTTGACTGCTCTGACTAAACACACGGGTGTTATCTCTCGCGTGTCCTCTTTGACGAGTTCTATGATATTGCGAAAAGAGATTGGAAACACTAGGCTGTGGGACGAATACATTGACGCTATAGTCGGAAATAGCAGAGAGGGAGGTGCGGGAGGAGAATACGTTTAGTATTTGAGAGGCTTGTACTGTTTGGAGAAGTCGGGTTAGCGTGTTCGTGGCTACCCCTCGCTCTGTTGCCGGAGATAACACGGTGAAATCAAAGAAGAGTAATCATACCTTCAGGAATACTAAACAAATAAAATTGCTCCCTCATCACCAATCTAATGGCCGTCTCACCTAATTTTGCCAATCCTTCATTGCCATCCAAACAGATTCGCATACTCTTTCCAACACACGTTACGCCATTTTTGGGGGTTTCGAGTGCTTCCTCGAGAATATCGGGGTTGGTGAAGGTATAAGAGAGAAAGGATTGCAGGATTGGAAGCCAGTTTTTTGTTGGTGGCGGGGTTTGAAGTGGGCAACGCCACGAGGAGGAAGGCGGATGATGCGGTTTGTTGAGTTGGTGATGGAGGTAGAATCTGAAATGGTGTTGGGGATTGGATCACGAGATTTGTAAGAGGGTGAGGGGAAGCTGGGGGGAGCATGTGATTTGTTGGGTAATGAGAGAAAGTGGCTGATTTTGTGAGTCTGGCATTTTCCTGTTGGTCGCGAGATTTGTAGGATGGAGTAGGAGAGTGTAGGGACGAGGCGGGTAAGCTACTAAGGCCGGGGTGAGACTTTGTGGAATAGTTGGAGCTGTTGGTACTAGGTGGTCTGGAGGGAGGACCGCTAGCTGGGGATTGGTGAAGGCGTGAGCGAGTGGCCTTCTTCATAGATGTCGTGAAAGGGTCGGCCACTCTCGCATCCTCTTCATAACCTTCCCATTCTTCGGGTTGGAACATGTTGGTAATGTTGGAATCTTCTGCGGTGTCTTGATGTGATTGGAAATCTGCTGACTGTGGAACTTGAGTGCGATAGTTTGTAGTTGTATCAGGTATTTCAAGTATTGACAAATGTTTATGCAAACTAGTAGAGTATGCCAGATGAATTTGATGTCTTTGTCGGGATGGAGGCGGACTATATAAGTCCCATAAGCTGCGTTTGTGTGGCTGCTAATACTTCATCTGGTTATTCAGACAACCATTAGAATTTCGAAGACACATTCAGATAACCGATACAGGAGGAGTGAATCACGAAAAGTATACTTGCACGGTTCATGCACTCAATCACAGATATCACAAAACACACCCATATATGAGAAATACATTCACAGACTAAGAAAGGTATGTAATATCAAAGGTGCAAAGAAGCAAACAAGAGCGCACAGTCCAGTCCAGTGACTAGAACACTCAAATATTAATGACATAGTCTTTGAAGATATAGCACCGTGCCAAAACGACGATGATTATCTACGATATGTGGAACAATACCCTCCAGCACTAGGAACTCCACATTGTGGCGGGTGGCATTCACAATCATACCATTCAACCCCTTTATCACTCAGACTTGCACACAGAGTCAAAGACATGAGTTTTATGAACCGATTATCATTCTACATCTCTATCTCTCAATTTGTAGAATTCAGTAGGAGGCAATAGTAGTCATGGTGTCAACAAGTGGAGAGTTCAAAGCTTCTATTGCTTTTCTTAATTGATGATTTGTGGTTGTTAAGGTTCTTTTTTTACGAGGGTCTACTTTACGTAAATCGAGGATGGGAGTGGTGTATAGTGATAGGAGACTGGAGGTTAGATTTCTTGTCGGACCACTGAGTGGGACGGATTTATCCTATACATTCATGAATATAGAGCGTACTTCGGATTGTGTTCGGATATCATTCATCAATCCCTTCCCTCTCATCCGGCATGTCGATGATTTCAATTCTCAACATTGGGGTGTGTAGCGGAGGCTTAGAAATAATATCATCCCGAACAACACTCAAGTTTAGAGTCAATTCTGTTCTGAAGGAGAGTTTGTGATCCATCCAAAAAATCACGGAAGTGCAAGACTAACTCCACCCATCACAGTTCAACAAAGCAAACTCTCCACGTCGATCGATTTTAAGTCTACTACTCATCCGATGTTCTCGAATCACTTCAATTGATCATCAGGAATGTTGACTGTTCGCCCATAAACTTCACCAGCATATACATCGGATAATCCACTGAGATGTAATGTTATATAATATACAACTTTTGAGGCACAATACGATTCATATAAATATACAATTGCTTGCATACCACCATAAAAAATCATCACACTCCTTAAATACTAGCTCAACTCGAGCAATAGTAGAGTATGTCTTACCGAGATGAAACAGACTGTGGAATCTCACCCTCTGGGAAATTCAACGGTAATGGCGCATCATCTTGTGAATTCGAACAAGTCCGGCACAAGCAATGATCATCCAGCTGCCACGTTTTTCCTTCCAACCAATCTCATATCATCTTCATATGTATCTTGAGCTTAATAGTTGCCTCTCTGCCGACTCCCAGTCATTTCATCGGTCCCCGCCAACTCTGTCCTCTCCTTCGTTGGAACACCCCCTGGCAAATTATTTCCCTTTCGACTCTGGGGTACTGTGCTAGCATTAGCTGCTTCTGGCTCCGCTGCAAATTTCTTCAGATCCCCTAGTGAGATTGCATCTCTGTTTTTGGTTAGCTTATCCTCATGTAATCCTTTAATTCTTCAGTTCTGATTTGATAATCGATCTCCCGCCACGCATTTTCCGTTTTCTTAAAAAAATACCCAGCGGAATTATCTTGGCAAGTAATAACGAGAACGTCGCCGCCATGGTGATTTCGAAATTGAGGTGACAAGCATGAAAAGGGAGACTTACAAAGCTCTCTCGTGGGTAGCATGCAAATGCACTTTAGGTACTAAACTATCGTCCTTAGAATTTTTTGCTGCTTCCATTGCTTCTTTCCAGCGACTAGCACATAGGCACCATTTTTTCCCTCCGGTCAAGCCGATATCGCGAAGATTGTTGCCACGGGACGCAGAGAAATCAAGGAAGCTGTCTGTCAAAGTCGCTTTGGGATGCATTAGTTGTATCTCTTGATGAAAAGAAGGGCGAGGAAAGAAATGGAGACATACCAGCAACTGAATGATTTCCGGTATCCTCTGGACCAACATCACACTGCCCATTTCTATAAAATCCAGTTCCTTTCGCAAATTGACCGAGAGGCTTGTTGAAAACTATTTTTCATCTCCGGTTAGAACCTGTCTCTTCCTACTGAATGGCGATTTGAAGCTATCTCGACATACCATTGAGTGATTTGTGAGCCTTTCCAAAGCTATCTGATCGTCCTTCATTTGCCATTTTGACCCTAGTGGTAGAATATGTCTTAAGATTAGGAAAGACTGAACTTCGGAAGATTTGTCGACGAGTTACTGACACAGAATGCATACAAATTACACAAGCAAGTAAATTTGATGTACAAATGGGATTAAATTGAGATATGAAAATTATCAAACAAAAGAGAAGGAGTTATTAGAGTTGAAGTGTTGATAAGTGGTATATGCACTAAGGAACATAGTCTCAGGTCCATGACGTTGTGATTCTGGAATGACTGACACTATTGAACCAGGAACAATTGATTGTAGAGATTCGATCAAAGACCGAGACATTAATAAAACTTGCAGTTTCAATTTGAGAACACAAAGAGTGATTTCTACCAATTGTTCAGAGATCTGGATTAGTTCTTTATCAAAGTTTAGTAATGATGTTGCTGGGAGAGTGCCCCGAGTTATGATATCATTGCTTACATAAAAAGTGTCTCTGAATTTACACCTCATTTGAATCTGGGAGAAAATACCTGCGGAAAACAACTTTAACTTCGACGTCGCTCCAACTCGTGTTTAATATTGGATATCCCACGTGTAAGAGAATGAAGCATGCAATTGAAGACTAACCGGTGTTTAAAGGAGATTCAGAATTGGGTTTCATTTCGTCGCAACATTGCCATCAGAGAGATAATGGTAACAATAACCTAGATGGGGGATCTGAAAGACCTTGAAATTATCCATGAAATGGTCTTCGCACTTGCTGCAACAGCTAATACGAGAGTATTGTTGTACAGCTATGTAAATATGTCATTTGGAATGGTATTATCGCGAACGTAGGATAGTTCTACCAAGACTAAGGCAAAGAGAAGAGTTGCCTTTGCACCCCTATCAATATCTTCATCAAGGACTAAAAAGTATCGAAGACCATGATCTTCCATTTCTTCATACTTGGCTCTACTGCTTTCAAACGGAGAAAGAGCGGTGGCATGGCAGACTTGGTATTGAAAGCTTTTCAATCATTCCTCCTCGATATATGTGAGACCCAACAGATTAACCTGGAGTCTTGACAAGCATACGCAACATCACTCCTCATCCTTCACGATTCCAATCTCTTGCAAACTTACTTGCAGATAATTCGATTTATGTGAAAAATTATCACTTGACAGCCCACAAGAAATGAGGCACTTGGTGTTCCCGTAAGACTTCTCTGCTGGCATGTATCATTACAGCAACTCCTACGTGAATAATTCATCCATCCTCCACCCCGCACTTTCCCATATATCTGGGGATGCCACTGACAAATCGTGAGAGGGTCCTACCGCTACCACAATTCCACGCCACCGAATAACAAAAACTCAATCAAACGAATAACATTTTGAACGTTCCAGTTTTCCAGTTTTCCAGTTTTTCCAGCCTTCTTTTCTTCTTTCCTTCTTCTTCGAAAAACTTGGTCACTTACAGAAAAGTATGTATCCGTCGCACGTGGTTAAATCAAACGTGACGTGCAGTAGTCACTTGTACCTACTTGTTTAGTGTTTTGTATGCAGGTATCCAGCTGCTCCCAAAATTGTTACAAACCCGAGGCAATGATCGACTTCCATTTCAGCCCCCGCACTTCAAAGATTAGGGGAAAAAAAGAAAGAATTTAAAACATAATCCATTCATGATCAGTCGAAGCGAAACGCTACTGAGCTCGTACGTAGGTAGCTAAACGAAGAAGAAAGTCCGGAATTTCACTCGACTAAGTTGAAGAGGGAAGATTACAAATTTCGAAAGATTTCCAAAACGTCCGAGCAATCATCAAAACAGATAAGATCGATCGATCCTTTTATTCGTTTCATTTCCAAAGGGTTTCGTCTCGTCTCTCATCTCGTTTCATTCCTCCAATCCTTCCCTGCACCACATTTACATTCGTGAACTTGTAGATTTACTTGGCATATTTTCCGGCCAGACGAGAGCGAAGATCCTGAGGCGAGTGAAGATACACTGTAAGGGAAGAGAATTCAGGTAATAATCTGCATCTGTCATAACCAGAAATAGCCAGGATATTCAGGAACGCAGGCACGTCCAGCCATACTTTAATACTTTCCAAGCCCCTCTTTTCCCAAAGGATCGTCTATATCTCTCAGAGGCAAGTTCACCAGTTTCGCGGGCTTGCTTTTTCCGGAACCTAGAAATCATCGACTGATCTAAAGTGATATGCAATCAATGACAATGTTTATCAATCCCTCATAAGTGTGAAAAGTATATAAATTCAGTAGATTTCCTAAGCAACAAAATCGGAACCATTTGCTGAAAAAAAAAAAATCACCAACATAACTTGTACAACCTCTGTAGCACCAATACCATAGTAAAAAAGTAGTTAATTGGCCTTTTAGATCAGTGAAAGAAGATAAACACCAATCGAGATTTGATCGCACCCCACTTTTGTGGTGACAAACCTAGCAATATGAACCCTTAAAAGGAACTAAAATATGCCTAGTTAGTTGACGGTGGTACGAACATCTTGGAACGTACATTTTCCCACTCAAACCATTCGAGCTATAGCAAAACCTCTCTATAAGGATACCGGCTTTTATAGTCTTTTTTAAGGATATATAGAGAATATTCTTATATAAAGGTTTCGCTTAATCCCGATCGGGCTACATTTTTGTAATAATCTTGATATTTTTTATTTTTATAAAAATGTAACTAATATTTCGATATTTTCATTATGTGATAGCTAATCCTAATGATTTTTATTAGTTTAATAAGGATATATATAATTCTAGGCTTGAGAAATATAAGAATATTCTAATAAAAAGGTTTCTAAGGATAAAGACCTTTTTAGCCCTGAAATTTTTTGGGACCGAAAAATATATCTTTATAAAGAGGTTATCCTTATTGGGGAGATCCTTATGGAGAGGTTTGTGCTGTATTCATTTTCTCCACGCGCTCTTGCAGAGAGAATGGGATTTTAGTCTTTCGCGAGAGTTACTAAATCGAACAAGGTATGACGGGCCGAGGCTTGGGAACATGGGTTAGGAGGAGGGAGAGACAGGGATCTAATGAAGAATTGAGTTTTGGAGACTGGAGCTGATGGAGATAGAGATGATTACTGATGAATTGATGAATGGGAACTATATCATATCATACTATCGTAAGTTTTGACGTTGAAGCATAAGAAAAACGAAGAAGAGATGTTGGGTAACCGTAAGTTCGGACTGATAAGGTATCAAAACCTAACAGACAGTGACTTTAGGTTATCCAGCCCCCAGCCAGCTGTAGGGCATTCTGCTGACGAATATGGTGTGGGTGACACCGCATAGTGCGAAAGAATGTTCTCTTGCATATGGGAACGTATGATGATGAATATTGCCCAAAGAGGTGACGGTGGGAGATTTTGGGCGAATTGTTTTTGATTCATTATTTAGTGATTCATCAGGAATTGGAATACTGCTCGCTCTATACAACTGTAAGAGAGAATGGAAAACTTGATAAATCGTTGGCTGAGCCAAAGGAAGGTAAAGAAAGGTTGGAAAGTAATAAATTCGACTGGTTTAGATTTCAGATTCACTCGTGATGTGCTGCAGTTACCGGGGGCATTGAAAATCTTGACACTAAGATCAAGTACAGTAGACGGCTGACGAGATTCTACCCCTCATTCATCCTCAGATGAGAAGTTCGGATTGCTTATTCTTTTCGGGATGTGACGTGACGCCGAGATGGAGAAAATGTTGCTGCACTACTTAACATTTTAATATATTTTTCCCGAAGTACAAGACCTTGTGAGCACTGAATTTTTGACTTTAATGCCGACCTACCTATAGTTTTGTGAAACCAGTACTGTCGTCGCTACGGCAAGTGTAAATGAAGGGGTAATTCTGCTGCATGCTTGGAAAAAAAGGGTTCGAGTAGCGAATTTTCATCTGTAGGTACAAATACAGGAACGCTCTCGATTTATCCCACGCGCTTTACAGATATAACTATACTCTTATCAGAATTACCCGACGGAAATATTGAATCTAGTTCATAGTTGACAAATGCATCGATGGTGCATCTTTCACTGCCTTACTCGTTTTCTTAGTGTAACGTTGTTCAAAAATGCCAACGAGGTGCCCGGAAATGGTCCAGGTAATACCAACACCAAATGTTCTCCATTTGAAACCTTTCTGGCAAGACCATCCGGCTATTTCTAGAGGGAATCTACCTGGGGCATTCAAATTGAAGCGGCATTTATAGGTTATAAAGTGGAGGTAAAATAAAGGATCGGAGTCGCCATCTAAACCATCTTGTTGTCTGCGACGGTTGTTCAGCAGGCCCAATAACAGGCAGGCCTGGAGCAAAAAGCCATCGGGAGAATCCAATCCTTCCTTGTCTTAGATGGATTTGCCGAACCTTGTATTTTGAAGAACTCGGGCCTTGAGAGGAGAAAAGGTAGATTTCCACACCAAAACGTTAATGTTCGAGATGAATAATGCAATAAGACTAATTAATATACTCGTCCAACTTCATGGATATTATGAGATTTCAAATCAGAAATGGAACTCCATACCCAGGCAAATCTTATTGTATATTCTGGAGGTTTAATCTTCACTGGTGAATATCAGAGAATCGTCCAAACTATCCTTGTTAAAAGCCAACGACAATTGGGATCTAGGGATCTGGAATCCTTGAATGCGAAGTCAGGTACAGTTCGGCAGCAGTGCAGTGCAGTCAGTGCAAAAGGTTTGAAGATGGCTACCTTAACTTAAATAAGTCCCAGGAACTCGAAAAAAGAAGAGCTGAAGGCTGTGTTCGTTGTTCTTGGCCTGACACAGTAAGCGTAATCGTAAATTTCGGTACAAGATCTGACGGATTTTGAGAAGTGGCAGTCAGCAGGATCTCTGAAGCTCTTGTTCATCTCTTTTGGGCTCTTCTTTGAAACAAGTATATCATATTCAAGCCGTTTCAATACATCCATTTCGTACTTGATTCGGAGAAAGAGGGGTTTGAGAGTTTGTAAGAAAGATGGGTCAACGTAGATAATACCCGAAGATATGAGAGGGGACTCAAAGATTCACGGATATTGTAGGGAGATAAACACCCGCAAAGATACAACAAGAGTGGAGCATTATTATCTTGAACTAAAGGCAACATACAATCTGAATAGCTGGAGGACTTGAGCTCGAAGGTGTGGTTGGAAAGGTACCCAGGTATACATATAGTAGATAGGTAGGTAGCTTCGTTCTGTAATTTCTGTTGTACCAAAAGAGGAAAAAAGTAATACTCAATAGGGTTATCGAAACTTTATATAAATAAAGTTTTGTTTCATGGTTCAGAGTGTGTTACCCTGTTTTTGCCACCAACAGGCGTTCTTCAATCATGAGTGTGGTTTGATGTTCGCCCTATGAGAATATTACTTGAAAATGAATGAGCTGTAGCACAAGATTCGGTGTACAAGTTCACTGTATTTCGTATGTACCAAAAGACCAAGAAGAAAGACCAAGAAGACGCCCCGACTATACCTACCTATATCATAATCATATCGGTGATATACGATGCATCCTTACTAAATGACTTTCCATACCTAACTGATATCCCTGTTCATGCTGCAACCAAGAACCCCAGTCGGTGAATCGTACGGGAGAATCATGTACGGAAGTACTAGAAAGGTAGTGTAGAGAGGAAGCATGACTGACTATCGAGAGTGACTTAAATACCTACTGAATGACCTTCGAAGAAAGCAAGCAAGCGGCCAGCCAACCAGCCAACCAGCCAGCCAGCAAGAACTTGCATAACGATAAAAGCAACATGAATGATAATAATAGCATGTTCTTGATTGAAAGAGTGAAAGAGCGGTAGGAAATTGATATAATCTTTTTGTTGTTCTACCCCCCCTTTCTCCTTTCTCATTCTACCTACCCTTTCTTCGTTTTTTCTCCATCTAAATATATGAGAAATCATACAATACGGTCCAGTATTAGTATTCTCTTTATCTAGGTTCTTGGGTAATACTTTTCTTACTTTCCAAATAAATCAAAAAAGAGGGTCTCACATTGTTCAGACAACCCAAACATCCACACAAATATATCCACGCTTTTCCGAATCATCCTTAGTAAATTTAGTTTGTGCATCTTGTGCACTTTACAGCGAATCAAAAAATGATCTGAGGTGGAGGCGAGCTATTCTAAATACCCATACAAGCCCATAACCCAGCCCAGCCAGACCCAGTTTAGCTTCTCCAACACAAAGGGCTGTTCATGTCTCTCCGAACTTCCATACCGTAGAGATTCCTACGACTTCACTCTTCTTCTAACTTCATCACTTAATTGACTGTAAGGTTGATTCATTCACACCAGATAATTACTACTATTCTATTCTACATGTAATTGAATTTCGAATCTTTCATTGCAAATTGCTCAAACATTCAGAGTGGTCAACTTTTATTACCTATGAAATCATACTCATTCACCCTTTTCGCTGGTAGATGAACTTGTGATTCGACTTCATGCTGAACCTCATTTAAGAGCGATTCCTGGCCAGAGCCAGCAGAACGAGAGAGAACGAACACACCATATAGCCTCAAGAACTTACCATCATACAAACAAAACCACCTTACTGTTCCAACCCGAGTTGTTCAGTCAAATCCGCAAGATGTCTCCATCGTTAGATATACCCCAAGCCGGCTTGAGGCTGGAGAGTAATCCGCCCTCCAACAAGTCTGCCACAAATATTACACCTGCTATTGGCTTGACTTTGAGCAATGCAATGATCGAGGACATGATCAAATGTTATCAGAATAACAAACCAATAGAATTATCATTGGGTGGACATCCCGTAAGAGATCCTGCTCCCCATGGCTTCAATGATTTTGGTAGCCGAACGTTTCCAGCGTACGGCACCAATTGTTCATGTTTGAGTATTTATAACAATAGTACTTTGCTTGGTTGTATGAACAGAAACAATTGCTGACTGATTTCCTTTTCTGCAAACTAGAATCTGATATATGGCAACAAATCTCACATCCTTTCCACTTACCACGATCCATTCCAATACGAAGTATTTCAGACTGCGAATTCCAACGATATGGACTCGGACAACTCGAATACGTCGAAACCGCAGGTACTCAGTGAGCTTACCCTCGCCAACAAGAAGTTATTGGGGCCAGGTGCGCAACCTCGTTACAAGGCGGACAACATGAAGACGAGTAAGAAGCCTACTTCGGCAGCTGCAGGCGAGGATACAGCGTTGGAAAATTTGAGGGAATCGATGGCCACGGCTCAAGCGAAGAAAGATGGGAATACGTGAGTAGTAATTAGATTGCTGCAAGTGGACTAGGGAACTAATTTCAATAGTACAAAAATCATCAATCAGATCCCTGGAAAACGAGGAGCCTCCAAAGTCACAAACAAATCGAAGTTTCTGGGCAAGGGGCTCGGAAACGATGCAACCAAATCGATGCCAGTCAGTCCCGCCCTTTCTGGTTTGGGAAGTCCAGCTCTAGGTGCGACTAAGTCTCTTTCCCAGCAACAAGCCGAGAATGCCAAGAGCAGTAGGAAACCTGTAGTACACTTACTGGCCCTCGAACCAATGTCTGAGAAGGAACTCAATAATCGAATTCCTGGTCCGAAAGACGACCTCAAGCAGGCAATTGCGAAGGTCGGAGACCTCAACACATCGACTGGAAAATGGGAACTCCGCAAAAACTACTACAAAGAGCTCGACGTATTCAACTTCAAATATGGAAGCGACGCCGAACGTCAGAGAGCAATTGATAATGCGGTTAAAATTTTCGATAAGATGAGGTTGGGCTTATCGGAACCTGAGTGGGAAAAGCTCTTGCCCAAATCGGAGCGAGGTACCGGAAAGTCCCTTAGTAAGGTACAAGCTTCAATTACCAATAGCGCTGCCGCGAAATTAAAATCCAGCGAAGAGGAAGACGTATTTGGCGATAAAATGGCTTCAAAGGTGAAGACTGAGACGACAACCAGATCAGCTTCAGGACCACCAACAACTAAGCCCAAGAAACTTAGCGAAAAAGAAGCTCAGGCCAAAAGATTACTTTCTAAGAATCCTCCAAAAACAGCAGCAGCCACTATGAAGTCGAAGGCCGTGAAGAAGGAAGTTGAAAGGCCAAAAGCATCAGCGGCAAAGCCTCTATCTTCCCAATATGTTGTCGAATCCGACGACGAGGAAGTTCCAATCAAGAAGCCTCAAGTTACCAAGGCCCCAGCCAAGAAAGAAAATGCCAACAGCAAACGAGGTCGCAACGAAGAAATGGATTCTAGCGATTCGAGCTTACCTTTGAGTAAGAAGGTCAAGAAGGATACTGCCAATTCACATCGAGTCTCAGATGCTAGTCAATCATCTCGTCCAAGCTCTACTTCTACGACTTCTTCTTCGAATTCCTTCAAAGGCAAAGCAAACTCCCCACAGAAATCATCACCCTTGGCTTCCTCACCACCGACCAATGCATCGGATTTCGGAAATACATCTTCTGGTGGTCGATCATCTACATCTACTTCTCCTGCCAACCATCACAATTTGTCCAACACTCGCAACAATCGGTCACCTATTCACAAACGCCACCAAAAGTCATCCAGTGTTGCCTCATCAGTCTCATCCACCGATAGTACCCGCCGTTTGAGACCTGGTGTATTGGACTTGGCCGAAAACTACAAGAGGTTTTACCCTATCTATCTCAAGCTTCATAATGAATTGGCAACATCGAAGGTCAAGAATCCCTTAGAGGAAGAGAAGCTTCTCGCAATGCATGAGCGCCTTAGCGACTTGAAGAAACAGATTTTGGAGGGGATCATCGAAGAGTAAAAGGCTCTTCTCCGCTTCTCACTTTACACAACTGAAGCGGTCTTGATTACGTCGCTTCACATACGATAATTACCAACACAAAATGACGGCTTTGACTGCGATTATATTATCCATTTACTGCACACACACAAGCCATACACAACAGGTGAAGCGGCAGGCTTCTCAATTTATCTCTGTTTTCTGCATTTGGAGTAACACGGGCATTTACCACGGCAGGCAAAACCGAATACTTTTTTTTATTTCATTTTACTTTCTTGTTTTCACAAAATTTGAGATTTTTTTTACTTCTCCATGGATGGAGCTTCAACTAAATACCCTTTGGGAATGGACACGGAATGGATTCGGCGTCTTTTTTCATTTTCTCATTTTTTTCTATCTCTGGAAGTCTATTTGCTCCATTGAATCAAAAGGAGTTTCTGGGTCATCTGGTTTATGGATATGCCTCAAGATGCGAATGCGTAATGTGGATATATAAGTTTGGGGACAGGCATTTGGGACTGGGTTTGGATTTGGGCAGGGGATGAATGGATGGAGAATTGCATATTGCTGAACGACGGGAGGATGATTGATATGCGGTTACTGCACATATGGGGATTGCATTTGAAGGAGATGAAAGACAAGATACAGATGAAGACACAGATACAGATGATTATGGGGATTAATTACATAGGCCATAGAGAGATAGGGAGAGGGTGGATTTCAGGATGCAAATCCGTATAGCAGAAGCCAAGATCAGAATAAAGATCAAATTTGATAACATATATGATGGTTGGCATGTGAATGCTTATGTGATGTAAAAGAATTTTTGCTTTATAATACAACTTAACAATAAGGTTGCTGATTGAAGAAGAGTGGGGGTGGAAGGAATACTACGGAGGGGATGGGTAAGCGTGCAGATATTATGGAAGACATAGTATGATGTAACAGTGAGGGAATAGAAAAAAGTGGAATTATGAGCTGATATTGCAACATACATTGTAGATTCCTATACCTAGTCCCACCAACTAGCTGCCCATTAGCTCCATATTTGTATTTAATTTCACATAACGTGGTTTATCACCGAGTGGGCCATATCACCGAGTGGGCCACTTTCACCTCAATTCGCACTCTTTATATTCAACATGCGTTTTATCAACCATTTATTATGGAATCTACAAATAAAGAAGCATGTTTACTTTTAGTTATCAAAGCTTTTCAAAAAGATAAAAAATTAAGTATTCGAAAGGTTACTAAGCTATATAATATATTTTGCACAACAATCAGCCATAAAATAAATGTGACGATCCTGTCATATTAGTGGATCGGCTAGGTCCTCACGTGATCCACAATCCTGTATATTACCACTTCCTTCCGAAGAGCTCTTCTAGCTCTTCACCTTAGTATTCTAAATGATGCAATCGTCACAATAAATGGTTTAATTTCATGTATAGAGATTCGAGCGAATTGCTATAAAATTACAGAATTGGAAGAGGATGTGATTATTGAATATATACTTGATATGGATTTAAGAGGATTTCTATCTAATATTAAGAATATAGAAAATATAGCGAATTATATTTTTGAATCGAGGGGTTCGAAATGTATTGGAAAGCTTTGGGCATATCGATTCGTATAACGTCGAATCGAATTAAAGATGTGTTTTAGTTATGTTTATAATTTCCAAAGAGCTCTTTACGAAGATTCTAAGCTTATTGAAGATTGGTTTCGAATAGTTGCGAATATACAAACGAAATACAGTATTTTGGATAGCGATTTCTATAATTTCGATAAAATAGGCTTTATTATTATTATTATTATTAGTAGTAATTTTCAACCGGGCCGTATAGGCGAACCTCCCAGGGGGCATTACGGTTGGGCTAAAAATAGGCTTTATGATGGAGATTATATTTGCAGTAATGGTTATTACTAGTGCTGAAAGATGCAGTAGAAGTAAATCAATATAATCAGGTAATCGAGAATGGGCTATAGCAATAATATATGGAAATGGAGAGGGTGAAACTATTCCCCTATTTCTAATGGTTCAGGAACAAGTTCATCTCTTCAATTGGTATATCGAAATTGATCTTCCTGTGGATTGGGCTATTAAATCTATATCTAATAGATAGATAAACAATAAGATAGGTTTAGAATGGTTGAAATATTTTGATAAGTATATTAAGAATCGAAGAAAGGGCAGATATCGAATGTTGATACTAGACAGGTATGAAAGCTATGGAGCAAGAGCTTTTCAGATATATTGCAAAGAGAATGATATTATATACTTGAATTTATCATTGTATTCAAGTTATTTAACTCAATCACTTAATGTAGGCTATTTTAGAAATCTGAAACATTCATATGGTGGTTAAATTGATAAGTTTATCAAGGCACATATCAATCATATTTCGAAGGTTGAATTCTTTATAGCTTTTAAAGTTGTATACGAAGAATCAATCACTTCTTAGAATATGAAATCAGGATTCAGAGGAGCAGGTTTAATACCCTTTAATCCTGATGCTGTGTTTTCGAAATTGGATATTCGAATTCGTATACCTACCCCCCCCTTTTTCGATTTAGATCAATAGATTTCTCAAATCCTTCACAATCCAACTGAAGCTCTTTCTTAATCAACTTTAGTAAAATCTTGAATAACTCGATATCAATCAAGTTTTCCTATATCTATATTCGAGATTGTATTAGCTTTAACTAAAGGTACAAAAAAATTAGCTTATGAGAATATACTTTTGAGTATAGAGATTTGTATACTTCGAAAGACAAATGAGACATTAAACAAACATCGATATACGAAAAAAACCCAATTACATTAAGGAGGAGTATTCACTGGATAAAAGACTCTTAATATATTATTTCAGTAAAAGGTTGATATTCAAATTCAACACGACGAGTATTAAAAAAAAAGGAATTCTAATGGAAAAGCACTTTCTATTCAGTGTTGTAGTAAATGCGGAAAGATAGGTTATAATACAAGAACCTGTCAAAATAATATAATAGATCCTAGATTATTAGATTCTTAATAGTTTTAATCAATTGATTCAATCGTTATTGAATAATATAGGTTTGAAGGTGTGAATTGAGGTGAAAGTGGCCCACTCGGTGATATGGCCCACTCGGTGATAAACCACGTTAGCTAAATTGAGTATAAATGTACTGAAGTCAAATGCGTCTAAGTAAACCAGGGGCATTGGAGTTACCTACCTAGGTACATCCGGATATATCAAGATTTGTCGTCAGGATATCCAAGCGAGCACACACAGTCCAGAGCGAATACCGATAGACCGGTACCGACGGACTGGTATCGGTATTGTGTTGCAGCTGAGTTTTGGAGCTGGGGTTTTGTTGGAGCTTGGTTGGAGCTTGGTTGGAGCTGAGATTGGAATTTGCAACGGTTGTGTTGGTTTTTGGTTGGGTTTTGCTTGGGATGCAGGTGGGTAGTATACGAGGCGCTTACGCTTATTTTGATCAGGGGAGGTTTGATTCTCGATTGTGAAAGTCACATGGATGTATGGGCTTTGGAAGGCCATAGAAGCCGGGGTTGGAAGTGCAAAGTTAGGATTTGGAGTTTGTAAAGGAACGGAAAATGGGATATGATAGGAAGGCCTTAGTCGATTGAACTGGGTTGTATCGTTCGAATGGAAGTTGGCTGTGGTTGCTTGAAGTATCCCGAGAGACATTCTATGACCAGAACAAAAATGACGCTTGATGACATTTCATGCCCCTGCCGATCGATAATACACTCTCCCTCGCGCTTGAAAGACACCGGCGTTTGAAAAGTAATTATTTCGACGGTTGGCAGACAACGAACTTCACGGCCGATTATTCGGCGATCAACGAGAGCCACACACCGCAAATTGCACACACAATTGGTAAGAAATCTGATTCAATTTCTCCTGATACCATAACTCATCCGACAATTGAAAAACAAACGCCAGGGCCAATTTGTGACGTCCTTTCCTAAACACCGCTTCATCTCATTACTGATTGTCCTCTTTTATATCCTCTGCATTGTTACATTGAAACCTTTCTCAAAAAAGTAAGAGTTGTTCGTGCCGTTTGTGGGCGAATACGAAACATTTATTGGGTCTTGAAGAGGAGAATCGCGCAGTGACCGAGGTAGAAGTAGATGAAGTGTTTCGTTTCTGCGAAAAAGTCAGATAGGAGAAACAACTATTTGAGGCTCAAGGGCAAAATACCATGGGTGACAAATGATCCAAAGTTTCGACCAACGATACAATGCCATGTTGGACCTCGTTTCTCATCGAACTAATATGTCAATTTAGTACCTCGTTCATTGTTTGCTATATAAGCGCGAGCTTCAAGTACGTACAGCTTTCTTGATGTATTGTGCGATGTCCTATGGCAGATCATATTAGCACATGAAAAGGGGTTCGAACCAAAAAATATCCTACCTTCTCAACCGAATGCTTAGCCATAGCTTGTCGACCTGTATATTCCATTAACATCTTATGGATATATTCATACCGCCCCCGTTGTGATCGCATCTGTAGGATAAGACATACAAACTTCAATAGCCTCGTCTGACATGTCGTCGCTCTGTTAAATAGTTAGTGGCCGTCGCATATCATCGCAGAGAGTATGAATGAGCGCACCATGTCGACCGACTTAATCTGAGCTGTAGTACATCATAATTAGCTGGTATACTACCAAAAACTCCCTGGAGCGGCTGAACAGAAGTTTTGAAAAGTCGGGACTTATACATACCTGCCAGGGACTCTTCAGCTGGTTGTGGAGGGGCTGCCATTTTGTTTGTTTAAATGTTGTGCGTGTTGATCTGATTTTCTGAATGTGTAATTGCTATGCTTGTAGAGTTATCGAAATAGGGAATTGTCTCTTCTAGAATACAATCGGAAGTTGTGGAGACCTCGGGAAAGGAGGAAGAGAGAAAGGCTGATAGTTTAGCCGAAGTTTTGCAATGCAAGTGAGTACCGAGAGTACCTAGGTATTGTAGCGATCCAAAGACTAGGCAATCTATTGACAAGATCCGGATCACGATAAAGTTATCACAAATAGTGAGGGCGTAGGATAAGATCTTGAAGTTGGATGAGAAATGTTGATGTATAGCTATAATTCGATTTATTGGAATCGATTATAATGATGGCCATATTTATTGATATCTATCACGTGCCTACGTCTAGATTTCGTTGCGGATTTTCTTGCATCAAATGTTGAGCACGGCTCACTTTGCGGCACTTCTCAATTAAGCTCAAGGCTAAGGAAAAATATGCTAGAGTAGCTCCGCTGCGGATATCCTTCCTAAGAAAAAAATATTTTGATAATCGAACATTCTCATTTCTTAACCTGCGAAAACGTAACTCTGCGCCGTCATAGTCCATCACGTCAAACCAATGCGCTGATAAGTTACGAAAAGCACAAACAGTTACAATATCAACGTTTCAACATGGCCTCTTCTCGTATATTCATCAAGGGACTTCCTCCAAATATCACTGAGGATGAATTCAAAACGCATTTCGGTGCGAAACAAGAAATTACAGATGCAAAGTTGATCTCTCACCGAAGAATTGGTTATATTGGATACAAAACACCAGAAGAAGCTGCAAAGGCAGTCAAATACTTCAACAAATCATTCGTACGAATGTCAAAAATTGGCGTGGAAATCGCCAGACCTGTAAGTGATCCTGAGAAAAAAGAACATCAAATTGTGAAGAATTTATACTGAGATCGTGAAAGATATCAGATACATCTTTACCTATATCGAGGAAAGCACAACGTGAACAAGAACGGGAAAATAACAAGCTGAGGCAACTGAAGCAAGAGGCGGATGCAAAAGTCTCTGAGAGCCTGAATACTGGAACCAAGCGGAAGCGAAGCGATGTCGATATTGCAGACCCCAAGCTACAGGAATTTTTGGAGGTCATGCAACCGGCCTCGAAATCGAACGCGAATATGTGGAAAGCTGGGACCATGGATGCTGATATGGAGGAACCGCCAACGAAGTTACAGGCCATTGAAGTGCCAGAGGAGGAAAGCGACGACGAATATCAGTCCGTACCTAGTAAGGCTAAGAAGGCTCCTGCAAACCCCATCGAATCAAAAGCGCCTGTTGCACCGATTCCTTCAACTATTGTTGCCGACAGTGCCAACCAAGCGGATGAGGCGATGGTCGATGCACCTTCCAATGACGTTGAAGCCACGGATGATGATTGGCTGAGGAGTCATACGAATCGTCTATTAGATATAGTGGACCCGGAAGATATCATTCCCAAAACACAAAACTTAGACGTCAAGGATGTTGAAGAGGTGGTTGCAGGAGAACCAGAACCCAATACAGCAATTGAAGATACGGTTGTCGACGAAGCACAAGTCGTTGAAGAACAGACGGAGAATTCACCTTCAGAACTGGATGCGACACTTGAAACGATCAAAGCCAGTGGACGACTGTTCGTGCGAAACTTGCCATACAGTGCAACAGAGGATGACCTGCGGAAGCACTTTGAACAATACGGAACTTTAGAAGAGGTAAGCAACGAAACTTGTTCGCATGTTTTCTTTTCCTCCAAGCTTTGTGATGAATATCCAGATAGGGACAGCTTATGCTATAAAGCATGTGATGTGAACTGGACGAATATTTTAGTAGATGCTTCGTGTTTTCTGAAAGCTACCATCAGCCATTTTTTGTCTGTTTTGATTTGTTTCAGTAGAGCTCACTGTCCAAACATTTAGATACACTTACCAGTAGACGCCAAAGGTGCCAGCAAAGGATTTGTTCTTGTACAATACACAGATCCAAATGCTGCTGCTGAAGCATATCATAATGTCGATGGCGAGCCTTTCCAAGGAAGGTTGTTGCACATATTACCTGCTGCAGCTAAACGAGACAACAAGCTAGACGAGTTTGCGATAGCAAAGCTTCCCTTGAAGAAGCAAAGACTTCTCAAGAAGAAGGCCGATTCTTCTTCTAGCACATTTAATTGGAACTCTTTGTATATGAATCAAGATGCAGTCAATTCATCGGTGGCTGAACGTTTGGGGGTATCGAAATCCGAGCTTCTTGACCCAACTTCGGCAGATGCTGGAGTCAAGCAAGCCATTGCTGAGACTTCGGTCATCCAAGAAACTAAATCGTACTTTGCGAATAATGGAGTTGATCTTGATGCGTTCAAGAAACGTGAGCGTGGCGATACAGCCATCTTAGTCAAAAACTTCACCTATGGCATGACTCTAGAAGAACTTCGGAAGATGTTCGAAGAATTTGGTCAGGTTATTCGTGTTCTCATGCCCCCGACTGGTACGATCGCAATTGTTGAATTCGCACAGCCAACACACGCAAGAGCAGCATTTGCAAGCCTTGCATATCGACGTATGAAGGACACTGTACTATTCCTTGAAAAGGCGCCCAAGGACCTCTTCACAGGACCTCCACCTGTTCAACCGGTGGCAACAATCAACAGGAATGCGGACAACGCAGCAGATCCTAAATTATCAACATCTGATCTGCTCGAAAGAGATAGTGGCGTTGAAAATATGGATACAACTACATTGTTCGTCCGTAATCTTAACTTTAGCACTACCAGTCAACGTCTCACGGAAATTTTCAAGCCCCTTGATGGCTTTTTATCGGCACGCGTTAATACAAAGACGGATCCAAAGAAACCTGGCCAAGTTCTTAGTATGGGTTTTGGCTTCATCGAATTCAGAACTAAATCTCAAGCACAGGCGGCAATCAAAGCAATGGATGGATACACACTTGACAATCATAAATTGCTGGTCAAGGCGTCGCACAAAGGAGCTGATGCTGCTGAGGAGAAAAGGAAAGAGGACAGAGCTAAGAAGTTGGCAGGCAAACGTACAAAACTCATTGTCAAGAATTTACCGTTCGAAGCTTCCAAATCGGATATTCGAAAACTATTTGGTACGTATGGGCAGCTCCGATCGGTGCGCATGCCCAAGAAATTCGATCACTCAACACGTGGTTTCGCTTTTGCAGACTTCATTACGGCTCGTGAAGCGGAGAATGCACTAGAGGCTCTCAAGGATACCCATCTTCTTGGCCGTCGTCTAGTAATCGATTTCGCTTCCGAAGAAACTGTTGACGCAGAAGAAGAGATTGAAAAAATGCAGAAGAAAGTCGGATCTCAAGTCAACAAAGTTGCCTTACAAAATCTTACCGGGGGAGGTCGCAAAAAATTCAATATTGAAGGGAACGACGCGGATCTGGATTGAGGAAACTTATTGTAGGTATTTATCAATAATTCGAATATTCTACTAAGATCAAATTCCCTGGATATATTGTTCGCAAAAATGGCAAGCGTCTATCTCCCTTGCCGAAGCTATACACAAATAATTCAATGGCACCCCTGCACAGGCAACCCTCGATTAGAACCCTTTCACAATTGAATGGAAGGGAAACTATTTACTCAAATCTAATATTGGTGGTCCGATATTCAGCACTATAGGGATTATTTGTTGCAGTAAGTTTGAAGGTACCTTTTTGAAATGATTTCGTCATCTCATCAAGTTCTCTCCGCCCTCAATGGGCGCCAGACAAAGATAAGGATTACCATCATTGTATGTAATGATTATTCATATCCCCTTTGCTATTGTGCTTGGAGTGTTCATCACAATCATACTCGTAGGCTCTAGAAATATTGGTACTGAGGAAATTACATGCTCGCGCAAATGAAGCATTCCTCACGTTGTTGTGACTTTCTCCGCAACCTGATTTCCTTACGTCTGTGAGATCAGAGGTGGGGCTATTTTGGTCTTTGAGCTCTGTAAGCTTTGTGGCGTTTGCAAACGTTTACCTGAGCTATCAATGAAGGTAGATCTGGCTGATCCCCATCGAAACAGCCCTGCATCCTGGCCATATACATTCAATCTACTTTGCTTCCTTAATAAGCCGTCAGGGCATCTCCTACTTCATTCTTAATCTGTTGACATTCCCTTGTGCAACTTCATTCTAAGCTTTCCGCTGCCATTCCTCCAAACATTTTTTACTGTAATCTTGATTCTTCGTCGAGCAAATACGCATTTTTCCTACACAGCCTACCTCGAATCCGGGTGCAAATGCTTCAGTGACTGGAATTTCGAACCCGTCGAAGCATTCTCGAATCTAAATCGTACCATCTAGTCGATGGAAGATCCTCGTAATATTTTACCATCAGGATACACATCGCAACAGCTTCAACTGGACGATTCCAGTGGGCTGTCAAGGCTCAAAGAGCCTCTTTCGGATTCTGCAGGTAACGCTCAGCTTCACGACCTGGCGTCGGGGAGCTTGTATCATGATAACAAGAGGCATCACATGAGAGGCCAAGAAAGGTCAATGTATTCTATACCTACTCTGCCATCGCAGCCTCTGCGCCTGCCCGCCGGCAATACATTGGAACTTCGAAAGCGGCACAACCGGCAACAACGTTTTAATAGACATAGTAACCGCAACCCTATAGTTGATTCGCCTCAGTATCAAGCATACCGAGCTCGAGCAAATCGGGATGGAAACACCCAAGGTGATTCGAAGTGGCCGGTTGTTCTTGAGGATGCATTTCTTGATGGTTAGTAGATTATTATCAACGTGAAATAGCAACTGACAAAATCTAAGCTCTTCTTGCCATCCCTTATATGGGAAGACGGAAATTTTCTTTCAGGGGCAAGCCTCATGGTCGGAATGAGCTCATCAAAGAGTATCTTTGGATAGCATACAAGAATACACTTCCTCCGGGGCAGCGTCCAGATCCAACGATGATGCGTACAAGGAAGCAGGTCTCTAGTCACATTCAGGTTTTGAAAGGGTTCCTGACTCCTCATCCTGCACTATGTAAGAGGTCTACAGCGAGATATCTGAAATGTAGTCTAACGCTTCTTAGATCAACGTCTCTTTCCTCCGAATAAGGGTCCTAAGAATGGCTTCGAGGATTCATTTAAAAAGGACCCCACACTTATAGCACTCTCGCAAGGTCGGCTACCTAGTAAACGCCACGATCAATATGACGCACTCAATCAAATAATACTCAGTAATCATCATCCAATGAAGCCTGCTGCATTCTGGTTGCTCATGACACCATTTGCTGTACCAAATGAACGAAACGGGGTCATGAAAACCGAACAAGATCTTCGAAGAGATGGTCTAGTGCTTCATAGATATTCGGGTTTGTCGTCATCGAAGCCCCGCGGAAGTCTTGAATCAATCCTTCACTGGCGACAAAAGTTCCCTCACTTGGCACAATTGCATTCTGCAAACGATCTGAACTGTGATATCATTCATATGGATGTGTCGTTGGATCTGATGAAAACTCACGCTCCGGATAATAGTGAGCTATTGACTCGCATGGAGGTGTCCATACCTGGCAAGGATTTTGCTGGATCTAATTGGCAGTCTGTGACAAGTTTAATTAAACCTGCGGATCTTTACGGTGACCCCACCAGAGATCCTGTGTTAGAAGACACAGCGTTGCCAATGACTGTCCTTGGAATGTCTGACAGCGAGACCCGAATCAAAGTCGCCATACCTGCTGAGACTTGGGCATACACTTTTACGCAGCTCATGAACCTTCATTTTGAGATTGAAAAGAAACGTCTTCCACAATCATATGGTGGGAATGGATTAAGTCGCCCTTCAAACTCTATTCGGGAATACGTTGATCAAATTTCAATGTATCAAGAACTGCAGTCTTCAGCCGGGGAACGAATGCCATTTATCCGGCGAGCCATTCTTATCTGGACATTTCATAAAGCTCGCATTGGAGAGGGAAATGACACCACCTGGCGATATGTTGACCCCGCTCCACCACGCCACATGTGCATGTCACCACCGCCACACCCTCACCAGAATCTTCCCAATCTCGAACACTATAATACCTGGCCCGAATCACCTCTTCATCTCCAGCAACCTAATCTTCTCGACTCCTTTGTTCAAGGCCTTGCTACCCCTCCACACACAGCTAGTTTTCAATCTCCCTTCGATACAAGCGGCTATACATATCCTACTCAGCATTACGACATGTCTAATGAAAACATTAGTTTCGTGTCTCATGCAACTGTCGATAGCGAATCAACACTGGTAAACGAAGCCGATCCTACGAATCAAATCGATAATTTCCTAAACAATTCCGCAGGGGTCAATATGGGAGCTTATGGGGATGTGAGCGGCCATTTTTATGGCCATATACCTGTCAATACTGTCAATGCTAATGAATCCTTCGATGCGGATCCAGCGTGGGCAAACTATTCCGTACCGGCTAGTACCCCTTGGGAACAAAGTGAGGAAAATAAGGGGTTGGCTTGGCCAGATACAAGTACACATGTTGAACCTTCCAATAAACACGCTTGGAATAATGATACACAAGAGGAGAAACAAACACAGAGCACATGGAATGGAGATGACATTGATGTCAATGGTGTAAATGTTGACGGGAGGGACAACATGACGGGTAAACATGCGAATGAGATGCCTTGGTCGGATGTGGTGATGAGTAGTAGTCCGAACAAACAAAACGGAAATGGATATATTGAGAGTAACATTGAGTCAAAGTTGTTACCATGGATTGAGCAGGCCACCGCAGAAGAAGAAGCCCAGGCACAAGCTAGGAGAAATGCTGTGGACTACGGGAACGGTGTTGGAGCTGTGGATATGAGTGCGGGCGTTGGTGCAGATGTTGGAGCTGATGTTTCCAGTGTGGAAGTGCAGATGGAAGAGGAAATCGCCGCAGAGGACGTCAGTGAGCGTGAAGACAACATTACGAAAGAGGAACAATTCGAACATCACGATCACGATACGTATAGGGATCATCATGTGCATCATGAACACCATCAGCACGATCAATTGGAGCAAGCAGAATGGCCGCGTAACGACGAAATTAATGGCGTTGGGGTTGGAGTCAACGTCGGACATTCTAATGGATACGGTTTCGAACATTTGGAAGAGAGCGTGTCAGTAAAATCCTAATTCTAAAATAATTCAGCATCACGCTGTCCAATTTTTTGTAACAAAAATGTTCATTTGGAACTTCCTTTTTTTCGAGGCAGGCATGGGTTTGAGTCGGTTTGTTGGAATGTGGAAACTCTTTTCTTGGGATCTAGCTTGTTTCGAATTCATTCATTCAATTACTTATTTCTATCTACAAATAGTTTTTAATATTCATTTATTTATTTGCTTCCACTTGCTTTCTTTGATGCATGGTACAAATACAATTTTCAATGTAATTTCCTGGACTCGTCCGGATTTGGTGAGGCCAGGAGGTTGCTGTGAGGTGAGGTTTGAAAGGGGTGTGCATTGCCTTGCTTGGTGTTGCGACCTCGCTTCGGTTGGGTTTACTGGTATTATCCCTTTACCTGGAGTAATGATTGCTAGTTTACCTTGTAGCACTAAATCTTTTGGTGGGTAATTGGGAATCTGATTTTAACAGTGCTTGTAACGAAACGAGCTACTTTAGAGAGAGAAATTTATATATAACATAATATTTTTCTACTGTGGTTCTACCTTCAAGGTCAAAAGATTCGGAATTACTTTCCACGAACGGGAAGGGGCAAACTTCAATTAAACATGCAGGTGCAGCCCAGATTTTCTCATGCTATCATGTACCTTTCGCAAGTTTGTCTTCTCATAATGACAACAACATCGAGCATAAATACCTCCTCAAAATATTCCAATCCAGAAACTTACTCATCAACAATTGTATCAATTGATATCCAAACATTCCTTCACAATGGATCTAGACATCTTCGTTAACGTGCTTTGCGACAAAGGCACCCGCTTCCCATACAACTATCCCGAAACTTATATTTCAGATATACTCCTCTTCGTTTACCTTCGAGAAATAAGTCGTCTTGAAGGAGCTTCATTGGAAGAACAAGCAGAGGCAATAAGTCTCCGGACTTGGGAACATTTATGTAAGTATCCGAGGTGATGGAGATGTGAGTTCATAGGTCGATTGATGATATAGTTGACAGAGGATCGTATCCAGAACCGACATGGTTACATCATGCCTCTGGATCGAAATCGAAAGAGGGGAGCGACGTGCCAGCTTCTGTCTCTGCGCCAATAAATACTTCCTGGATGTCGAGGGTGGAGTTTTTGAAGATTGAGATGGGTGTATGGCATTATTTCGGCCTTGTGGGTATGGGAGTGCTTTTAAGTGGACTTTTTGGAAGTTCCCGTATGAGGAATTTCGTTGTTCAGTGGGTGAAGTGGGAATTTGGTAGATAGGATGTGACTGGGCTTTCCTTTTAATGGATGAAGTGTGTTATTTAATAATGGTCGGATGGAGATACGCAGGCTTTGGGTTATATCGAGGACTGATGGCTTGAGTATTTTTGTTTTAGGTGGATACTGTGAGAGAGTCGACGTTTTTGTGTGAGTCCAGATTTTACTATGCTCTATAGTGTGGTTCAGCCAGTGTTCAAGTATGGATAATGTAGATTCGGAGTATCGTGTCAGCTGCACAAAAAGTAGTATTAGACTAGTTACAGCATCCCATTAAAGAAATAGCAGGCCTTTCTTCACTGTATCATTGCATGAATCGTTACTCGCAGCTGAAAAATTAGAGCTTCATATCAAAGCTATTCCTCTAGTCAACAGATTGTTAACATTCTGTTTGTTGCTTCTGTTTTTCTGCGGGTGGACGCGAAAGGTGAGAGGAGGCGAGATCTGTGATCGGAACAGCTCTCCTCCCAGCTTCCATGCACCCAGTCTGAACAGTTGAATCCAACTCTCTTATTTTCAAAAGTGAGTTGATCACCCGAGACTGAATTGTACTTTTGCCCACTACAAAACTTAACTTTTCACATCGAACAATTCAAACCCCAAAATCACGAACTCATTAATCGATTGTCGATCTATCACAATGGAAGTTTACAAAAGCGTTTACGATTTGATGCTCTCCAAAGCAATTGGCTACGGCTATGTTGAACAGCAAGTCCTTGATATCCTAACTGAAAGTCATGATCGGGTCGATCTAAGCATGTTCAAAAACATTCCTGATGCGGAGAGATATTGGATGGCAGAGCGATGGACCTGGGAGACGCTTTGTTAGTACCCCTTGCTCGATCAATTGATTAAGATGCTAATAGTTTCGCAGTTGCCGATGAGCTGGCTGAATTTCCAGGAATGAAACCCAAATGGAAGAAAGTAACCAATTATTTGAAGCACAAATCACCCGCGGCTGGGGAAACACCGAAAAACACTCAAGTCGAAGCCAGTGATTCATCTACACCGCCAAAGTCAAAACTCGAAAATTGCCTTGCTGCGCGACCACATAATCTGGGCGGCAAGACCTCTGAAGTTAAAACTTATGTGCCAACAAGAATTATTTGCATAGATGCATCTCCCGAGGTACCTAGCGGCAAACAAGCTCCAAACCCAGCAACCGGACTGCCGCCAATTTCATCAACATCGTCTCCATCACAGAGAGAGTCAAACAAACGACAGAAGCTCACCAAAAACCCTGAAGTCGCCAATGAGAAGGATCCCAAGCTTCCGGGAGGACTCTCGACCACATCCTCTCCACTTGCAGATGTAAAACGCCAGAAGAAAGCGCCAGCCCCTAAAACTAAGAGAATTTCGGTGACCGATGGACAAGAAGTTCAGTGTACTTCGGCCATTCAGGAAACCATTTCGAGGATATAACTGAGGATGAAACTAAGGGCATTTTGGCAAGTGAGTGACAATCGAAGATGAATTAGGAAGAGGTTTTCATTTCGATCTACTCTTTTGTTCGGCGGGGAGTTAATGATATCTGGTACGCAACAGAAGATCATTCTATCACTTGAGTTGTATCGCTGCAATTAGTTAAGTCACAAGGGATCATGGCATCGATTGACATCACCGTGATAAGTGACAAAAGAGTCTAGAGACTGCTCATTTAGACCTTATCATATGTAATGCGCAGACTTATATAGAATGAAACTATTTCTTGCGTTGAAGAATACTGTCTTCTATTTGTGCTGAATAGTGTGCATCTACTCGAGATGGATACGGTTGTAAACGGCGAGCTTGCGAGAATGATGTTAAGGAACAATTCATCTGGTGTTTGATGATACACGTGTTATCTAGAACAGCAATAGCTGCATCACTAGATCATATAATCTATAGAGCTTTTGCGAGAATCTAGAGAACTGTGGGATACGAGTTGGCGGTCTCCTACCTGGAGACACATAGTCAGGCTCTCTGATGTCAAACATCAAGAAGTCCACCTAATGTGACCGATTCGAACTTGTTTCGATGTGAGGATGTATGTAATCGGCAGAACTTACCGAGGACAAAATAGAGTACGTGTTGGACTAGTGATCAATGACTGGATACATTTCCAATGATATTTTACGGCCCAACTTTAAGAAATTTCGAAAATGGAAACGGACATCACAGGTGGGCAATTTGGGGGCAGTCAAAGGAAGCGAAGGGGTGTCACTAGTGATTACACATGCCACGAGTCACCCTTGTAAAATATAAGTGGATACTGCCACTAAGGCTACTCCACTTTAATTCTTTCATCATCATAAGGCTGAAAAGGCCAATCTGGCATTTGCTTTCACTTCAAACTTCAGTGCATTGTTCGAATTCGATGTTCAACGACCGAATTGCGACACAATCAGCAATTTAAGTGGAACACTAACTAGAGATTCAAAATTCCGATCTGTACATCGCTATGCTCTCTACCGGTTTCACAGATGTGCCAGTAACGCGCAGCCTTGTCTATGGGGTTATCGTAACCTCACTCCTCGCTAGTATCACAGATTCAAAGCATTTTTTCTACATACAAGCAGATTCTCATCTGCTACGATATCATCAACTATGGCGGATGCTGAGTTACCAATTATGCTATACCAATTCGACAGAAGTATTTTTCGGCGCGATAACATACTATAATATGAGAGTGGTGGAAAGATTATGGGGATCTCGTAGATTTGCTGTGAGTTTTTCATTCTTTCATCTACCATGAATATCTGCTGAAAGTAAATTTATAGTCTTTCCTGATATTATCGTTCTGCTTCACCTCGATGATATCGCCAATCTTGCTCATCCTTCTACGACCCCTTTCCCTCTACGCGATAAATTACCTACCCGCAGGACCAACGGCTCTTATATTTGCTATCCTAGCCCAATACCATGCCGTTATTCCGCATCAATACAAATACAAAGTTGCAGCTACCTCTGCACCTATGACCGAGGAGAATTTCGTGGGAGTTACATTCTCGGATAAATCATACATATATCTCCCCGCTATTCAACTGGGTCTTTCCCAATTTCCAGGCTCACTGATATCTGCAATGGTCGGCTGGATCATTGGCTATTGCTGGCGAAACGATGTACTACCTACAGCTTTCACGCGATGGAGATTACCAGGCTGGATGGTGGGCGTTCAGGTCAAGAAGAGAAGTGAAGGGTTTGAAGGAATGAGGAGGAGATTGGAGGGAGAAAATACAGCGGCTGCTACAGGATCGGATGGTCAGTCGGGCGGAGAAGTTGGAAGAAGGAGAACTCTGGCGAATCAATTTATTGACCAATTTAGAGGAGCGCCATGATGCTCCGTTTTATTAAAAATCTCAATGAATTTACATTACATCCATTCCTGCTCCAAGAATATTTGAACTGCCGTCAAGCTGTCGATGATCACAAAAATCTGTGAGCCGTCAGGTACTCCCGTCTGTGCAGCTTTAACCGAAAGCTTGATATCGACCATTGGCAGGGCTTTCACAAGAGTCTAAGAACAGATTTGTAGTTCCGCGAAAGACACTTCATTCTACAATAAAAGGCAGTCAGGCGGAGGAGATCAGAAGTCGAAACCACCGTCACGGAAGCTTTTCAAATATGTACCCGTTTTAAAATCTAACTCTAGCTCTTATTTGAACCCAATTATAGAATCTATTAATGTGCAACAATCATGCAATTCACAGGTGCTCAAACTCACTATAGCTAGTACAGTATCAAAAACACACAGGTATCTTCAGTGCACACCATAGTGTTACTGGGTGAGGTGAGCAACAAATCTTCCGAACAAGGGCAATGTCGGGAGTGTATTTGCCACAAAGCTTTGCGTCATTAGAGTAGCGAATGTACTGATCTACCACCGCGGGACTAAAGTCAAGATGAACAGCCTCATAGGCGCGAGTCCAACCTTCCTAGTGTTGGTTGCAGAACATATTCTTTTCACTGCTTCGACTTATACTTCAGGCCTCACTCTTTAGCCTTTTTTTTATATTTCGACATTCTAAAGCGTTCATTTTGCAATACATTTAATAAATCTTTAGAGACTTACAAGGGCCGTATATTTAACATTCTACTACAGATGAACCTGGATATAAGGGCCTAAAAATTTCGAGGCCTAAATGCCCGTATACAGGGGTTGCTCGTATATACAATTTCAGTTTTAGTATTTAGCTGTCACGGATTGGTTATAACTCTACTTAGTAGGTTTGATGTTGATCAAACTACTTATACCCTTTTGGGGTTACGTGGCTTAGTGGTAGAGTACTTGGCGCCGTGACATTAGCCTCGTTTTATACCTTCAGCCTTTTCATTTTTAATAAATATATCATATGAATTTATGAATTCATCATATGATAAGCCAAAGCTTGAGCTAATACTTGTTAGAGTGAATGCAAGATGACAACTAGTATAAAATATAGGTAACTATAGGTTCAATAATAAGACTTTTCATTAATTCCTTCAAAACCTCTTCTCTGAAGCTATAACGTAATTTATCAGCATATGGGCCATATCAGCATGTGGGCCACTTGAAAACACACCAAAATCAACCCTTTTTCAATATTCTTATTTAATAGTTAATCATTATTTTGAAGAAAAAAAAGAATAAAAGATAATAACAGAAAACAAGCTTTTTATGAATCTAATATTTATATAAAAATTCCTATTATTTTATAAAGAAAATAGAAATTGTCACGATTTTCGTTACAAAAAAAACTATTTTAATAATAACTCTTATATTAATTTGAATTTTCGAAAACTAATTAGAAATCTTTAATACTTTTATAATCAAATATCATATATTAAATTTTTGAGAGATTATATTTATAAATAAAGAAAGTGTATGGTTATGTACAGACGAATTTTGTATGCAAAAAGGGGTGGCCTATATGATGATATGGCCCACATGCTGATAAACTACGTTATATATATGAAAACTCTTCGCTTTCGGACTAATAGTCGGCCCGATATCGATCCTATATCGATGCCCGTAATAATACTATCAATTTTTATATTTTTTATAAGAGTATTAGGAAAATCAGGACCATATACCCTTATATAAAGAAATGCCCGTTTGAGTCAATTTTACCATATAAATTTTTGGGAAATCTAAAAATATATCCGTATAAAGGGGATGCCCGTATATCACGCGCCCGTATATCCAGGTTCATCTGTATCTACAGTATAACTTCAGCTCAGACCAACTCACTAAACGTGGCGTGTTTAATGGAGAAGCGATGTCAGTTGTTGTGCGAAGCAGCGACTCTGGTCTTCCAGTTGCTATAATAGCTGGACAGGCGACCAGTGCCGGAGGACGGATAGCGACATTGCCAAGTGCGAAGGTCGCAATCTTGAGAGTCTGGTGTGGGAGTTCAGTTATCCAGTGGAAAAGTCACAACTATTATTGTTTGAAAGACGGTGTCCGCATCTGCCAGTGAAGAATACATCAAGAATTTTGAAGTTGAAACTCCTGACACGACTTCATCAACGGATGCAGTACCTATCAGTCGAACTTGGTCGACTTTTTCGGTTTGATGGGATAATTGAAGACATAATTTTGAGGTATCGAGATTATTGAGTTACGTTTTGCTTGGATGCGTTGGGATTTTGGTCCTCAGATGAGCAATTAGCAACAAGATGTGTGTATGTAAAAGTTCGGAGACTACGAATCTTGAAGACATCGCGAGTGGAAATAACCTTAATATCTAAAAGGAGGGGAGCAATAGAACTCTACACATGTTTGCGGGGTGTGTAACGGCACGGTATGAATTTCTCGAGTCATTTGCTACAACTATCTACTTCCAGAGCCTGGAACAGTAACCTTGCTTAGAGAACAAGCCGCGAGGTATGCTTAGAGCTCGGTTTATTTACCCGTTCATTTTGTAATTGCAAGTTCTTTGTGATAGATCTATAGCTAACGGTAGTACAGGAGCATGGATATGATCATGCTTTCTCTCTTCAACTCTCGCGAGCGCGATGCCGATGATTGGGCTTCCTTGTTTCAAGCTGCCGATCCTCGTTTTGGAAAGCCAAAAGCGTGGATTCCAGAAGACAGCAATTTAGGCATTATAGAAGCGGTATGAGAGGGGGATAGTAAGGGCGTACAAGAATAATCATCAGCATCTATTATGCTTGGACGCAATAATGCCTACCACTGGATACTCTCAAAGCTAATGGGCCTGACGGTTTCACATAAATATCAACAGTATCAGAAAAGAGATATAAGATAAAGTGCAGACCTGTCTGCAAGTGTGCGAAAAGAGCTTGTGATTGAAGTAACGTGCGGAATAATGCATTCATATGAGAGCGTTTTGTGGAGAATGGTTTTAATAAAAAGAAACAACTTCCCTCGGATATGCTGCAGCATCATCAAACGATTGAAGTAGATTCATGCAAATCGAAAATGTATTTCTTCAAGCAAAACCTTATTGTGATGCGATTTGCGGATATGCACTGCGCTGTTCTCACATGAAGTTTGCTTCTTCCAAATTTAATCGCGCACTCCATCTCCGCGACGCCGTACTGCCTCGCTTAGCTCACCGGTGACAAACCAACCTGTTCTCTTACCATGTTGTTTGCTTTTCCAGCTAGCTGTCTGCACTGGCGCTGATTGGGATCATCCTTGGCTTTGAGTACATATCCTCCTTATCGACCTGTTTGGGCTCATCCTTTGTTTTGGGAACCATGATTTGGAAGCTAAATATCAGGGATTCGCATGATTGTTGTTGGTGGTTCAGCAATCAATGCTACCTCGTCGGAGGTGCCATTTTCATTGGCTTTGCAGGGGAATATACCCCGAGGTTATTTAATGGCTAGAATTTGACGTCAGGACTGCTGAAGGGATGGTGTGTGAGAGAACAATTCTCCAAGTGGTGGGAAGTCTGGGAAGGTTTGTGGTGATTGGGTTAGCTTAGCTGTCATGATTGATTAACAAAGCAGGTAGCTGTACTGTACAGCAAAAACATTTTCAATATTTGAAGATAACATTTTACACAATACAAGTTTATCTCTGGTTGGAGATGAAGCGTTTTTTCCTAATTGAAAAGGATTTGAGTTGATCCATTATTCGCGGCAGTTGTGAGGCGTAACCTCGCGTAATGAAGATCGCCCCATTCAGGAGGCTTTAAAAAATAAAATGTGGGGGCTGATGATGCAAGGCCCAGATGACTCCATGCGGAAGTTGCCTGCGAAAGTTGGTGACAGCCCACTACAGTTTACAAGTCTTAATGAGGCACGGTACATATTTTAGGGTTCTGAGTGTCATCGAGTGACTGCGTCGTTCCATTCTGTGACCAACAGGATCGAATAGAGGAACTTCCCCAAACAAATTGCGCGACTGTGATATTTACCGGCTTGAATTTTTCAACCTCACAGAAAAACGAGTACCTAGATAATGTGTGATTCCTTCCTAATGCAAGGCCTTCTTGTAAAAAAGTTTACGTACCATGAACTGCAAGAAAGCGAATATAGAGATTAGGTGCAAGTCAAGCAAGCTTCGGTTCGGTGCGCAAAGTGAAATACGAGTGCAAAATATCTGCACTGTGTAGGCAGTATCGTTGTCGACCTATCAACAAAATGTGGGAAATATCCCCATTTTTGGAAAATCTCTTATACCTAGTATTTTCCATTTACTTCTCCCCTCCAGGCTGAGCAGACAAAGGGAAGTAAATAGATTGACTTCATAAAACGAAATTGCTTGAATAAGTTCATATTTTCATGCTAGAACTATTGGCAACACTCGAGGCGACGAGTAGAACTTTAACTATAAAGCCCTAACGCAATGCACATTTACCAAGATTGATCAATTTCTTCACAAGGTGGCAGGTATATAGGTATATGATAACTTTATGGCTGCATGACTACATACATAGAGAGCTTTGCCGCATATCATGTTAGCCGGATCAATCAGAAAATATCTCAAAAGTGATTTTCGTTATACCAGAAACATAACCTTACAAGGATACGTATAGTATCCCATTGTTCTATGTTTGTTTTCGCGCTTGTTGCTCGGATCCAACGGAACTACGGCATACGTTCTATATTCTCTATCACACCAAAGCTATCCTTTATTCTTTGATGCGAGAGAGGGGTGAAGATGGGGTCGGAAGAATAGGTGAAATGCCTATCCTTCTATGCAATTCCTGTTTGTTCTTCATGAATTTGTCGTCAACGCTGAGTTCTAAGAAACGACCTCGTGTTTCTACTTCTTCAAACAAAGAAACATTAGACAAAATGGCACAAACTAGGATTGCGGAACTGGCCTCGATCATTTCGACTCAAACAACAATTGTGGACGAGTACCTCCAGTCTCATGGAATCGCCTCGCCATCCTTTGATGTGAATTATAGCGAGACGCATCAGACTCCCAAGGAAATTTCAGCCTCCAAAAGCATTATCTTTGAGGCAACAGAGGAATTGAACAGTCTTATAGGGGGTCCCGTTGGGGTTCTCACCTTCATGAATGTTGGTAAATTTTCAATTCAAAGATCAGCACTTGCTAATCAACCAAGATTACAATTTTGCTAACACTTCACGCGATACATCGATGGAAGTTAACATCAAGTTTTCCACTCGACGGAGAAGCATCTTCCTGAGATTACTGACACGGTCGGGGTACCTGAAGCGGATATTCGGCGTATCATCCGCATGGCCAAGACTCATCGAATTTTCCGAGAGCCACGGGATGGGATTGTTGCACACACGTCAATATCTAAAGCTATTGCTACAATGCCCCTTGTGGAATCATGGTTGGGACTTGTAACAGGTGAAATTTGGCCTGCCTTCACACGGATGGTGGATGCTATTGAAAGATGGCCGGACTCCCAAGAGTCAAATGAAACCGGATACAACCTGGCCACAAACCAATTTGATACTTATTTTGAAGGCATGAAGAAAAGTACTCATCGTGAAAAGCGATTTGCAGATGTAATGACTTTCTTCCATGCTGGTGGCAAATGGGAAAGAGCCGGGCTGATTGAACATTATAATTGGGAGATCATGAGCGAGGGGCTGGTGGTTGAGGTATGTCACACATTAACCTTGTCTAATACCCCAAATTTTGCGAATTTCCGGTCGAAGAAAGTCCGTTCTTTTCTTTGACTTATTCATGAAGTGCTATGCGTGGTCTCTTGCAATTATTCCTACTCTACTGAATACTAACTTCCTGTATCGCATAGTTGGGAGGGTCTCAAGGTGCCATGTGCATCGACTTTGCAAGGCGTTATCCTAAGATGAGGTGTATCTCTCAAGACCTCCCTGATGTGGTTGAAGGCATAGAAACTCCAGAAGACTTGAAGGGACGAGTAGAGATTGTTGCACATGACTTCTTCACGGAGCAGCCGGTCAAAGGCGCCGATGCATATCTGTTTCGGTGGATATTCCATGATTGGTCTGACAAATTTAGTATTCAAATTCTCAAAAATTTGATTCCTGCTCTTAAGCACAGGGCCAAGATTGTTGTTGGAGAAGTTTGTCTACCAAAACCTGACGGCAATACCTCGTGTAGGGAAGAAAGGCGAATGGAGTTAGTCTTTTCCTGGGAATTAGCATACCAGTCACTAACAGTATTAATATAGGATCCGACTTTACAATGAAATCATGTCTCAATGGAAGAGAGCGAGATGCGGACGAGTGGGCTCAGTTGTTTGAGAAGGCTGATTCGAGATTTAAACTCCAAGGTATCGCGGCAGTTCCAAATTCTAGATTCTCGGTCATCGAGGCCATCTGGGAAGATGGTTCGGCTCCTGGGCTGTGAAGAACGTAATAGACCGACTGGGAACAAAAATGGTCCTAGTTGCCGTCGAAACGAGGTTGCAGCCCTTGTCAAGCGAGCCCCCCTCTCACTGCGCAACTTATAGCTGAAACATCGAGCGATTGTTAAGATTTACGTCATAAGTCCTACAAATTGAAATATGATACCCGGGCCTCGTTGGTTGTCTTTTTGGTCATCTCATCCAAGCAAGTAACATATAGATCAATTGATTCAACCTATGCCCTTCCTGTCATAATTCTGGTAAATATACTTTGCGGTGTTACACGGAACAGGCAGATCGTGTATAAAAAGTGTAATTACTATTGTGAAATGTGAAATAGTATGAGATTCCCTATGGGTTGAACGGTCCCTTACATGGCGCAATGTTGTTTATAAGAAAGTCTTGCACGAATTTATCTTCCAAAAAATAGGTATCGACAATACTTACATATGAACTTCACTGTACTGTCGGCTGCCTTCAAAATCAAGCTCATATGTAGTACGATTTTAGACATTTATGGACTGATTTTAAGGTTATTTTGGCCGATGTGATAGTATATTGCAACGTTATACTGTATGCCTAGGTACCAGATATGTAAAGGCTCACGCTGTACACGAATCCTGTATTGAGAATTGTGAGAGCTCTTTTGCTCTTTCACGTGATCTTCACGAGATCATCTGCGGATAAACTACTAACAGCTTGAGTCAATGATGTTCACCCGCTGTGCGTAGGGCCGTTGAGCGGCTTGAATAGTGTCACCAAGTCGGAGCTCTGCGTTTAACGCAATACAGGCAGCTCAGCTGAATCGAATCTCTGTGGGCTTGCTCGATTGATTATGCCACCGCTGATACCATGTGAAATAAGGATTTCATTTCTGCGAATGGAGTTATAAATTCTTCCTTTCTAGGAGGGTGTCAGGGCTACTGTCGTATAAACATTGTTCTTTTACTAAAAAAGAATTCATCTTGTTCCCAAAAACATGAATCCATACGAAGTTGTTCGCACAAACAATATGGCGGAAGACAAACATTGCAGTAATTCCATTGAATGTGACTACTCCCAGGCTTAAGGCTGTTCGTTCTCTTATTGCCCAGACGCGAGAAGCAAAGACCTAGTAGGTTCCTTTGGAACAAAGTCGAGTAATAAAGATCTATCATATGTTCCAAATTTGTATCACAGAATTGGAAATAGGCTGATTGCGTGACCTAAGTTGGATATGTACGAATGACCTTTTAGCTCGTGAGCCCCTGCTGCCACACATTTCTTTACTAAGAGTAACAGTTCGATGAGCTCATGAGCATATTCATTCCTCGGTGGGTACAAGACGTAAGTGAGCCAGCAAATTCTGGCTGTCATGTTCCTCCTCCAAGCCCAATTCTCGCACCTTCTTCCAAAATTTACTCAAATGCCTCGTTCCGCTATCACAAAGTATAGTAACCACCGTACTCCCCTTCTCCAATTTCAACGCTGTTGCTACAGCTGCCACACAATTGACAGCACTGCTACTTCCAACAAAAATGCCATCCTTCTCGACCAACCACCTTGCCATTTTGAGTGCTTGCAAGTCTGTCACCTTTACGGCATCATCGATGATTTCTCGCCCCGCTTCGAAGTTCTCGGTTAACCGATTGATTCCAATCCCTTCGACGATAGTATCAACCTGCTGCCGACGTCTTGTGCCTTCTTTCTCGGTTGAAGAGAACATGACGCCATGCTTGACTTTGTTGTAAAGGCCGCTTCCCTCTGGATCTGCAAGTACGACTTTGAGATCTTGTCCCATAAGTTGCTCTTGTTTTAAGTAGAGTGCTACACCTGAGATGGTTCCTCCTGTCCCAGCACCGGCCACAAATGCATCAATCTAAACGTCGTTAGCTAAATTGTGTGTGAGATTCTAGAGGTTTGATTGCTTACATCACCTCCCGTCTGGGCATAAATCTCAGGTCCTGTAGATTGAAAATGTGCCCGGTAATTTGCACGAGACTCGAATTGATCAGCAAAGAACCCTCTACTAGAATCTGTTTTAGAGGCCGTATGTTCCTTCGCTCTTCGTCTTGCCAGGTTGACGAAATGTTCAGTAGAAGTGATAGGTGCTGGGGTTACTCTTTCAACTGTGGCTCCCAAATGATGTAGAAGATCCGACTTCTCTGTGCTCTGGTCATTGGGCATACATATGTATGCTTTATAACCTCTGGCACGTGCTAAAGTTGCAAGTGAAATGCCAGTTGATCCAACTGTGCCTTCATAAATAGTGTCACCTCGGCCAGGTTTCAGAAATCCTTCCTCTTCCGCCATCATGATCATATTCAAGGCTACTCTGTCTTTGGGACTTCCTCCTCCGCCATTCAAGAACTCCGCTTTTGCAAGAATATTGCATCCTGTTGCATCGGAAAGACTCTTGATTTTGAATAATGGTGTATTTCCAATACACCCCTCAATTCCTTCTGGGATTATAGGTTTCGGCAATCCGACAACTGATTTCCGAGTACGGTCTTCTAGCCTTAGTGGGGGTAGGTTAGAGCCAACCGGTCTTAGATCAGATGCAGATGAATCAGATGCAATGATTCCAGTTCCAGTTCCAGTTCCCTTTCGCCGTCTTTGATATCTTCGTTCCAAATCAGGATAAAAGTCTTTGAAACCCAATGTCAACAGAACTCCTGCGACGAATGCAACTGCAACTGCTGCAGAACCATATGCCTTGGGGTGGTTGCTCAGAGACATTATATCCTTGCTATTCTCAACATCATTATTTCAATAATGAGTCGTGAATAAATTCATTTTGTTGATGATGTGATTTTTCACAGGTCAACTCTTTGAATATCCTTGCAAAACTTTGCGGAAGAAGCTTGGACCAACCAGAACTCAACACTGCGACAGAGGTCCCCCAAGAAACACACAGAAGAATTTAAACACTTCTGTCGATGGATTCCCCAATTGTGGCACAGCTGTTTCGGCAGCTATTCCGACACAAGAACTGTGAGGTTTTACGTTCTCATTCTTCGTTGTCTCCTCGAGCATGGAATGGGCATGGTTCGCAGTTGAGATGTTTGTCGACAACCAGTAGGAGGGGCAGAGGAGTGAAGGAGACAAGCAAGAATGAAAGCCATTGGCAGCAGAGAACGGATATCTTTCCGATAGATATGATGGAGGAATTCAATAAGTATCCCATGGTTACAGCGGATCAGTTGAGGGGGAGGAGAGAAAGGCCAAGGCGTGTGAAGATGCTCACACGAGATTTCATTGAAGGTATTCACAATCCAGTCGTTAACGTACCGTGTGATTATCTGACACCTTCCGCAGATAGTTTATACAATCCTTCTTATGGTTATTTCTCCAAGCAAGTAGTTATCTTTACTCCTGGCGAGCCTTTCGACTTCAACTCCCTCGAAGATGAACCAGCCTTTCATCGTCTCCTGGGACAACGATACACCGAGTTTGAGGACGAGTTGGATCTCAAGTCTCCTAATGAGACTCGCCAATTATGGCATACACCAACGGAGCTCTTCAGACCCTACTATGGTGAAGCTATAGCCCGGTATTTGATCAACAATTACAAAATATCGCAGTACCCATACCACGACCTCATAATCTACGAAATGGGCGCTGGAAATGGTACTCTTATGCTCAATATACTCGACTATATTCGTGCCACAGAACCTGAGGTCTATGCCCGCACAAAGTTTAAGATAATTGAGATATCCAGCAATCTCGCATCGCTACAAAAGTCGCACCTGTTACGGAATGCCAATTCTCGAGGACACTCATCTAAAGTTGAGATTATCAACAAATCAGTTTTCGAATGGAACCAGATAGTTCCCTCACCATGTTTCTTCCTCGCCATGGAAGTTTTTGACAATTTTGCCCACGACTCTATTCGATACGACCCTGTTACCGAAGAACCTCTCCAAGGCACCGTCTTGATATCCAACACCGGCGACTTTTACGAATTCTACACTCCCACCATCGATCCCATAGCATCTAGATTCCTTCGCGTACGACACGCTGCTACTAATGGAAAATACCCACACCCCCTTCCGCAGAACAGACTAGTGAAGACTTTGAGAAATAACATGCCATTCGCTCCGAATCTCAGTCAGCCGGAATATATACCTACGAGACTAATGCAGTTCTTCGATATTCTGGCCAAGTATTTCCCGGCGCATAGATTAGTAACAAGTGATTTTCATTCGCTGCCGGACACGATCAAGGGAGTCAATGCACCAGTTGTCCAGACAAGATATAAAAGAAGAACAGTTCCTGTTACGACGCCTTTTGTGAGCATCAATATTCCTTGTCCCTTTCATCGTTGCTAATGGCACTTAGGTGCATCAAGGATACTTTGACATATTGTTCCCTACTGACTTCGCTGTCATGGATAATGTATACAGAGCCATCACGGGAAAGTTCACACAAGTGTTATCACATGAAGAATTTTTGAACCGATGGGCTTATGTGGAACAGACGGAGACCAAGAACGGGGAGAATCCTCTCTTGACGTGGTATAAGAATGCCAGTGTGCTTACCACTGTATGAAAACAAAATACCAAGTAAATGTGCACATTATAAAATTTCCTATCAGCGCATGATTTTTGATAATTGTTGATCTTTTATTCATGATATGTGACAACTAATCTTTTCTAGCTGGCCACTGTACACCCTTCCATCATTGGATAAAAAACAGAAAGAGATCAAGAGAAAGGTGGATGCTCTGCAGAGTCGAAGATAATATTGCTTCAGCAATAGAAGCCCCAACCTTGCTACTCCAACACCAACGAGCTTAAGCTCATAGGTATAAATGTATTCGCAAAAAGCAGCCCAATAACTCCAGTTTTACATCTTTCTGTCGCATGTCACAATTTACTTCATCTTCTTGTGTCAGCACACATGTAGAAGTCCGCAATTTCCTCCTTCAAATCCCAAGCCCTTTGCAGAACTTGTGCTCGCTCAGAGGAATTCATCTCAAGCATGAATTTGAAATTGTTCTTGTCTTCTTTTAAGTTGAGCATGTTCCATTCCTCCTCGAGCCTTGTTTGTGTAGTGCTGAGAGCTTTAATGTTTTCGATAAACCTTTCTTCTTTCCCACTCAAGCTTACACCCATGCTTAATCTGGCGAACCGTTGGAGTTCTTCCAAAGTCTGGGGAGGGTCGGTTGAAAAGTACACGTTTGTAAGTTGGGCGACGAAATCTCTCTCTGCTACAAAATTGAGTACTGCAGAGGTAGGATCATCAATCCTAAGATCTTCTGCGAGTATATTAGTGACTCTGTCGGTCACAAGCTCCCATTTAGAAGCATTTTCGGTAGTCATGGCGTTCTGAAGTAGTCGTTGGCCTTCTTGTATCAGGCTGAAAAGTTTATTGATTCTTTCAGTAACAGTATCGAATTGAGACCTTTGTTGCTCGATCCAATCTTTAACTGTGGGAAAGAGAGATTCAAAGGTGTTGCTGATATGTTCACAATTCTGGTTGGATTCAGTGTTGTCAAGCTTGGTTTCGTACTTGTCGCTGCGTTTCTTAGAGGTTTGAGCTTCGGGAGTGTTGTGTGAATTATTTTCGTAGTTTCTCTTGGGGTTGTGGTATTTATAATGAAGAGATGCGGAGCTACTAGAGATAGAACTTGATCTGGGGTTTTCGTGGTACGCAGAGCTAAGATGTGCTAGTGCGGGACTAAGTGTGATGGGGACCCTAAGTTTTAGGGCTAGTTAGAGCTTGAAGTCTTGATCAAAACCCTTAGTGAGTATCTAGCTCACATCTTTGCATCGATGGACGTGGTCTCATTGGTACCAGAGGCTTCTGGTCCAATACCAGCAGATGGCGGTGCTGATCCCCTGTATCCATGTTAGTATTAATAAAAATATCGTTTAAGCTACAAAAAATGATCGAAACTTACGACAGCGTCACTGTTAAGCCCTCAAGTTGTTTCCTACTATTGGGCGTTTCAGGAATTCTTTTGTTGCCCTTCTTCGATACAGCAATCTCTCTGCACGGCAATCAGTCTTAAATGCGCTACCACTTTCCAATTTCACCTGCCTTTCCATGAAAACAGTTCCTCGACTCTTGCCATTGTGCTCTGTTCGTAGGTGAATTGATTCCATGCCTCTATCATTGCGTTGGCGCTTTGCTGGCGATACTTGTTCCTTCTCGTTGCTTGGTTTTCTGGTTGAAAGTGTCAACGATGTCAAAACGAACTTCAACGCCCCTATCTTGTTTGGAGAATTACCGGATCGATGGAGTAATAATCGAGTTTCTCTCCACTTCGTGATGATTTCGTTTACGAGGACTGTGAGAGGACCATGGCTCTAAGGTTTGGTCGTCGACACTGTGCAGTTGAGACGATTAGTGGTTTCATTTCAGGATTTTAGACAACAAAAGGTGTTCCAGAAGATCGTTGCACTCACTCGGAATCTTGCAGGATCTCTCTAACGGTGACTATAGGCTCCTTGTTCCTCACCGCAAGGTTCGAACTCCACTCTGATGTGTCCATTTGTAGCTTATACTTGAATAATAAAGAGCAAAGTTAATGGTATAATGTTATAGTAAGCAAATGCAAAGACAAATTCTTGGATTTCCCTTTTGATATCAGTAAGAGGAGTCTCAGGAAGTGGAGATTTTAAGACCAGAAATCAGGGAAGGTTGATGCTTAACATATCCCGATGCGGAATGGGAGTAGAGAGAATCGCTCTTACCACCTCAGAAAAATAATATTTAAGCTACTATCTCACATTTATCCATGCTAAAGATCTTGTCCCAATTCTTTCCTGGCCTCTCGAAGCTAAAAGAGGTACGAACTGTCAAATCTCACGAAAACTTCGAGCTTGTTTACTGAAAAATTTTCCATAACACAAACCAACCAGCCACACAGAAATTATTGCGAGGCTCTTATACAGTTGAAAATTTTATAATAAATCTTATTAGAGCTCTGGATTCTCGGAATAAATTCTTATTGCGATAAAATAACAATCATTTCTGCCAAATGCGCCCTGCAACCCTTCTGTCACCTGCTCATTGCTCAAAGATTTGACAACTCTGCAATTTTCTTCTCTATCCTGGTTGCCAAGTCATCATCGACCTTCCTAAAGATCTCTATAAAACAACATCAGCTTCACATTACTCAACAGCCTACACACAAAAAGACACAAAACTTACCAATAGCCTCCCTTCTAACTCTCTCATGCTTGACATTCGCTAGCTCTCCCGCAACATTGCCCACCAAATTTTCCTGCTGACTTTCCTGTTTTCCCAGAACCTCTCTCCAAAAATTCCGTGGCTGTACAAAATCATCATCTACAACTCGACTCGTAAACGCAGTCACTTTTCCGCTCCAAAGTTCATGTTGAATGTTATGCACAGCCTGAGCATTGCGATTCGCAGGAGCAAGTGGAACGAAGCTTGATCCGACATAGTTTGGGTCGGGTCCATAGTTACCGTTGATTGAAGAGAGACCATCGCGTTGATATGGTGTGTAGACGGGACAATGAGGAGCGTTGGATTGGAGTTGCTGATAATTTGTGCCGAGCCGGTAGCGAGCGGCATCTGGATATGAGAAAAGGCGGGCTTGGAGGACTTTCGAGGGGAGTGGTTAGTGATTTTATAAGTGTAAAGATAGGAGTAGAAACTTACCTGGATCTGCGGATGCAGCAATACCTGGAACCATATTTGAAGGCGAGAAAGCTGCTTGTTCGATGTCTGCAAAGAAATTGTTTGGCTACCTGTAGATTAGCAAGAAATTCAGAGTAAAAAGGAATAATTATATCTCACATTTCTATTCAGCGTCATTTTACCAAAGGGCCGCAATGGCACTTCGCTATGTGGCCATACCTTGGTCATATCAAACACGTTCCAACGAAACGATTCCGCGTCTTCTGGATCCATAACTTGAACACTTGCTGTCCAGCTAGGAAACTCTCCACGTTCGATAGCATTAAAAAGATCCAGTTTATGGTGATCTGGATTCGTTCCTGAGAGCTTCTCTGCCACGGCTGCTGTATTATTCTTCACTCCTTGATCTGAATGGAAGTGGAATCGTACGTATTTGAATGTGCCATCTTGCTTAGTAAATTTATAAGTATGGCCACTGTATGCGTTTAGATGTCTCAATGAAGCAGGAGTTCCTCTATCCGAGAATAGATACATGATTTGATGTATTCCTTCCGGATTGTTGTTGTGGAAATCCCAGAACATGTCAGCATCTGGGGCGTTTGTTCGTGGATGACGTTTATGTGATCGGTTTAGCGAAGGAAATTTAAGGGGATCGCGAATGAAAAATACAGGGGTATTATTAAAGACGAAGTCTTGGTTTCCCTCCTCGGTATAGAATTTCATGGCGTAGCCTCTCACATCTCGCACAACATCTGAATATCCTCTCTCTCCTCCTACTGTGGATATGCGTACCATGCAAGGAGTCTTCTTTCCAATGCCATTCAAGAAGGCCGCTGGAGTCAGATCCGAAATGTCGTGAGTGACTTCAAACTCTCCAAAAGCACCAGCAGCCTGAGCATGAACTACTCTGATATTCATCAGTGGATGCCTTCAAATCGTTTCTTGATACATACCTCTCTGGAATTCTTTCTCGTGAAAAATGTGCAAGCGTTTCAATTAATTGTGTATCTTGCAATAACACAAGGCCTCCTAGACCGAAAGTGCTCAATCGCAATGAAGTCGTCGGATCCGCGACTGGTACTCCTAAGACAGTTCAGCATTATGTCGTTCAGTACATATATGTGGACAAAGTACCTTCGGCTAAAGTGTAAACAGGTTTTTCGGGGGAACCGAGCTGCACAGAGAATCAGTCATGCCCAAGATGAATCATTAGACTTCAAACCTTAGATGCCATTATGTGGAATCAATTCTTGTATTGCAATGATAGATAAATTACGTATGAGGAAATATGTGTTTGTTGTAGAGAGATCTAAGTAAAAGTTTGATGCTTCGACTTCATACATAGATAGAGGAGCTAGAAATACTTTATATCCATTCCATACCTGTCTGGATGCATGCTACAGATCTACAAATGCGAGCTTCGGAAAGCGACAACGGTGTATCCATGGAAAGTAAAGGTACTGACTGGCCCTTGGTCTTCTTCTGGAATGCGTCATCAAAAATATGTATATCGGATACCGGTATCTTCTCTACTCGACCAGCAACTGAGGATAACTCGGAAAATGAGCGGCTTCTCCTTTGTACGGCATGCTGTAAGCTTCAATTTAGGCATGTTGTACAAGAAGCTTAGATGATGCAGCAAGACGAATAGATACAATTAATAATCAGATACACATCGACTAATTGATGGACAACTAGCTTTCCATTTCGAGGATACTCGAGAAAGAGGCTTCATCAAGATAGAGTTAGAGCATGTTGAAAAAGCGGATTCCTCAAAATAGCAGTCCAACATGCCATTCTCGTATTTCTAATCAATTCCGTGAAACATTTGCATCGTGGATTTTTTTCTCTAATCAATGACGCTCTCCCATAATTCGGCAAGAAATTCACAATATCGGAAAGTTGCCGAATCGTCAAATTCGGAATTCCTCTTACATTGTGTTTTCCGACTTTTCCCCGAACTGAATCTCAAATGAATCCCAACTGACTGTAACTAAATCTCGATTGAATATTAAATTAATTGTGAACTATTACCAAAATAAGCTCATTGCTTCATGAATTAAAGGAGAAGAGCTTCTCTTGCACATCGGTGTGATATCTGATAGAGGTATAATTTGAATACGGATGGTGGGGGCTCGAACGGTTGTGATTGGCTGTTTTCCTTCCACTAGCCCTGCCAGTTGCATATTACTAACATGATTTTGCTGACTTAACATAAGAATATTCTGGGCTGGCTGAGGTTCTACTCAGCTTGCAGCGAGCTGTTCCCCTGCCTTTCAACAGTCTCTGGGTTGAATTCCCGCGGCTTGCATGCAAGTACGGTCTGTTCGTCCATACCAAACGGGGCCGAAGTTCTGGATCTTGTGCATTGAATCCATCGTCAAATTTCTTGATATCAATATTTTCAGAAAGATGATGGCATTCGGATTTTCGGCGACAGAGAAGATTCTTCGGGTGGAGATGCGCATGTAATGGGCAAGGTTAAGGCATACAGGCCCTTTGAATTTACTACTTCTACGGTCTCACCGTAGCATTTCACTACATCACGTCTGAATCCATGCATGTTTCCATTCAACTTCCGAGGTGGGAGGGCTCATGGGGGTCAAAGAAAGATCGTTTTGCAAACAACAACGAGCATACTCCGATACTTGCCTTCTTTGCCACCCCTCTCGCTGTCGCTAGTCATGCTGTCATCACTTCTCGTAAAGTTTCAACGTCCTGATGTTGCAATGAGGGGGTTAGCATGCATATTTTTCCAGGGTTCTACGACCTAAGAGTTCACTTAGGTCATGAGAGCCGTGGAAATCGGAGCTTAATAATCAGCCTACGTTGATAAAAATCCTTTCATACTACCATACAGGGAAAGCGAGGTTAGGGATGTTTGCTCCCCCATATTTTGATTCGGATTGCAGCGGGCAAGCATCGGGTCTGATCGATTAAGACGCCCGCGAGGTCAAAAAATTGGAAGACGTCACAGACTTCACATGGTGAAGGCTTCATCTATTATAGAGATATAAAGCAACAGTATTTTCCATCCTCAACTGGTCACTTCATCATCCACCTTCAACAATTTAATCACACCTCTTAATCACATAGCTCTAACTTTCAGTCCTCCATCCCAATATCATATAGCTAATTTCGATTTTGAATACTCAAAATGGTCGTCCTAACTGATAATCACTTCGACTTCATTGTCGTTGGAGGGTAAGCATGCTTCCATGGTATAGCCACAAGACAAACATTGACATATCAAACAGTGGAACTGGAGGCAACACAGTTGCCGGCCGTCTTGCTGAGAACCCCAACGTGAAAGTCCTGATCATCGAAGCCGGACCCGGACACAACAAAGACATCCCCGAGATCCAGACTCCAGCACGAGCTTTCGAGCTCCGTGGAAGCCAATATGACTGGGCTTATAAAACTACCATGATCGACCGCGAAGATTACACCCGAGTAGAAAAGCCCAACACTCGTGGGAAGGTCCTAGGAGGTAGTAGTGCTCTTAACTACTACACCTGGATTCGAGGTAGCAAAGCTACTTTTGACGATTGGGAGGAATATGGTGGTCAAAGCTGGACTTGGGATAACTGCAAGGAGTATTTTGACAAGCCAGCCAATTACCACGATGATAGTCGTCTGTATAATCCAGATTTGGCGAAACACGGTCGTAATGGTCCACTTGATGTTGCCATTTCTGACATGGTGCCTGAGCTCGAGCCATTCCGTAAAGCATTGTCTAGCGCGTGGGTCAGCAAGGGAGGAATCCTTAATGACGAGATCTACGATGGAGAAATGCACGGATTGGCTCGTTGCATGAATACTATTTACAAAGGTGTACGCTCTACATCTGCCCTCTTCCTCGAAGGAAAACCAAACATCACTATTCTCGGCCACACCCACGCCAAACAAATTCTCATTGAAGATGGAGCCGCAACCGGAGTCGTAGTAATTACAGCTGAAGGCAACGAACTGACCATTCGAGCCAAGAAGGAAATCATCGTCTCATCTGGCGTATATGAAACTCCTAAACTCCTCATGTTATCTGGAATCGGTCCAGTCGAAGATCTTGCCCCTCATGGAATCGACGTCAGGGTCGAATCGCAACACGTTGGAAAGAATCTTCTCGACCACCCCATCATGCCCCACGTTTTCAGACTCAAAGACGGCCTAGGACTCGAAGATCATCTCCTACGAGCCGGTCCCCAACACGATGGTGCTATCAGCGCCTACCGAAAGAACAAGAGTGGTCCATACAGTAGTGGTCTTCTCGAACTCGTTGGTCTGCCTCGTATCGACGAATATCTTGCGACAAGCAAAGAGTACGTCGCTGCCAAAAAAGCCAACAATGACATCGACCCCTTTGGACCAGGCGGCCAACCACATTTTGAGATCGATTTCGTGCCCATGTTTAGCGATGCCTTCCAATGGCACATTCCTACACCACCTACGGGATCCTGGCTTACCGTTATCGTTGATCTACTCCGTCCTCTCTCGCGCAATGGCTATGTAAAACTCAATTCTACCAATCCACTTGAGCAGCCAATCATCAACCTCAACTTCTTCTCCAACGATTTGGACCTCGTCGCTCTGCGTGAAGGATGTCGATATGTGGATGATATCCTAATGAACGGCGACGGAATGAAAGATATCATAGGGGAAGATTATCCATGGCCCATGCCCAGAAATAGCGATGAGGCTATGAATAAGATGATTTTAGAGAGAAGTCAGACTGGATTCCGTAAGTTGCACCTCGGACTAAATCTTTTCATCAAACTAACACTCCACCCTCCAGATCCCTGCGGAACTGCCCGCCTCGGGAAATCCATCGAGCAAGGTGTCGTTGATTCCGAACTTAGGGTGTTCGGTGTCAAGAATCTTCGTATCACTGATGCATCCGTCTTCCCCGTCATTCCAGATTGCCGAATTCAGAATGCTGTTTACATGGTTGCTGAAAGAGGTGCTGATTTTATCAAGGCTGCTCATCCGGATCTATACCAGTAGTCGTTTTTCTTTTGGACACATGTGAGAGTGAAGGAGTCAGGTGATACGACTGGGGAACACAAAATGCTACGATGAAATGTGATGGTAGATGTAGTTGGTCAACTAACCTTTAATTGGATTTCCACATCATTTTCAAATTTCAAATTATCAAATTGCCCGTGAATATTATGAGATTTCCTTTCCTCTTCCTCCCAAAAGCCCCATGGTACGCTTCGCTTAAGACAGCCTCAAAAGAGAAACCACACCTTGATAGCACAAATGAAGCAAGACCATCCCTGTTTTCCGGGTAGAAGCTATACTCCAACAGTCCATTTGATAATTACATGCCGGCATCCAGAGTCAAATCAAACAAAAGCAAGTCCAAGTTCCAATAGCATCCTAAGGTTTCCTGTCCTAACTAAATAGAAGTAGCTTCCACGCACATGTGTCGGTTGTTTAACACCCGGCCGTCATCCATGATCCCTCTATACTACCACATGTAGTATAACTAGTAGCGAATCAAGTATACTACACAGTGGCGACAGAGCCAGAACATGCGTCTGTTTTCAAACTTGATTGAACTCTGGACTCGGCTACCTTCTTTAGATCAAGGCCAATATCAGTACTCACTCCAATTTTTCCGCGCGCTTCCTGGCGGTTGTTGTACTGTAACAATTGCTCTAACCACTCTTCTGGCCACCCATCAGTTTCCGCACCAGCTGTCAAATGCATCTGTGTCAGACAATCTCTCCCCCAACTTGAATTCAACAGTTGCAGTGAATCGTCAGAATCATCAAGCTCCTCTAATTTTGAATCACCCAATGAAAATTGAAGGACTTGATAGAGTGGAGGACCGTGATCGAATGACCCTGACGAATTGACATCAGCCCCATGCTCCAGCAAAAATTTGACCATTGTCAAGCTGTTTGTAAGAGTCGCTAGCTCTAATGGCGTCACCGCATTCCCTGGTACGCCGTTGGGGTCCACGCCTCGCTCAAACAGATAAGATAGAATTCGCTCATCACATCCAGCACTTGTGTAGATTGAGCATAGAATTGATAATCCATTATCAAGAAGACTTTTGATATGTGTCCCACAATCATTGACAAAGTAACGAACAACATGATATAGACCTCCGTTTGCAGCATTAATAAGAGCTGGTCGAAGGTCTTGGCTTCCAGCTCCATGCTCGACCAAGAGCCTTACTGTTCCAAGCGTGTCTACATCAGCGATTTTCTCTACTTTAATAGCCATTATCAGAAATTCATCAAGGTCATCTATTTTTCTTGCCTCTAGAATAGTCTGGACAATATTTCCATGTGTCGATCCGATGGCATGGTATAATGCTTCTGGATATCGGCAAGAAGAGGTTGGGCTTTGCAAAGCACGCCGGGCTACAAAGTCAAGACCTAAACGTGCGGCGATTTCTAATGAGTCAAAGAGATTCAGATCTTTTGGAAAATAGGAAGAGTAAATCCCGATGATCCAAATTTTGAAGTAATCATAATTGGTGTTGCACAGCATCCAAGCATTCTCTTGGATAGGCGAACCATGTTCTAAGTTCGTGTGTAGTAGATGCTTCCACCAGTTTTTGGGGGCGTAGGCGATCAATGAATATTCCGGAATGAGAGAAAAGTATCCCGGCATCGGCTTTGCCCAATTTTCTTCTTCAACGTATTCCCACCATTTTTCGCAAATGACAGATATGTCTCGTTCGAGACCATAGAAAAGAAGATATTTGATACAGATATTGCTCAATAGCAGGTGAGCCTCAGATGGATATACAGAATTCTTCCATCTAAAAGTAGGACCTTCGATTGTGTCTGATCGTGTCTCTCTATTAGACAACAAAAATGAACGAGCTGTCTGGTGAATCAAATATACTCTGGAGTCGGCAACGGTGACAAAAAGCCCACAAATATTGCCCAAAGCCGCTCGAAAAACTGCCTCGGGTTCTAGATCAAGACTGGATGCTGAAGCCTGGGAATCTTGAGCTGGGTTCTCATCGATAGCAAGAGCAACATTCATTTCCCGTACAAGCAGTGGTCTTTCTGCCACAACAACGATGCTCAGAAGCCTCTTCGCTCTTTCAAACTCATTCTTCGGAATTCGGTTTAGAATAGCTTCATATGCATCATCGACAGTCCCCGGAAGTTTTTCAATAACTTGAAGCAAATAATTCTTAGTTGTCTTGAGTTGCTGCTCAAGAACTTCAAAAATTAACCTCAGCCAGAGATACGTTCGGTGTTCCATGCTCAATAGCTTTTCTTTTAACGCAGAGGTTGTTTCATTGTCCAACTCCAACTGAACTCTCAGCATGTTTACCTTCTCCTCGATTACAAGATCAATTTCCTTGCTGATCTTCACCGATTCCTCATCCCCCGATAACCTAATTGTAGAATCTCTCTTTGTCAAGCTCTTGAATTTTCTTTCAATGTCGATATAAGGCCTGCTAGTGACAAGAATCTTAAAACATGTGTTCCTAGAATTCATTGTCTCTATGTAGTCATTATGGAACTTTTGAAATTTCTCAATGAGCATGTGGCGGCCGCTGCCCCCTTTCTCTTCGCACTCATCAAGTGCGTCTAGAATACAGATGATTTCGCCGGCTGCTTCGTCTTGCACAATATCCATCATAATCTCCCACATTTGAGCAAACGATTCACGGATTTTTGCCCCGCTCTTGTCGCAGTGCGGAATCGCATGTCGTACGAGCTTTGAATTTCCTGGTGTCCTCAGAATTTGATGCAGTATAGCACATAAAGCGTTTTCTGCCGTCCTTTGCAAAGTATCATCTTCCTTGAAGAAGAAATAGCAGATGGTTCGAGGTTTTCCCGGCAAGGAAGTCTTTGATAGCGCTTTGATTAGCATCTTCGACACCACTGATTTTCCGCAACCGGGGCCAGCAGAAACCCAAAGTAAAGAAGACAATTCAGAATCTTTCCAATGTTGGAAATTTGAATTGTCAAGTAGCCAACGACAAGTACCCTTGACAGCATCCGGGTTTCGGTTCATCTGTTTCTCATAAGCCGACACATAAAATTTCTGAATGCAGGCATTCTCTAGGTCTACTTGACGTTGGTTGGCCTGTAAATCCTGATCATGTTTGAAATTTTCGAGAGTCTCCTTTGTTTGGTGTTGCAATGAAATTTCAATCTCATTTAGACCTTTCATATATTTCTCAAAGTTACGAAACTCTCTCTCCATCTTCTCCGCATCCAAGACATATTTATATCTATTGCACTTCGCCTCATACTCTTTGAGCTCGCTGGATAAATCATCCCAATTCTCCGATTTGAACATATCTTTCGCAATACCAATCACTTTCGAGGAATTCAGCTGACTTATTGCGCGGCATTGATACAGTAGCACCTGCGCGTAAAGTTCCGTAAGACTTTTCTCAAAGCTTGACCGAAGCTCCTCAGTATCTGTGGGGATAATAGCCAAGGCGTCTCTGATTTTCTCTTGATACAACCGCTCGGTGACGGAGAATCGACAAAGTAATTCGGAAACGTACTCAACGCCCTTAGTCAGAGCTTTTGGTTGCTCAGCTGCATTTATCAAGAGCTATGACACATTAATCAAGACCGAAAATCAATTTAGATATATGTAGCGACCTACGGGCAAAAACAAGCTCAGACCAGCCCAGGCCATGGCCGCATGAGGCTCTCCCGATACCAAAGAGCCAACAAAAGACTGGGCATACTGTGCAGCTTTGGCGACTTTGTTGAGAGCATCCCTTACTTCCACGGTAGCACTGCCCACCCGGATTTTCGAACGATTTTCATCGAGAAGCTTAAGACTGCGGTCGATTGTTTTCAACAAGTAGTCTGGTGTTGCACTAGCGCTAGACGGTGTCGCTCCTGATTCTGCTTGTAAGATTTTTTGGTACGTATCCAGAAGTTCCCGATGGCTCGGATCTGCTTGCAGCATTTGAACTGCATCATGCCAGAAGCGTTTTGGAGATCCATCCTTCTGCACACGCGCTGCCTCAATATGTAATGGTACAGGCAGTGCAGTTGACGACGATGTAATTGATGAGTTTCGTGAATTTTCGTCCCCAGTAGATGACTGAACTGATGACTTAGTCAACGACGACGTAGCTGATGACAAGGTACCACCCGAATCGCCCCTACTCGATTTGTTTCCGTGCACGTGCCGTCGGATCCATGAGCGCATCCTGAGTGATTGATCAACAAATTTGTCCGACTATCAAAACCAGCTGATTCAGCACCGACTTCGATCAATCTTTAGAACTCTGAATTGAAACAACAGAACATCGCCTGACATTCATTTCAAGTTCTAATATCAGACACAAAGATTCATGCGTGCTGACGTGTTTTTGCTTACTTTCAATGTAACCAAACCTACATTGCTATTCCATATTGAACGGGTAGAGTGGGGAGGACTCCAATCAAGCATACAGAATCAGTCGATCTTGCAAGGGAAACTTACTCACTGAGGACAAAAAGCTGGCAGGCAATATTTTGTGAAGTTTCTAGAGGAGGTAGAGTGTACGCTCTACTGTTCATGAAAAAAAATCTCAGCACGTAGTCCTCAGAAGTCGTTCTTTGGAAAAGGCATGTAAAATTATTTTGATACAACATATTGAAACTCTCTTGAGAACATCATTACTATGGAAGCGCATGCGGTATTCTTTGGTCATACTTATTTTTTCCACCGTTTTCGATATTGCTTGATTGGGAGGAGGGATGGAATAATTTGTTGTTGTTGAAATTTAATCAAAAAGATAGGAAAATATAAAAATGACCAAAACATTCCGCATGTAAGATTACTTCCATACATTGGTTTGATACCTTACAAAAATACAACTCATTACCCCAAATATAACCAACTGAAGAGAAGCTAGATATCGATCACTCTGAGGTTTTCATGTCTCTTTAGAAACTCAGACTGCAGGCTACTATAAATGTCTATATAGAGGTTTGTATTAAACTTAATATATAGTTTTTGGAAATAATCAGTATGTATATTCCCCAAGATGACACATCAAGAAAGATAAGTAATATTACAATCAATTTCCAAGTGCTTTTAATTCCATTCAGGCTTTATTAGACTTCAATTTTACGATATAATATAGATATCTATTATCTGATATCGAGCCCTCCATTTCTCAATCTCTATAATTCTGGCCCAATCC